CCTCTCTGTGGCTCTTGAGAGAATGGCGCAGTTCTTTGAGGTGGTGGTGTTTTCAGACCAGCTCAATCTGGTGGGTGCGGTTGGTAGCTGGTTAGATGTTACAGCGCAGCACACAGTGGGCCTCTCTGTGGCTCTTGAGAGAATGGCGCAGTTCTTTGAGGTGGTGGTGTTTTCAGACCAGCTCAATCTGGTGGGTGCGGTTGGTAGCTGGTTAGATGTTACAGCGCAGCACACAGTGGGCCTCTCTGTGGCTCTTGAGAGAATGGCGCAGTTCTTTGAGGTGGTGGTGTTTTCAGACCAGCTCAATCTGGTGGGTGCGGTTGGTAGCTGGTTAGATGTTACAGCGCAGCACACAGTGGGCCTCTCTGTGGCTCTTGAGAGAATGGCGCAGTTCTTTGAGGTGGTGGTGTTTTCAGACCAGCTCAATCTGGTGGGTGCGGTTGGTAGCTGGTTAGATGTTACAGCGCAGCACACAGTGGGCCTCTCTGTGGCTCTTGAGAGAATGGCGCAGTTCTTTGAGGTGGTGGTGTTTTCAGACCAGCTCAATCTGGTGGGTGCGGTTGGTAGCTGGTTAGATGTTACAGCGCAGCACACAGTGGGCCTCTCTGTGGCTCTTGAGAGAATGGCGCAGTACTTTGAGGTGGTGGTGTTTTCAGACCAGCTCAATCTGGTGGGTGCGGTTGGTAGCTGGCTAGATGTTACAGCGCAGCACACAGTGGGCCTCTCTGTGGCTCTTGACAGAATGGCGCAGTTCTTTGAGGTGGTGGTGTTTTCAGACCAGCTCAATCTGGTGGGTGCGGTTGGTAGCTGGTTAGATGTTACAGCGCAGCACACAGTGGGCCTCTCTGTGGCTCTTGAGAGAATGGCGCAGTTCTTTGAGGTGGTGGTGTTTTCAGACCAGCTCAATCTGGTGGGTGCGGTTGGTAGCTGGTTAGATGTTACAGCGCAGCACACAGTGGGCCTCTCTGTGGCTCTTGAGAGAATGGCGCAGTTCTTTGAGGTGGTGGTGTTTTAAGACCAGCTCAATCTGGTGGGTGCGGTTGGTAGCTGGTTAGATGTTACAGCGCAGCACACAGTGGGCCTCTCTGTGGCTCTTGAGAGAATGGCGCAGTTCTTTGAGGTGGTGGTGTTTTCAGACCAGCTCAATCTGGTGGGTGCGGTTGGTAGCTGGTTAGATGTTACAGCGCAGCACACAGTGGGCCTCTCTGTGGCTCTTGAGAGAATGGCGCAGTTCTTTGAGGTGGTGGTGTTTTCAGACCAGCTCAATCTGGTGGGTGCGGTTGGTAGCTGGTTAGATGTTACAGCGCAGCACACAGTGGGCCTCTCTGTGGCTCTTGAGAGAATGGCGCAGTTCTTTGAGGTGGTGGTGTTTTCAGACCAGCTCAATCTGGTGGGTGCGGTTGGTAGCTGGCTAGATGTTACAGCGCAGCACACAGTGGGCCTCTCTGTGGCTCTTGAGAGAATGGCGCAGTTCTTTGAGGTGGTGGTGTTTTCAGACCAGCTCAATCTGGTGGGTGCGGTTGGTAGCTGGTTAGATGTTACAGCGCAGCACACAGTGGGCCTCTCTGTGGCTCTTGAGAGAATGGCGCAGTTCTTTGAGGTGGTGGTGTTTTCAGACCAGCTCAATCTGGTGGGTGCGGTTGGTAGCTGGTTAGATGTTACAGCGCAGCACACAGTGGGCCTCTCTGTGGCTCTTGAGAGAATGGCGCAGTTCTTTGAGGTGGTGGTGTTTTCAGACCAGCTCAATCTGGTGGGTGCGGTTGGTAGCTGGTTAGATGTTACAGCGCAGCACACAGTGGGCCTCTCTGTGGCTCTTGAGAGAATGGCGCAGTTCTTTGAGGTGGTGGTGTTTTCAGACCAGCTCAATCTGGTGGGTGCGGTTGGTAGCTGGTTAGATGTTACAGCGCAGCACACAGTGGGCCTCTCTGTGGCTCTTGAGAGAATGGCGCAGTTCTTTGAGGTGGTGGTGTTTTCAGACCAGCTCAATCTGGTGGGTGCGGTTGGTAGCTGGTTAGATGTTACAGCGCAGCACACAGTGGGCCTCTCTGTGGCTCTTGAGAGAATGGCGCAGTTCTTTGAGGTGGTGGTGTTTTCAGACCAGCTCAATCTGGTGGGTGCGGTTGGTAGCTGGTTAGATGTTACAGCGCAGCACACAGTGGGCCTCTCTGTGGCTCTTGAGAGAATGGCGCAGTTCTTTGAGGTGGTGGTGTTTTCAGACCAGCTCAATCTGGTGGGTGCGGTTGGTAGCTGGTTAGATGTTACAGCGCAGCACACAGTGGGCCTCTCTGTGGCTCTTGAGAGAATGGCGCAGTTCTTTGAGGTGGTGGTGTTTTCAGACCAGCTCAATCTGGTGGGTGCGGTTGGTAGCTGGTTAGATGTTACAGCGCAGCACACAGTGGGCCTCTCTGTGGCTCTTGAGAGAATGGCGCAGTTCTTTGAGGTGGTGGTGTTTTCAGACCAGCTCAATCTGGTGGGTGCGGTTGGTAGCTGGTTAGATGTTACAGCGCAGCACACAGTGGGCCTCTCTGTGGCTCTTGAGAGAATGGCGCAGTTCTTTGAGGTGGTGGTGTTTTCAGACCAGCTCAATCTGGTGGGTGCGGTTGGTAGCTGGTTAGATGTTACAGCGCAGCACACAGTGGGCCTCTCTGTGGCTCTTGAGAGAATGGCGCAGTTCTTTGAGGTGGTGGTGTTTTCAGACCAGCTCAATCTGGTGGGTGCGGTTGGTAGCTGGCTAGATGTTACAGCGCAGCACACAGTGGGCCTCTCTGTGGCTCTTGAGAGAATGGCGCAGTTCTTTGAGGTGGTGGTGTTTTCAGACCAGCTCAATCTGGTGGGTGCGGTTGGTAGCTGGTTAGATGTTACAGCGCAGCACACAGTGGGCCTCTCTGTGGCTCTTGAGAGAATGGCGCAGTTCTTTGAGGTGGTGGTGTTTTCAGACCAGCTCAATCTGGTGGGTGCGGTTGGTAGCTGGTTAGATGTTACAGCGCAGCACACAGTGGGCCTCTCTGTGGCTCTTGAGAGAATGGCGCAGTTCTTTGAGGTGGTGGTGTTTTCAGACCAGCTCAATCTGGTGGGTGCGGTTGGTAGCTGGTTAGATGTTACAGCGCAGCACACAGTGGGCCTCTCTGTGGCTCTTGAGAGAATGGCGCAGTTCTTTGAGGTGGTGGTGTTTTCAGACCAGCTCAATCTGGTGGGTGCGGTTGGTAGCTGGTTAGATGTTACAGCGCAGCACACAGTGGGCCTCTCTGTGGCTCTTGAGAGAATGGCGCAGTTCTTTGAGGTGGTGGTGTTTTCAGACCAGCTCAATCTGGTGGGTGCGGTTGGTAGCTGGTTAGATGTTACAGCGCAGCACACAGTGGGCCTCTCTGTGGCTCTTGAGAGAATGGCGCAGTTCTTTGAGGTGGTGGTGTTTTCAGACCAGCTCAATCTGGTGGGTGCGGTTGGTAGCTGGTTAGATGTTACAGCGCAGCACACAGTGGGCCTCTCTGTGGCTCTTGAGAGAATGGCGCAGTACTTTGAGGTGGTGGTGTTTTCAGACCAGCTCAATCTGGTGGGTGCGGTTGGTAGCTGGCTAGATGTTACAGCGCAGCACACAGTGGGCCTCTCTGTGGCTCTTGACAGAATGGCGCAGTTCTTTGAGGTGGTGGTGTTTTCAGACCAGCTCAATCTGGTGGGTGCGGTTGGTAGCTGGTTAGATGTTACAGCGCAGCACACAGTGGGCCTCTCTGTGGCTCTTGAGAGAATGGCGCAGTTCTTTGAGGTGGTGGTGTTTTCAGACCAGCTCAATCTGGTGGGTGCGGTTGGTAGCTGGTTAGATGTTACAGCGCAGCACACAGTGGGCCTCTCTGTGGCTCTTGAGAGAATGGCGCAGTTCTTTGAGGTGGTGGTGTTTTAAGACCAGCTCAATCTGGTGGGTGCGGTTGGTAGCTGGTTAGATGTTACAGCGCAGCACACAGTGGGCCTCTCTGTGGCTCTTGAGAGAATGGCGCAGTTCTTTGAGGTGGTGGTGTTTTCAGACCAGCTCAATCTGGTGAGATGAGTTGGGTTTGAAGGAATGTGGTGAACTGAGTTGATGCATGTAAAGAGGCATTTCCGAGCAATTCCTATGGATCAAACGTTTATTTGTAAACTATTACCGGAGTTGCGTTTTGAGACGTCTCAAAACCCGTTTCCTATTGATCAAGCGTTTTCTTGTAAACTATAACTGGAGTTGATGGAACCTGCTGATGGAACAACTGCCTCCTCATTTCCTCTCCCTTCCTTCCCCATCGTCTATCCCATTCTTGTGTTTGTCTCCCTTCCTCTATTTTCAGTCAGTCGACCCCATTTTAGACCGTCTGGATCAGAAGGGGTGCATTCGCTACCGGCTCTACCGGGATGGGACACTTTACACTGACGAGATAGCTGCCTTCCTCCCTTCCTGCCCCTGTTCCCCCTCTTATCTGTGCCCCCTCACAGTCAGTCGACCCCATATTGGATCGGCTCGATCAGAATGGGTGCATTCGCTACCGCCTCTACAGGGATGGAACCCGCCTTCCCTGTCCCCCCGCATTTCTCACCTCCCGTCCCCTGTTCCCCCGCATTTCTCACCTCCCATTCCCTGTTCCCCCTCTTGTCTGTGGCCCCTCACAGTCTGTCGACGCCATATCGGACCGTCTGGACTAGAAGGGGTGCATTCGCTACCGGCTCTACAGGGATGGGACCCTCATCTCCCCCTCATCTCTTCCCATTCTCATCTTCCCTCTATCACAGTCTGTCGACCCGATTCTAGACCGTCTGGACCAGAAGGGGTGCATTCGCTACCGCCTCTACGGGGATGGAACCCTCTACAATGACGGGATAGTCCTCCCTTTCTCCCTTCCTGCCCATGTTCCCCCTCTTGTCTGTGCCACATCACAGTCTGTCGACCCGATTCTAGACCGGCTGGATCAAAAGGGGTGCATTTCAAGCCTTCCTGTTTTTCCTCGTGCCTGTGCTTCATCTAGCCTCTGTGTGCCGCATCACAGTCTGTTGACCCGATTCTAGACCGGCTGGACCAGAAGGGGTGCATTCGCTACCGGCTCTACCAAAATAAGTCTCTCTACACTGACGGGATGCTCCTCCTTTTCTCCCTTCCTGCCCATGTTCCCGCTCTTTCTGTGCCCCCTCCCAGTCTGTCAGCCCCATTCTCGACCGTCTGGACCAGAAGGGGTGCATTCGCTACCGCCTGTACCGGGATGGGACCCTCTACCCTGACGGGACTGCTGCTTTCCCCTTTCCCTCTCCCTGTCGCCCCCTCACCTCTCATCGTCTCCCCGCATTCTGTCCTCTCCCTCCTATCGCAGTCTGTCGACCCCATATTGGACCGTCTGGACCAGAAGGGGTGCATTCGCTACCGGCTCTACCGGGATGGGACTCTCTACACTGACGAGATAGCTGCCTTTTCCTTTACGTCTCCCTGTCTCCCACTCACCTCCCTCGTCTCCCCTCATCCTTTCCCCCATCTCACCATATCACAGTCAGTTGACCCGATTCTGGACCGGCTGGATCAGAAGGGGTGCATTCGCTACCGGCTCTACCGGGATGGGACTCTCTACACTGACGGGAACTATGTGCGGGTATGTACTGTTCTTACCCTCAATAAAATACGTGGGCATGCGTTCTCGCCCTCCAAAGTCAAACTAGTATTGGGTCACTCTGCACTGCACTGACGGGAACTACGTGCGCGTTTGTATGTACTGTTTCTACGCTGAAAGAAGGTGTTTCACACGCCCCACTGCCCTCCCCTTTCCCTCTTCTCCTCCCCTGCTCCTACCAGGACCTTTCAAAGCTCAATCGCGACCCCAACAAGGTCATCTACATCAGCTCTCTGCCAGAGTCGGTGCTGCAGCAGGAACCTTAAGGCACCTTCCACCATGCCCCCTCCCTTCCTTCCCTCTCATCTCACATTCCTCCCCTGCTCCTACCAGGACCTTTCAAAGCTCAATCGCGACCCAAACAAGGTCATCTACATCAGCTCTCTGCCAGAGTCGGTGCTGCAGAAGGAACCTTAAGGCACCTTCCACCATGCCCCCTCCCTTCCTTCCCTCTCATCTCACATTCCTCCCCTGCTCCTACCAGGACCTTTCTAAGCTCAACCGGAACCCAAACAAGGTCATCTACATCAGCTCTCTGCCCGAGTCCGTACTGCAGAAGGAGAACTTTATCCCCCTATTTGCCTGGAAGGTGTTTCACGTGCCTCAGCCCTCTCTCCTTTCCCTCTTCTCCTCCTCCCTCCATATCAGGACCTATCCAAGCTGAACTGCGACCCCAACAAGGTTATCTGCATCAGCTCTCTGCCATTCGTCCTCTTTCCCTGCTCCCATCAGGACCTATCCAAGCTCAACCGTGATCCAAACAAGGTCATCTACATCAGCTCTCTGCCCGAGTCAGTGCTTCAGAAGGAGAATCTCGTCCCTCTCTCTGCGTGGAAGGACACCGGAGCAGATACTGCACTCCTAGACCTACTCCCCTTCCTCGAGTGTGAGTCGGAGTGTTGAGTGTGGAGCACCCTAGAACGCCAGTTGGGGCACACAAAGAGAATGCACATCAGAAGGAGATTTTGGTCCCTCTCTCTGCGTGGAAGGACACGGGAGCAGACACTGCTCTTCTAAACCTCCTGCCATTCCCTGAAGTGGTGCTGTATGAGGGGCTGGACATGCGTTGACCTCGTTGACTTGCTTGACCCTGTTGACTTTCTTGACTTGCATTATCACCTTCTTGTTCCTCAATCCCCATGGTGTGTGGCATGGCACGGCAGCAGCTGGCGGACATTCGAATGGTGCTGCAGTCGTATGAGGGGCAGGACACCTGTTGACTAGGTTGACTTGCATTGACCGGGCTTGACCCTCCTCCTTGTTCCTCATCCATCCAGGTGTGGCGCGGCAGCGGCCGGCGGATATACGGGTGGTGCTGCAGTCATATGAGGGGCAGGATATCCCCACTGCCTTTAAAGAGCGCTCCAAACTCATGCAAAAGTGAGTGTAGTTGGTCAACTAAATAACTAAAGCGGCTATCTTGGCTACAGTGCGAGACTTGCAGTCCATGTACTCTTCTGCTAGGTTCATTAGTTGCCCGGATTTTGTCATTTTTGTGTGACGTTCCTTGTGTCTATCTACAGATTTCACTGCCGCCCTTCTTGTGCCGCTTCCCTCCACTTCAGCTTGTCTCAGTTTTATATCGATTGTTTGTGGGATGCTTTCAGGCAACTTCAAGAGAGGAAGCAGCATGGGATTTTCCGGTTTGCAAGGGGTGGATCCTGAGGGTGTCTGAGAAGTGGGGGAGGAGGGCTCTACCGTATGTTGAAGAGTGGGGTCAAGTAAGTAGGCAAAGGATGTGAAATAATGGCACACATCCGTGTTGCGCTCAGTCAAAGATATGTTTTGCGTTTCTGTGATAGAGATGGTAGCACCTCGATGTACCATTGCTTGTGAATTCACAAATGTTTTTTTTTGGGAGATATATAACCCTTTACGCTGATACTTTGAAGGTCTCGATCTTAGGCCACTCCGGCCTGTTGCGAGTCCTGTGTTATCCCGAATCAACAACAGCTGACCAATACTGTATATTTCACCCGGTAGTGTCGGTAGCGCTACCCGGGTCCGAGCTCCTCCCTGCCCCCGAGCTGACCAATGAATGGTTGGACTCGCTCGTCCTTTTTGATTGGCTGAGACTTGCCAATTTTGGCCAATCCCTGCACATTTGCGGGCAATAGAAACGTTTAGGGCAGCTCATGAGGCAGCGCTCATTGAATGGTTTATCTGTTTTCAGTTTTGGCCCCCCAGCTTCACTGTGTGAAGCACCAAAATAAAAAGTACAGAACTGTGCTTATCGGGATGTACGTCGATTGGACAATCGCATGAGTACAGTACGTACAAGAAGTCGCGAAAATTGCCCAATTGGAAAAGATTCCTTTGCCCAATCGGCCGGATGACAGCTACCAAAGATTCATTTCCTTTACATCCACCTTACCTTTTGCTACACTCGATGCTCAACGATGTCGCGCTAATGTTGTCGTTACTCACTTTCCTAGTCCTCGTTTCCTCTAAACACGGGTAGCAGCACCCGGATTACAGTCCCGTTTCTACATCACGATCGTTGATCACACACCTATCGCGCTGTCATCCGGCCATCTGTCACCCGTTGCTACACATAGGCCCTGTAGCCCAGTCACAACCATCGGATGATGATTTCAGCATTGTATAGTGTAATTTCACCACTGAATAGGAAACTCAAAGAATTGAGCCACATTTGTACCGCCAAATCTCGTACAGACGAAATCATCAAATCAAAACCATCTTTCCAAGACGAGGCCCCTTACAGTACCAAGAACTGTAGCTCGTGTATGGTGGGAAATGGGGTGGAAAGCTCGCACATTGAAGCATTCCTACCCAGCAAGCACAAAGGTGGTGAGTGTACAAAACGATTGTGTGTTTGTTTCCCGGCTTTGAGCGAACTCATCACACTAAATGCCGCTTTCGACAAACTCGCACTCTGTAAGCAATCCCAAGAAAATGCAAGACTCGTCAGCGACAAACACGAGGGGTGAGGGGGAAGAGAAAAGCGGGTGGCCTTTTTCTAAAGCTTCTGGCTGGCTGGATAGCAGCACTGATCAGCTGAAGTGTGGAACAATCTCGAGAAATTATGGTTCGTAGCCACACATTCAATGAACAGTTATCCTCCATCGGACTAGCCAACAGAAACGTCTCCGTTCGATTCTCCGCGAGTGCCATTCTCTAGGAGGCGAGGAGCAAAGAGCTTCGCATTTTACAAATACCATCCACACCGTAGCTGTACTGTACCTTGTAAGGTGAGTAGATTTTTTTCTCTAATAGTAGTTATTGCTGTTGGAACGGTACATGTCCGTCATAAAAACATCTCGGTGCATTCCTTTCTGAGTTTCACCCACAGAACTTAGTTCTCTGACCTTTTCGGAAAGCATGCGCACTTGTAGACTTTTTCAGTCAGGAGAGAACTTTCGTTGCTAACCTAGAATGTGAACAAATCCTGCTACTAGTAATAGATGTCACGGCCCAACGTTACAGTCGCAATGTCGACCAACACAGGTACTAATTCTGATTGGTAGAACCACTTACAGCAACACGTGGTAACTTTAGGAAAACGTTTTGGGCCCACGAATTTTGAGACGACTTTCGTTCAAACTTTGACCTGCTGTCAAAGTAAGGAGTGTTTGAAGCACCCTTTAGGAGCATGTGTTCGGAGCCACTACTCTGTAAGAGCACCCAGGCAGATTGGAAACCCCAAGCCGGCACATGCGTTCAGCGCTCAGAATTATTGGAATCTCCAGAGATCTATCAGGATTGCGAGGGTTGTTCCAAGGCCACTAAAGAACTATAGACTTGCTCACAGGGCTGAGATTAAAAGTCTCAGAGGGCTGTATTGTCATGAGCTGAGAGCAAGCCTGGACTTCAGTCTTCTCAGGATATAAAAACCTGAAGATTCTTGGATCTCCAGGGATCTGACGAGATTGTTCACAGGCCATTCACAGGGCATTCAAAGAAATGCAGAATTGCTCACTCACTGAGAGGTGTTGATTCAAACGTCAGGAAAGCTGGATTGGGAAGGACTGGGAGCAGCATCTCCTGCTTCACTTTTTGGATATCGTAACAGAATCTTAAAGGCTCCAATAAAGTGATCTGATAGCAGACGTGTTCTGGCAGCAGACGTGTTCTGGCAGCAGATTTGATCTGGGAGCAGATTTGATCTGGAATCGAAGCAGATGTGATGTGGACGCAAAGCAGATGTCATTTGGCGGCAAATGTGATCTTAAATCGCACGTCACCGTGGTCTACTGTCAACTGGAATCAGCTGTAATTTGCGAGCATTTGTTATTCGCAAGCAAAAGTAATCTGGAGACTGAAATCTACAATCACCCACCTTTGCTCCACATTCTGCCTTCCCCAGTTGGACCTACGCCCCGGGAGCCATAATAACCGCTGGTAATTGGCAGCCGCAGGTAACCCTGCACCAGATGCAGCCTCCCCCGGATGGGGGGAGATAACGCACTGGACAGGGAGAGCGACGGAGCTGGTGTGATTATAACGGCTGAAGACGGTGCATTAGAAGGAGCTGGAGTGACTATAACAGGAGGTGCATTGGATGGGGCAGGAGCTGAAGGCTATCAGACAATCATAGGTAAGTGTCTCTGGCTTCTGACCCACCCGTTCAGGTGATCCTTCAGGTGATCCTTCACGTGACCCCGTCAGATCTTACAGATCCTTCGCTTCAAGCTGCATGAAAGCCGCATTGCGGCGTTTTGTCATTATCTTGATGTCGCTCGGGGTGCTCTCCTGTTCTTTTCCGGAGTCTTACCCACCTTGCTCATTCACTCTCCTTCCCTTATCTTCCATTCTTCCAGGCTCTAAAATGGCTTACCCAGCCATGTTCTGGCAGCACCAGGAGTATCAACAAGGAGCATCAGGAGAAACAGCAGGAGAAACAGCAGGAGGAGCAGTAACGCCAGCAGTGCTCCCACCAGCAGTACCGCTGTCGGAAACTCTGATGCAGCCGCCAGGAACAGCAGCAACAGGCGCAGGGGGAGCAGCAGCAGTAGCACCAGCAGCAGCAGCAGCAGCAGCAGCAGCAGCAGGTTCGGCCGGAGCAGCAGCAGCAGCAGGAAGCATGGGACCTCCACCGGTCCAGATCTACTCCTACTCCCCCGCTTCCTCCTACGGGACCCTCCCTTCCCTCATTCCCTCTCTCCCTCCCTCGGGCATCATCCCTTCTCCTTACTTCACCCCAGGCTTCCCCCATTCTATTGTGTATCCGGGAAATCTCAGCAATAGCAGCAGCACGGGTAGGTCCATTGTGTATCCTGGAAACCTCAGCCACAGCAGCAGCACTGGGAGCATTGGGAGCAGCTACAGCAGGGGAGGCGGGGAGGGAGGTGGGGTAGGAAGGAGAGGGGGAGGAGGAGGTAGGGGAGGGGGAGGGGGAGGGGGAGGGGGAGGAGGAGAGCTGAGGAGTAGCAGGAGCTTCAACGAGAGAAGAGGGTTTGAAATGGGAGGAGGAGGAGGAGGAGGAGGAGGTGGTGGTGGTGGTGGTGGTGGTGGTGGTGGTGGTGGTGGTGGTGGTGGTGGTGGTGGTGGTGGTGGTGGTGGTGGTGGTGGTGGTGGTGGTGGTGGTGGTGGTGGTGGTGGTGGTGGTGGTGGTGGTGGTGGTGGTGGTGGTGGTGGCAGTAGCAGTGGTGGTGGTGGTGGTGGTGGTGGTGGGAGTGGAAGAATGAGGCAAGATTGGGATGCTTCAGGGAAGCTTCCGCCAGTGTACCCACAGCGGCCGGGGGAGCAGGAGTGTGCGTATTACATGAGGACGGGGAGCTGTGCGTATGGGTCTAGATGCCGCTTCAACCACCCTCCCAGACTGCTAGAGGTAAGAATGTTGTTGTGAGTCGACTCACCCAAAGGCAAGCATGTAGCGGCCGGGGGAGCATGAGTGTGCGTGATGCGGCTGTCTGGGAGCAGGGGTGTGCGTATTACATGAGAACGGGCAGCTGTGCGTATGGGTCCAGATGGCCAGGGGAGCACGAGTGTGCGTGATGGGACTTGATGGGAGCACGGGTGTGCGTATTACATGAGAACGGGCAGCTGTGCGTATGGGGCTGTTTGGGGGAGCACGAGTGTGCGTGAGTGTGCATGAGGGAGTGTACGTGAGGGAGTGTGCGTATTACATGCGGACGGGGAGTTGCGCCTATGGGTCTAGGTGCCGCTTCAACCACCCTCCCAGACTAGAGGTAAGAGCGTTTTGAGTCGACTCACAGGCCAGTGTGCCCGCAGCGGCCGGGGGAACAGGAGTGTGCTACTGCATGCGTACGGGCAGCTGAGCTTATGGATCTTGATGCCGCTTCAACCAGCCTCCCAGAATAGAGATAACAAGGGGTTAGTGGCAAGATTTGACAGTGAGGTCGGGTGAAATTCTGGTGTACATTAAAGGCAAGTATGCGGGGGCTGGGGGAACAGGAGTGTGTTTACTCCATGCGGACAAGTGAACTTGTTCTTGGGATCTACTTGCGCAATTGATGCCATCCCATCCCAAGCCATGCCATGCCGTGACATCCCAAGCCATGCCATGCCGTGCCAAGCCATGCCATTCCATGCCATGCCATGCCGTGCCGTGCCATGCCATGCCATGCCATCCCATCCAATTCCATTCCATCCCATCCCCTCCTATCCCATCCGATCCCATCCCATCCTATCCCATCCCATCCCATCCCATCCCATCCCATCCCATCCCATCCCATCCCATCCCATCCCATCCCATCCCATCTCATCCCATCCCATCCCATCCCATCCCATCCCATCCCATCCCATCCCATCCCATCCAATCCCATCCCATCCCATCCCATCCCATCCCATCCCATCCCATCCCATCCCATCTCATCCCATCCCATCCCATCCCATCCCATCCCATCCCATCCCATCCCATCCCATCCCATCCCATCCCATCCCATCCCATCCCATCCAATCCCATCCCATCCCATCCCATCCCATCCCATCCCATCCCATCCCATCCCATCCCATCCCATCCCATCCCATCCCATCCCATCCCATCCCATCCCATCCCATCCCATCCCATCCCATGCCACCCCATCCCATCCCATCCAACTCTATTCCATTCACATGTCATCCGATGCCAACACAGCACCTGTAATCACATAAGCCATCCAAGCAGGGCAGCCGTTGCTCCCAGCCACGCCCTATCCACAGCGACCGGGGCAACCAGAGTGCAAGGTGAGACTTGTGCTGCTCTTTCTATTCCATTCACATGTCATCCGATGCCAACACAGCACCTGTAATCACATAAGCCATCCAAGCAGGGCAGCCGTTGCTCCCAGCCACGCCCTATCCACAGCGACCGGGGCAACCAGAGTGCAAGGTGAGACTTGTGCTGCTCTTTCTATTCCATTCACATGTCATCCGATGCCAACACAGCACCTGTAATCACATAAGCCATCCAAGCAGGGCAGCCGTTGCTCCCAGCCACGCCCTATCCACAGCGACCGGGGCAACCAGAGTGCAAGGTGAGACTTGTGCTGCTCTTTCTATTCCATTCACATGTCATCCGATGCCAACACAGCACCTGTAATCACATAAGCCATCCAAGCAGGGCAGCCGTTGCTCCCAGCCACGCCCTATCCACAGCGACCGGGGCAACCAGAGTGCAAGGTGAGACTTGTGCTGCTCTTTCTATTCCATTCACATGTCATCCGATGCCAACACAGCACCTGTAATCACATAAGCCATCCAAGCAGGGCAGCCGTTGCTCCCAGCCACGCCCTATCCACAGCGACCGGGGCAACCAGAGTGCAAGGTGAGACTTGTGCTGCTCTTTCTATTCCATTCACATGTCATCCGATGCCAACACAGCACCTGTAATCACATAAGCCATCCAAGCAGGGCAGCCGTTGCTCCCAGCCACGCCCTATCCACAGCGACCGGGGCAACCAGAGTGCAAGGTGAGACTTGTGCTGCTCTTTCTATTCCATTCACATGTCATCCGATGCCAACACAGCACCTGTAATCACATAAGCCATCCAAGCAGGGCAGCCGTTGCTCCCAGCCACGCCCTATCCACAGCGACCGGGGCAACCAGAGTGCAAGGTGAGACTTGTGCTGCTCTTTCTATTCCATTCACATGTCATCCGATGCCAACACAGCACCTGTAATCACATAAGCCATCCAAGCAGGGCAGCCGTTGCTCCCAGCCACGCCCTATCCACAGCGACCGGGGCAACCAGAGTGCAAGGTGAGACTTGTGCTGCTCTTTCTATTCCATTCACATGTCATCCGATGCCAACACAGCACCTGTAATCACATAAGCCATCCAAGCAGGGCAGCCGTTGCTCCCAGCCACGCCCTATCCACAGCGACCGGGGCAACCAGAGTGCAAGGTGAGACTTGTGCTGCTCTTTCTATTCCATTCACATGTCATCCGATGCCAACACAGCACCTGTAATCACATAAGCCATCCAAGCAGGGCAGCCGTTGCTCCCAGCCACGCCCTATCCACAGCGACCGGGGCAACCAGAGTGCAAGGTGAGACTTGTGCTGCTCTTTCTATTCCATTCACATGTCATCCGATGCCAACACAGCACCTGTAATCACATAAGCCATCCAAGCAGGGCAGCCGTTGCTCCCAGCCACGCCCTATCCACAGCGACCGGGGCAACCAGAGTGCAAGGTGAGACTTGTGCTGCTCTTTCTATTCCATTCACATGTCATCCGATGCCAACACAGCACCTGTAATCACATAAGCCATCCAAGCAGGGCAGCCGTTGCTCCCAGCCACGCCCTGTCCACAGCGACCGGGGCAACCAGAGTGCAAGGTGAGACTTGTGCTGCTCTTTCTATTCCATTCACATGTCATCCGATGCCAACACAGCACCTGTAATCACATAAGCCATCCAAGCAGGGCAGCCGTTGCTCCCAGCCACGCCCTATCCACAGCGACCGGGGCAACCAGAGTGCAAGGTGAGACTTGTGCTGCTCTTTCTATTCCATTCACATGTCATCCGATGCCAACACAGCACCTGTAATCACATAAGCCATCCAAGCAGGGCAGCCGTTGCTCCCAGCCACGCCCTATCCACAGCGACCGGGGCAACCAGAGTGCAAGGTGAGACTTGTGCTGCTCTTTCTATTCCATTCACATGTCATCCGATGCCAACACAGCACCTGTAATCTCATAAGCCATCCAAGCAGGGCAGCCGTTGCTCCCAGCCACGCCCTATCCACAGCGACCGGGGCAACCAGAGTGCAAGGTGAGACTTGTGCTGCTCTTTCTATTCCATTCACATGTCATCCGATGCCAACACAGCACCTGTAATCACATAAGCCATCCAAGCAGGGCAGCCGTTGCTCCCAGCCACGCCCTATCCACAGCGACCGGGGCAACCAGAGTGCAAGGTGAGACTTGTGCTGCTCTTTCTATTCCATTCACATGTCATCCGATGCCAACACAGCACCTGTAATCACATAAGCCATCCAAGCAGGGCAGCCGTTGCTCCCAGCCACGCCCTATCCACAGCGACCGGGGCAACCAGAGTGCAAGGTGAGACTTGTGCTGCTCTTTCTATTCCATTCACATGTCATCCGATGCCAACACAGCACCTGTAATCACATAAGCCATCCAAGCAGGGCAGCCGTTGCTCCCAGCCACGCCCTATCCACAGCGACCGGGGCAACCAGAGTGCAAGGTGAGACTTGTGCTGCTCTTTCTATTCCATTCACATGTCATCCGATGCCAACACAGCACCTGTAATCACATAAGCCATCCAAGCAGGGCAGCCGTTGCTCCCAGCCACGCCCTATCCACAGCGACCGGGGCAACCAGAGTGCAAGGTGAGACTTGTGCTGCTCTTTCTATTCCATTCACATGTCATCCGATGCCAACACAGCACCTGTAATCACATAAGCCATCCAAGCAGGGCAGCCGTTGCTCCCAGCCACGCCCTATCCACAGCGACCGGGGCAACCAGAGTGCAAGGTGAGACTTGTGCTGCTCTTTCTATTCCATTCACATGTCATCCGATGCCAACACAGCACCTGTAATCACATAAGCCATCCAAGCAGGGCAGCCGTTGCTCCCAGCCACGCCCTATCCACAGCGACCGGGGCAACCAGAGTGCAAGGTGAGACTTGTGCTGCTCTTTCTATTCCATTCACATGTCATCCGATGCCAACACAGCACCTGTAATCACATAAGCCATCCAAGCAGGGCAGCCGTTGCTCCCAGCCACGCCCTATCCACAGCGACCGGGGCAACCAGAGTGCAAGGTGAGACTTGTGCTGCTCTTTCTATTCCATTCACATGTCATCCGATGCCAACACAGCACCTGTAATCACATAAGCCATCCAAGCAGGGCAGCCGTTGCTCCCAGCCACGCCCTATCCACAGCGACCGGGGCAACCAGAGTGCAAGGTGAGACTTGTGCTGCTCTTTCTATTCCATTCACATGTCATCCGATGCCAACACAGCACCTGTAATCACATAAGCCATCCAAGCAGGGCAGCCGTTGCTCCCAGCCACGCCCTATCCACAGCGACCGGGGCAACCAGAGTGCAAGGTGAGACTTGTGCTGCTCTTTCTATTCCATTCACATGTCATCCGATGCCAACACAGCACCTGTAATCACATAAGCCATCCAAGCAGGGCAGCCGTTGCTCCCAGCCACGCCCTATCCACAGCGACCGGGGCAACCAGAGTGCAAGGTGAGACTTGTGCTGCTCTTTCTATTCCATTCACATGTCATCCGATGCCAACACAGCACCTGTAATCACATAAGCCATCCAAGCAGGGCAGCCGTTGCTCCCAGCCACGCCCTATCCACAGCGACCGGGGCAACCAGAGTGCAAGGTGAGACTTGTGCTGCTCTTTCTATTCCATTCACATGTCATCCGATGCCAACACAGCACCTGTAATCACATAAGCCATCCAAGCAGGGCAGCCGTTGCTCCCAGCCACGCCCTATCCACAGCGACCGGGGCAACCAGAGTGCAAGGTGAGACTTGTGCTGCTCTTTCTATTCCATTCACATGTCATCCGATGCCAACACAGCACCTGTAATCACATAAGCCATCCAAGCAGGGCAGCCGTTGCTCCCAGCCACGCCCTGTCCACAGCGACCGGGGCAACCAGAGTGCAAGGTGAGACTTGTGCTGCTCTTTCTATTCCATTCACATGTCATCCGATGCCAACACAGCACCTGTAATCACATAAGCCATCCAAGCAGGGCAGCCGTTGCTCCCAGCCACGCCCTGTCCACAGCGACCGGGGCAACCAGAGTGCAAGGTGAGACTTGTGCTGCTCTTTCTATTCCATTCACATGTCATCCGATGCCAACACAGCACCTGTAATCACATAAGCCATCCAAGCAGGGCAGCCGTTGCTCCCAGCCACGCCCTATCCACAGCGACCGGGGCAACCAGAGTGCAAGGTGAGACTTGTGCTGCTCTTTCTATTCCATTCACATGTCATCCGATGCCAACACAGCACCTGTAATCACATAAGCCATCCAAGCAGGGCAGCCGTTGCTCCCAGCCACGCCCTATCCACAGCGACCGGGGCAACCAGAGTGCAAGGTGAGACTTGTGCTGCTCTTTCTATTCCATTCACATGTCATCCGATGCCAACACAGCACCTGTAATCACATAAGCCATCCAAGCAGGGCAGCCGTTGCTCCCAGCCACGCCCTATCCACAGCGACCGGGGCAACCAGAGTGCAAGGTGAGACTTGTGCTGCTCTTTCTATTCCATTCACATGTCATCCGATGCCAACACAGCACCTGTAATCACATAAGCCATCCAAGCAGGGCAGCCGTTGCTCCCAGCCACGCCCTATCCACAGCGACCGGGGCAACCAGAGTGCAAGGTGAGACTTGTGCTGCTCTTTCTATTCCATTCACATGTCATCCGATGCCAACACAGCACCTGTAATCACATAAGCCATCCAAGCAGGGCAGCCGTTGCTCCCAGCCACGCCCTATCCACAGCGACCGGGGCAACCAGAGTGCAAGGTGAGACTTGTGCTGCTCTTTCTATTCCATTCACATGTCATCCGATGCCAACACAGCACCTGTAATCACATAAGCCATCCAAGCAGGGCAGCCGTTGCTCCCAGCCACGCCCTGTCCACAGCGACCGGGGCAACCAGAGTGCAAGGTGAGACTTGTGCTGCTCTTTCTATTCCATTCACATGTCATCCGATGCCAACACAGCACCTGTAATCACATAAGCCATCCAAGCAGGGCAGCCGTTGCTCCCAGCCACGCCCTGTCCACAGCGACCGGGGCAACCAGAGTGCAAGGTGAGACTTGTGCTGCTCTTTCTATTCCATTCACATGTCATCCGATGCCAACACAGCACCTGTAATCACATAAGCCATCCAAGCAGGGCAGCCGTTGCTCCCAGCCACGCCCTATCCACAGCGACCGGGGCAACCAGAGTGCAAGGTGAGACTTGTGCTGCTCTTTCTATTCCATTCACATGTCATCCGATGCCAACACAGCACCTGTAATCACATAAGCCATCCAAGCAGGGCAGCCGTTGCTCCCAGCCACGCCCTATCCACAGCGACCGGGGCAACCAGAGTGCAAGGTGAGACTTGTGCTGCTCTTTCTATTCCATTCACATGTCATCCGATGCCAACACAGCACCTGTAATCACATAAGCCATCCAAGCAGGGCAACCGCTCCTCCCAGCCACGGACTACCAGCAGCGACCAAGCCTACCCGAGTGCCATCCTTATGCCATCACATGCCATCACATGCCATCACATGCCATCACATGCCATCACATGCCATCACATGCCATCACATGCCGTCACCATCACTTAGGCCATACGAACAGTGCAACTGCTGCTCCCAACCACGGCCAACGTCTACCCCCCTCCCCCCCCCCCCCCTCCCCACTTTATTCTTCTCCCCCTTCAGTACTATCTCAAAACCGGCACGTGCAAGTACGGGCCCTCCTGCACCTTCCACCACCCGCCGCTACTCGCCTCAACGCCTGCCATCTCTTCCCACCTGCCTCTCAATGCTCTCGGCTATCCCCTCAGACCGGTGAGCACCACATAGGCTATATCTGATCTGATTCCTTAGAAATCTCAAAAGTGTTACAGGCACCTGCCCGCTGCTGTTTTGTCACGAGGCGATTTTTCCAAGTCAAATCAAGGGAAGGGTAGTGAGATGACTTTTGAGTCCTCGCGACTTTTCCAAGTCATATCAAAGGAAGGGTAGTGCACTACAATGTACACGTGCAGTGCACAGTGTGGTGTGATGAATTTTGAATAGGGAGGGGCGACTTTTGCCCCTCCCTATGCCCCACCATCCATGCAAGAATACGGCGTGTGCTTTCTTCCTTGGGGCGTTTTGAGACGTCTCAAAACACTTCTGTTTACACGTGCCCCCACCATCCATGCAAGAATACGGCGTGTGCTTTCTTCCTTGGGGCGGTGCAGCTTTAACGCCTTGTCATTCTCCCGTTCCTTCCCCCCCTCCCCCCTCCCCCCTCCCGCCCTCCCTCTCTTTCCCACACAGGGCGAGACGGAGTGTGCTTTCTTTGTGCACGGGGCGGTGCAAGTTCGGAGTAACATGCTGCTGAGCCTCTAACGCCGGTCCTCCCCACCCCACACACACACAACCCCCCATCTCTCCTTCATAAACAGGGCGAGACGGAGTGTGCTTTCTTTGTGCACGGGGCAGTGCAAGTTCGGAGTAACATGCTGCTGAGCCTCTAACGCCGGTCCTCCCCACCCCACACACACACAACCCCCCATCTCTCCTTCATAAACAGGGCGAGACGGAGTGTGCTTTCTTTGTGCACGGGGCGGTGCAAGTTCGGAGTAACATGCTGCTGAGCCTCTAACGCCGGTCCTCCCCACCCCACACACACACAACCCCCCATCTCTCCTTCATAAACAGGGCAAGACGGAGTGTGCTTTCTTCCTGCGCACGGGTCGGTGCAAGTTCGGAGCCCTGTGCAAACCACTTCAACGCCTCGACATGACACCCATTCCCCCCTCCCCCGCCCCTCTCCTTCCTGCACAGGGAGAGACGGAGTGTGCGTTCTTTCTTCGCACGGGGCGGTGCAAGTTCGGAGCAACGTGCAAGTTTAACCACCCTGACCTGTACACGGCCCCGCTACAACCAATGGGGTTACATCCCTCCCAGCAGCATCCTTCCCAGTTGCTGCAGGCACCAATGGGGCTGCATCCTTCTCAGCTAAACCCCTCTCAGCTACAGCCGTCCCAGCTACAAACGTCTCAGCTACAGCCGTCCCTGCAGCATCCCGCCTACCAGTATCCCTCCCAGCTACGACCGTCCCAGTTACAACCGTCCCAGCAGCATCCCTCCCAGCTTCAACCATCCCAGCTACAGCCGTTCCAGCAGCAGCAGGTGCAGGTGTCGCAACCTGGGGGGGCACACACAGGAGAAGCAGAGGGGCCAGGTAGGGAACAGCCGAGAAGCAGCAGCTCTGGGGAAACATCAGGGGAAACACCTGGGAAAGAAGAAGCAAGTAGCCCTGCTGATGGTGGTGGTTATGCTGATGCTAGTGATGGGGGTGAAAGGTCCGGTCAAATGTCAGGTGAAATTTCAGGTGAAAATTCAGGTGGAATGGGAGGGGGTTCAGAAGCAACGGTAGCAGCAACAGCCGCAGCAGGAGCAGCAGCAGCAGGCACAGGAGAGGGGGTGCAAGGCGTTTTGAGCAAGGAGAGGACAGAGAGACAGGATAGAGAGTCAGGCAGGGAGACCGATGGGGATGCTGGAGGACATGAATGTCACGAGCTAACAGTAAGTCTTGTGGCTGGGCCAGAGGGGACAGGTGGTGTGGAAAGGCCAACAGAGGGTAATAGATCTCACGGTTCTGGTGCTGACACGTGTCAAACGCAGGTGAGCAAGTCGCAGGTGCAGAAGAAGAAGCGGCAGCAGAGGCAGCAGCAGCAGCAGCAGCAGCAGCAGCAACAACAACAACAGCAGTATCAGCACCAACAGTACCTGCAGCAGCAGCAGTATCAACAGTATCCGCAGCAGTACCAGCAGCACCACCAGCAATACCACCAGCAGTATCAGCAACAGTATCATCAATACATGCAGCTACATTATCAGCCGAACCATTCTCAGCCCCTACCCCAATCCCAGTCCCAGCCCCAGACCCAGCCCCAATTCCAGCAGCAGCATCAGTACCAACCCATGCAGCAAGGCGGAGGGGGGAGCGGCGGGGGAGGGTGGGGAGGAGGGGGAGGTGGGGGAGGTGGGGGAGGAGGGGGAGGAGGGGGGAGTATAATACCTAGTCCTAGCCCGAACCCCACAGTCAGCATGGGAATCGCCGTGGGCGCGGGAATGGGGGCAGGAAGCATGAATGTGGCAACAAGCAGTCACATGGGCATGGGCATGGGCACGGGCATGGGTCTAGGATATGCAGGCGCACCAGAAATGCTCTCCTCCGCATCCCCTGGTCCCCACATGACGACATCAGGCCCTTACATGACGTCAGCAGGCCCCTACATGACGTCAGCAGGCCCTTGCATGACGTCATCATCGGCTTCCAACGTGTCGACAGCAAACCCCTACATGACGTCATCAGGCCCGTACATGACGTCATCATTCCCCTATGCATCCTCAGTTGTTCCCTATCCTGCATACTCCCATCACCCTCAGTACCCTCATCACCCTCACTATCCTCCTCAATATCCTTACTACCCTCACTACTCTTCCACTAATCTCTCTGGAGGTACCTCCTTTGTTCCTTCTCCTGCTGTTCTTCCTCCCTCTTCTCTTCTTCCCTCTGCTCCTGCCACCACCGCTGCCCCTCTTTTTCCGCCTCCTTCTTGGCCTGCTGCTGCTCCTCCTGCTCCCCCTACTGCTCCTGCTCCTGCTCCTGCTGCTCTTCCTCCCTCTTCTCTTCCCCCTGCTGCTCCTACCGCTGCTCCTCCTCTTGCTGTTCCACTTGCTCCTCTTGTTGCTCCTGCTGCTCCTTATCTCCCTCCTCTTCATGCTTCTCTTACTGCTGCTACTGCCTCTGCTCATCTCTTCTCTCTAGTGGCCCCCCAGACCGTCCTCCCACCACCACCATCAGAAGCACCAGCAGCACCACCAGCAGCGCCAGCAGCAGTAGCAGCAGCAGCAGCGCCAGCAGCAGCAGCGCCAGCAGCAGTAGCAGCAGCAGCAGCGCCAGCAGCAGCAGCAGTAGCAGTAGCAGCAGCAGCAGCAGCGCCAGCAGCAGCAGCAGTAGCAGTAGCGGCAGCAGCAGCAGCGCCAGCAGCAGTAGCAGCAGCAGCAGAAGCTGGTACCGCTGCTGCTCCTTTCCCGATGAATCCGGCTTCGCCTGGTGAAGGTGCTTCAGGTGAAGGTGCTTCTGGTATAGTTGCTTCCGATGTCGGTGCTTCTGCTTTAGGTACTTCTGCTTTAGGTGCTTCTGGTGTAGGTGCTTCTGGTGTAGGTGCTTCTGGTGTGGGTGGTATTGTGGCAGTTGGCGAAGGTGCTTCTGGTGTGGTTGCTTCTAGTACAGGTGCTTCTGCTGTACATGCTTCTACTCAGCCTCTGCAGCCGTGTCAGCAGCAATATCCACACCAACAGCAGCAGCAGCAGCAGCAGCAGCAGCAGCAGCAGCAGAAGAAGGCACAGCAGGACGCACGGCAGGCCTTGCCGAACCTACCAGAGAGGCTCGGGCAACCGGTCTACCAATACTACATGCGGACCGGGACGTGCAGGTTCGGAGGATCATGCCGGTACCACCATCCAAAGAAAACACCTACCCCTGATCAGCACCAAAGCTAGACATACCCGCCGAGACCCCAAGAGTTATGGACAGGGTTCATCTACATGGTAAGAGTGGTCCCTGGCGTGCAGGTTCGGAGGATCATGAAGGTACGGTACCAGGATCATGCAGGTTCAGAAGTGGGGGGCGTGTCTTGTCAATCAACACCCAACCCAAGGCATGCACATCACAGGGATGTGCGGATGAAGTCAAGAACTACGGTAGATATGCAAGTTGTGCTAGCAATTAGAGGGTTTTTTTTAGTGTAGGGATTAGCGGGTTTACTTGCCTGCTTGCGTTAGGAGGATTTGGTACTATGAGATGAGACTCTGTTAGTGAAATAGTGAGTGGAACTTGGGAAGTGCTGGGTTAAATGTTTGTTGGGAGGGGACGAAAGAGGGGGAAAGGGGATGGAGGGACTGGAGCGAGGGCAGTCAGTCGGCCCAGGTGATGGAGTTTGCTGCGTCTGACATGGCGCTTCTCGCTCCTGTCTCGTCCACCACTTGCTACCACTCGCCACCGTCACGCTGGAGAATTGGGCGGAAGGGAGAGGGGGAAACAGAATGACGGTAGTGGGGGATATGGAAGGAATGGGTGCGTGATTTGGTGGGAGCGGAGGGGAGTACGCTCAAAACGATTCGAGTACGAAGTCAGGCAGGGCTGCTCGCAAGGTGCAAAGCACTAATGTTAGAGCGCAAAGATGACTGGGGGGGGACTGAGATATACATGTGGGGCAAGCCTAGCGAGAGTCAGCCAGTTTGAGTCGTTTGAGTGTAAATATGTTGAGTAATGTGTTTTCTAGTCGTGTCAAGCTGTGCGCCATTTTTCCCCACACCCTTCCCCACCCCACAAACCTTTCGCTACTGGACTTCCAACTGTATAACCCAATGCAAATTCAACTTTGCAGCTATTTTATAGTTTTAATCTACGGTTTTCTAATTCTGAAGTGTGCACTTCGCATATACCGGTAGACAAATATCCTCCTGCTACCGTTTCAAACATGATTGCAGTGTACTTTCAAGGTGCAGATACTGTCAATGTCGAGTATTTTTTAGCCTCCTGGATTCTGCCGAAACCGCCTGACAAATTCTTCTCGAGTTCATCCGAACAGACTGACACCACCACCCACCATAGCTTGTCGGACTCAGAAGCTTGTGCTGTGTACTTAGCCATTTGAAAGCTATTAGCGGCTCCATTTCCGCTTAACGGCTCTACCTTCCCTAGATACGCACGACGGCCCGTTTCACATTTATTCCCTTTCCTTGCTGTCGCCTTGTCTGCCCGATTGCTCGCTCGTTCGGATCCTTTTTCCGTGCCTTGCTGGCTTCGCCGTCGTTTCGCCGGCATCGTCTTCGTTTCGCCGGTTTCGTCTTTGCCTCGCCAATCTCGCCATCGCCTCACCTGGCATGATGGTACCTCCTCACGTGAAATGTCTGTCGCTACACAATGTCACATTGGCTGGGCAAGGCAATCGTTCCTTACTGTCACAGCCGGTACTACTACTGTCACAGCTCGTGCCATCCGCGTGTCGGTGGGTTCGCGCTGTTGGTGCGCATGGAATAAAGACACGGACGACACTATTTCCAGGGAATAGAGCAGCTTGCTCGTTGCATGAAGGCTCCTAGTAGTAATAGCCTCTTTGAGATAGTATTTTCTTGAGGATCGAGATTACTGGATAAGGACGTTAAGGACCGATTGCCGTAGAATCACGTTAGTCGCGAGCCTTATGTATCAGGCATCTCCTAAGCGGCCTTGTTCTCCTGCCAACCACCTGAAGATTCTCCTGAAAGCTGACATCCTCACCGTCAGCCTGACAGCCTGACACCCATCGTCCCTCCAGCGTCACATGTGCACTGAGGCTTCGTAAAAGTGACTCAGTTCTGAGGCGCCTCAAAACTAGACTCCCTCCAGCGTCACATGCACACCGAGGCTTCGTAAAAGTGGTTCAGTCGCCAAAATCGTGATACTCTCCAGGAGTCGCAGGATTCGGTCGCGGACCAACATACAAGTCATGAGGCAGCAAGTGCAGCAGATCATGCAACGACATCGCGAGGTGTCGCGACGCCAGCACAATGATCGTCAGCGCAATGACCGTCAGCGCAATGACCGTCAGCGCAATGACCGTCAGCGCAATGACCGTCAGCGCAATGACCATCAGCGCGCTTTTGACCTCCTATTTTTCCTGCTTCTTGTTGCTGCACCATCTACTGCAGTGGCATCAGCAGCAGCGGTAGCAGGAGCAGCGGCATCAGTAGTACCTGCAGCAGGAACCCGTGAAAAGGCCACTGAAATCAGTCTGCCTCTCCCAGAACCCGTTATCCGTGCGGCTGCAACCCCCGTTTTCAAGAGTTCATCGCTTGAATCGCCTGACATCGCAGGATTCAACAACGCACCCAGCTTTCCAGCTTTTGTTGATGGGATTCGTGAAATGAGAGGGGCTCATCACAACAAAGGGATTCATAACACCAAAGGAGACAGCAGGGAGGTTCATCCCACCAAAAGTGTTCATTCCGTCCTGAGGGTCCATGACCCCAGAGCAATTCATCACAATCACACCAACGCAGTTCACACCGGTGCCGGAAAGTCGAATCAACGGCTGAGTAGGCTCCCTCGGGGATGGCCAGGCATCAGGAAGAGGCCACGTGGATCCAGCCAATGTGCACGCGCCACGTCATCAGGAAAATCGTTGCTGCCGCTGCTGCGACTGCAGAAGATAAGGAGAGGCAAGGGGAAGTGTGGCAGGGGACGGAGGGGGAGGGGCAAGGGCGAGAGAAGCAGGGGTGGGAGGAAGAGTAAGGTCAGCATGGGGATGGGAGACAGGAGGGGGGGAAGCGGACACAATTCATCAGCAAAACCACCTGCTCCGATCACACCTAGTCAGAAACCACCTGCTCCGATCACTCCTGGTCAGAAACCACCTGGTCAGAAACCACCTGGTCAGAAACCTTCTACTGGATCAAGTCCACCTGCTAGTCCAGATTCACCTGGGGAATCACCTGGCCGCCACGTCAGCATGCGGTCGAATCAAGATGCGCCACAACAGGCAGCAACAGGCAGCAGTAACACGTCAGACAAGGACACGACTGTAGCGCCGTTACCAGCTGTAGCGCCATTTCCGGCTGTAGCGCCTGGTGGTGCTGATGGTGCTCCAGAGGCAGCAACAGCAGAAACAGCAGTAGCAGCAGCAGCAACGTCGCCTGCTGCGCCCCCAGCTGCTCCCCAACAGCCTCCCAAGCCCAAGTACTTCCTCGAGATGGGCAAGATCCGCGTGAGTGGGAGGGGATGGAGCGCGTGAGTGGTGGGATGGGGGTCCGGGTGAGTGGGAAAGATGGGGATCAGGTCAGGTAGAGAAATGTCTCGTGCTGCGGTTTCTCCCCCTCCAGCTGCTCCCCAGCAGCCCAAGCCCAAGTACTTCATCGAGATGGGCAAGATCCGCGTGAGTGGGCGGGTGGATGGGGGTCCGCATGTGTGGGGGTAAGAGGATAAGGTAGGGCAATATCTGGTGCTCCTGGATCTGCCGCTGCTGCTCCCCAACAGCCCACACCCAAGTGCTTCCTGGAGATGTTCAAGATCCGGGTGAGTTGGGGGGGGATGGGGGTCCGCGTCAGTGTGGAAATGGGATAAGGTAGGGAAATATCTGGTGCTGCTCCCTAACAGCCCAAGCCCAAGTGCTTCCTCAAGATGGGCAAGATCCGCGTGAGTTGGGGGGGGGGATGGGGGTCCTTGTGAGTGGGGGGGAGGATGGAGGTCCGTGTCAGTGGGGGGAGGATGGGGGTGGGATTGACAGCTATGTGTAGCTGCTGCTGGTCCCCTTGCTGCATACCAGCAAGGAGACCATCTCCTTGCTTCTTGCTCTTCATCCTGCTGCCATCACCCAACCCCACCCCCCCACCCAATCACGCCCCCAGGTGTCAGGGATCCACACCGCTCTGACTCATTATAAGACAATCCTTTACATTCTTCTCTCTGCTACATGTAGCTGTTGACTTCTGTGTTGCTCTCTGCTGCTCTGTGCTGCCTTCGCCCCACAGGTGTCAGGGATCCACACTGCTCTGACTCATTATAAGACGATCCTTTAGTTGCTTGTATCTGCCACGTGTAGCTGTTGACTTCTGTGTTGCCCTCTGCTGCCCTCTGCTGCTCTGTGCTGCCTTCAACCCTCCAGGTGTCAGGTATCCACACTGCTCTGACTCATTATAAGACGACCTTCTCCTGCTGCCATCACCTTCAACCCCTCCCCCCCACCCAATCACGACCCCAGGTGTCAGGGATCCACACTGCTCTGACTCATTATAAGACAATCCTTTACATCGACCGCACGGACGTCAGCAACACCTATGCCAAGCTCCCAAACGGAAGGGTGAGAGGATTTGCTCGCGCCAGTGCTCTGTCTGCTGTTTGTGTCTCATATGCACCAGAGCAGAGCAGACAGACTGTAGCAGGTCTCATTCATTCGGATTAGCAGAGAGTTTAAGCAATTTTGGAGGTGCTTTCTAGTTTGTCTCATATTCTCCAGAGTGGTAGGTTTTTTACCGTAACAGGTCTAAGGTGTAGGAGGATTGTAACGGGTGACTGTAACAGGTGTGGGACTGTAACAGGTGTAGGACTGTAAGAGGTATAAGCAGGTCTTATCTGAAAACACGTTGAGACTCACTAAGTAAGCTCTGTCTGTCTGTTGGTCCGTCCGCCTGCCTGTCTGTCCCTCCGGACGTCAATTCTACTATCTGCTTTCAAGGCCATCGGATCCCCCCACATCCCGAACTAACTCCTTCCCTCCCTCGCTCCCTTTCTCCCTCCCTCCTTCCCGCCCTCCTCACTCACTCACCCGCTCGCTCCCTCCCCCGCTCCCTCCCTTCCTCACTCCGCCATCCCTCCCTCCCTCCCTTGCACCCTCCCTCGCTCTCCGTTCAGACGGCGTATGCAGAGGAGTACAGCTTCGAAACGGGGTCGCTCAGGGCTCTGGACGTCAAGTCAGTCATATCATTATCTGTCTCTTCCCCCCTCCACCCTCCCCCCACCTCACCTCCCTCCCACTCCCACCGTTCAGGCGGCTTACGCTGAGGATTACAGCTTCGATACGAGGTCGCTCAGGGCTCTGGGCGTTTAAGTCCACGTTCTGCTCTTCCCCCCCCTCTTCATCCCCACCTCCCTACCTCACTCCCTCCGTTCAGACGGCGTATGCAGAGGAGTACATCTTTGAAACGGGGTCGCTCAGGGCTCTGGACGTCAAGTCACCCAGTCACTAATAGCCTCTGTCTCTTCTCCCCTCCACCCCCCCCCCCCCCCCCATTTCCTCTTTCAGACGGCGTATGCAGAGGAGTACAGCTTTGAAACGGGGTCGCTTAGGGCTCTGGACGTCAAGTCTAATGTCTTCTGTTCCTTTCCCCCATCCCCACCTCCCCCCTCCGCACGCACGCCGTTCAGACGGCGTATGCAGAGGAGTACAGCTTTGAAACGGGCTCGCTCAGGGCTCTGGACGTAAAGTCCAATGTCTTCTGTTCCTTTCCCCCATCCCCACCTCTCCTTTTCCCCCCCACATGCACACCCTTCAGACGGCTTATGCGGAAGAGTACAGCTTTGAAACGGGGTCGGTCAGGGCTTTGGACGTCAAGTCAAACGTCTTCTGCTCTGCAGGTACGTGCCGGTCAACGATAGTCAACGATGGTCAACGCTGGACAATTCTGGAAAATGCTCGTCAGTGTTGGTCAAGTGGTCAATGCTGGTCAATGCCATAGACCCATTTGGTCGCCTGATCAGCATCGGAGGCACATCAGACGCCAATGCCACCAACCTGGCCGACCCTCTGCTGTGTGATGTTCTCATTCTCACCACCCCAACCCTCCTTCCCCAACCTCACCAGGAGCCATAGACCCCTACGGTCAGCTGATCAGCATCGGAGGCACATCAGACGCCAATGCCACCAACCTGGCCGACCCTCTCCTCGATGGAGCTGCCTCTCTGCCTCTCTCCTCCCCCCCTCTCTCGCCCCACCAGGAGCCATCGACCCATACGGTCGGCTGTTCAGCATCGGCGGCACATCAGACGCCAATGCCACCAACCTGGCCGACCCTCTCCTTGACGGAGCTGCCTCCATCCGCTCCTTCTCGCCCTGCCCCCCTGCCACTAGTGGCGCTGGTACCCCTGCTGCTGCCGCTACTGCCAATAGCAGCAGCAGCAGCGGCGGCAGCAGCAGCAACAACGGCAACACCAGCAGCGGCGGCGGCGGCGGCAACAGCAGCAGCAGCAGCAGCAGCAGCAGCAGTGGGGGGTGTGATTTCTCCCTGGTGGGTCAAATGACCTCCAAGCGGTGGTACCCCACGGCCCAGCTCTTACCAGACGGGCGTCCAACCCTCCCATTCCCCTGCTCCGCGGTCCACAACCCTCCAGGCAACTACAAGCTCCGCTTTCTGGAAGAGACGCTTCCCTACAACCTCTACCCCTTCGTGCATCTGCTGCCTTCTGGTCATCTGTTTATATTCGCGGGGCAGCGGGCGATCCTGCTTAACTACACAACCAACACAGTACGCTGAACCACACTGGATCTCACTTGGCCGTACTGAACCCCACTGAACCACGGTGAACCACTTTGAATCTCGACTAGGTGCACGGTGGGTGGTGTGTTGCCCTTTACCCGTTTGTGCACTTGCTTAAAACAGAGCATCTGTTTATATTCGCGGGGCAACAGGCAATCCTCCTAAACCACACCACTGATTGAGTACACACTGAACTGCACTGAACCACCCTGTCACAGCTCCTCTCCCTCTCTCATCTCTCCCTCCCTCACTCCAACCCCATCGTTCCTACCTCATGCTTTGGCCCCCCCAATATCAACATCTTCCACTCCTACCCTGTCACCGGCTCCTCGTCTTTCCACTTCTCTCCTCTTCTCTCCTCTTCTCCCCCTCCCATCTCTCTCAGGTGTACCGCACTCTTCCTCCTCCTCTCGACGTATCCCGCTTCGGCCCTGCCAACACCAACATCTTTCGCTCCTACCCTGTCACCGGATCTTCCGCCATGCTACAACTCTCCTCAGGTATTTCCCCCTTCACACCTGTGCTACAGCCTCTCGGTGCCAAAGCCTTTCTGTGGTACAGCCGTTCACCAGTATGTGTCGTGGCACTAAAACTCAAAACGTTTTGTCTCGCAAATAAGTCCCAGATTTATCCTTCCGTTACCAGCTGACGGGTACACGCCCAGGATTCTATCTGTGGGGTCAGCAGCAGCAGCAGCCAGCAATGAAACCATCACCGCCTCCTCCCCTTCCCTCTGGCCAGATAGTAACAACCCCTTCCCATCCCCCTGTTTCATTTGTGGGGACAGCAACAGCAGCGCAGACCCAGCGAGCTGGGACAACCGCAGGGGGCCGTGCCTTGGGTGTGCGGGTGCATGCAATACTCAACCTCCCATCCCCACTCCATCCCCGTCTCCATCTCCCCTTCTCCCCCTCTCCCATTCCCAGCTGACGGGTACACGCCCAGGATTCTCATATGCGGGGGCAGCAGCAGCAGTGCTGACCTCACTAACCGGGACAACCGCACAGGGGCGTGCCTTGGGTGTGCGACCCCTGCCACAGCCACGTGTGGGCTCATTGCTCCCATGGATGCCAACCCCACGTGGACCTACGAGATCATGCCTGTGGCACGGTGAGTGCCGTTTCAACTCCCTTTGTTCTTCTTCTTCTTCTGCTCCCTGGTGCATGCCAGCTAGAGAGTGCCTTGGCTTGGGTGTGCCGCCCCTGCCACAGCCACGTGTGGGCTCATTGCGCCCATGGACCCCAACCCCACGTGGACCTACGAGGTCATGCCCGTTGCTCGGTGAGTGCACAGATTGTGCCCCATTGAGTGCACAAATCCCCTGCCACAAGCAAGCGTGTAGGCACTGAATGAGGTGCCCCTTGCCTTGGGTGTGCTTGGCCCTGCCACAGCCACGTGTGGGCTCATTGCGCCCATGGATGCCACCCCTACATGGACCTACGAGATCATGCCCGTGTCCCGGTGAGTGCCGCTTCAACTCCCTCGGTTCTGCTTCTTCTGCTCGCTCGTGCCTCCCTGCGAGAGTGTTCCTTCCCTTGGGGGTGTGTCGCCCCTGCCACAGCCACGTGTGGGCTCATTGCGCCCATGGATGCCACCCCTACATGGACCTACGGGATCATGCCTGTGGCACGGTGAGTGCTGCATAGGGTAGGTGCGTGTGAGTGTCTACGTGTGAGTGAGGCGTGCCTTGGGTGTGCGGCCCCTGCCACGGCCACGTGTGGGCTCATTGCGCCCATGGATGCCAACCCTACGTGGACCTACGAGATCATGCCTGTTGCACGGTGGGTGCTGCAGTCCCTCTGCCTGCCCTTCCTGGCCGTGTGTGTGCTCTGCGAGCGTCAGAGCACAGTCTTGCATGAGCAGTGGCCCCTGCCACAGCCACGTGTGGGCTCATCGCGCCCATGGACTCTAACCCCACGTGGACCTACGAGATCATGCCCGCTGCACGGTTAGTGCACAAGCACCCTGCCACGAGCAAGAGCTTTAGCAGTGAGTGAGGTGCTTTGCCTTGGGTGTGTTGCCCCTGCCACAGCCACGTGTGGGCTCATTGCTCCCATGGATTCTAACCCTACATGGATCATGGACCTACGAGATCATGCCCGTTGCGCGGTGAGCACTTTCTCGTGCCTCCTCGTTCTGCTTCCTCTGCTCGCTCGTGCCTGCGTGTGAGCGTGCCTTGCCTTGGGTGTTGCTCGGTGAGCGCATAAGCTTTGCGGTCCTTCCTTGGCCTTCCTGGCCCCATGCGTGCTGCGTGGTTGCCTGCAAGAGTACCTTGCCTTGCCTTGCCTGCCTTTGGTGAGTGCGGCCCCTGCCACAGCCACGTGTGGGATCATTGCTCCCATGGACGCCAACTTTGACAAAGAGATTCATTCCCCCTTCCCCCTCCCACTTCCTCACCCTTCCCCCGCCGCCTCTCCTTCCGACCCTGAGCAGTGTCATGCCAGATGCCGTGCTCCTATTGGACGGCACGGTCCTGATCTGCAACGGAGGCAGGAGAGGATTCCAGGGGCTGAAGCAGTCATATGCTGGAGGGGACGTGAGGACTCCAGTCATCTACACTCCCTCTAACCCTCCTGGCAAGCGGTGAGAACCCACCAATCCTTGGGTTCTACTGATCAGGTGGTTGCGCAATAGAGTGCTCGCATAGGAGGGAGGCAGGCAGGCAGGCAGGAGGGGCTTTCAGGGGCTGAAGCAGACGTACGCTGGAGGGGACGTGAGGACACCCACCATCTACACTCCCTCTAACCCTCCTGGCAAGCGGTAGGTTGCCCTGTGTACAGTAGGAGGGAGGGGATCAAGAGGGGCTTTCAGGGGCTGAAGCAGTCATACGGTGGAGGGGACGTGAGGACTCCTGTCATCTACACTCCCTCTAACCCTCCTGGCAAGCGGTAGGTTGCCCTGTGTACAGTAGGAGGGAGGGGATCAAGAGGGGCTTTCAGGGGCTGAAGCAGTCATACGGTGGAGGGGACGTGAGGACTCCTGTCATCTACACTCCCTCTAACCCTCCTGGCAAGCGGTGAGAACCCACCAATTCTTGGCTTCTACTGATCAGGTGGTTGCGAATAGAGTGCTCGTGTAGGAGGGGGGCTTTCAGAGGCTGAAGCAGTCGTACGCTGGAGGGGACGTGAGGACACCCTTCATCTATACTCCCTCTAATTTTCCCGGCAAGCGCTAGGTTGCTTTTTGTAGCGTGGGTGGTCCTACAGTAGAGTGCTCGTGGAGAGGGAGGAGGCAGGAGGGTTTTTCAGAGGCTGAAGCAGACGTATGCTGGAGGGTGTAACGGTTCTTCCAGATCTCATTCTATCCCCTCCCTCTTCCCACAGCTTCTGGCAGGTGCCGGAATCGAGTCGCTATGCCCGCATGTGCCACTCCTCTGCAGTCCTCTGCCCTGCTGCACTGCTGCTCTGCTCTCTTTCGTTCTGATAAATGTGGCACGAACCCCACTTTCTCCTTCCCCCTTTGTACAGTTTCTGGCAGGTGCCGGAATCGAGTCGCTATGCCCGCATGTACCACTCATCTGCACTCCTCTGCACTCCTGCTCTGCTGCTCGAGACCTCATTCTATCCCCTCCCTCTTCCCACAGCTTCTGGCAGGTGCCGGAATCGAGTCGCTGTGCTCGCATGTGCCACTCCTCTGCACTCCTCTGCCCTGCTGCACTGCTGCTCTGCTCTCTTTCGTTCTGATGAATGTGGCACAAACCCCACTTTCTCCTTTCCCCCTTTGTTCAGCTTCTGGCAGGTGCCAGAGTCAAGCCGCTATGCCCGCATGTACCATTCTTCCGCACTGCTTCTCTGGGATGGCTCGGTTTTAATTTCCGGGTCTAATCCCAACGATCGCCTCACCACCAGGGGAACTTACCCTACTCAATTTGCTGTTGACCGGTTCGCCCCGCCGTATCTGCAATGGGGGGTACCCAGAAACGTGCTGTGGAAGGTGAGGAGGAAGAGAGGGGAGGTTGTGGGGAAGGGAGGTTGTGGGGAGTGGGGGTTGACAGGAGTCCTCACGTCCCCTCCACCGTATGACTGCTTCAGCCCCTGAAAGCCCCTCTTGATCCCCTTTCAAGGGTAGACAGGGCAAAGTCTCCATTCTCGGTTGACCGATTTGGCCTGCCGTATCTGCATGGGGGGTATCCAGGAATTTGCTGTGGAATGTGAGAAGGGAGGGAGAAATAGGAGGGGGTTGGGGGCTGTGGGGAATGGGAGGGGGCTGTAGAGGAGGGGGGGGGAGGGGGAGTTAGGGCAGAGTCTTGATTCGCCGTTGACCGGTTCGCCCCGCTATATCTGCTGTCGTGCAATGCCCACCGTGCCAATAACCACTCTCTCTCTCCCTCCCTTCACTTTCTACCCTCCAAGTACCCACTACCATCACTTTAAATTCCCGGTTGACCGGTTCGCCCCGCTATATCTGCCGTCGTGCAATGCCCACCGTACCAATAACCACTCTATCTCATCTCTCCCTCCCTTTCTACCCTCCAGGTACCTGCTACCATTGCTTTAAATTCCCTCTTCTCAGTCCGGCTCAACACGACTGTAATCACTCCCCCATCACTACCCCGTCTGATCAATCGCTTTCGAGCCGTTCTTGTCCATCCGGGGTTTTCCACACACAGCCAACGCATGGGTATGCGTAACGTGTTGCTCGATATATCAGCAGTCTGGATTTCGCCGGACAATCAAACTGTTACGGCTGCAATAAGAGCGCCGCCCAATAGCAGCATTGCGCCGCCCAGTATTTATTGGTTGCATATATTAGATCAAGGTGGTTATCGCGATGCAAATGGAGCATGGGTGCCTGGGAAGTGGGTTCCCAATTTGGAAGGTCAGCCTTTGAGGCTAGTCAAGTAATTGAGAGAGTTTGACACTACTAGCTGCATTATTGAAAAGAAATCTTCATCTGGCATGGGTGCGTTCTTATTGGGATAATTGCTGACAGTACCATTCTTGCATGTTCTCGTGTTTTTAGCCTGCACATTCGTAACAAATATATGTTTTCTACTGCAAATGGTCTCTAATATTCGTGAATTACCCTATACCGGGTACCTCTCCCCCCATCCATCCAACCTCTCCCTCCCTACATTCTTCGATCTGGTGTCTCTCCACCAAATCCTTCAAATCCGTCGAATCCTTCGAATCTGTCACATTCTCGGAATTCCTACCTTCCTTGGGATTGCCGACAGACTGATCAGCTTCTAGGACTCTGCTGTTCTTCCAGCGGCAGCAGCTATGGCGTCTCTAGGCGCATGCGGGATCCGATTCGCGCGGCGCTTTGTGGTTTTCACGCTTGTTCTGGCGTCGCTCGCTTGTATCGGTCAAGCCAGCGAGAATCTGGTCATTGTCAGGGCAGATCGTAAGGTGCGAATTGGCCATTGATCACAAGAGGGAATCTCTTAGAATAGTGACCTAATAATTCTGGTTAGTGTCGTGAGGTGCGAACGACAGGCTGTTTATTTACGACATAGTAGAATGATGGTTAGATTTGCGGTCGAGTCACCACGGCCAGACCGTTTCGCTATTGTCACTTTCAGAATCTGGATCTGAGTGATTTTGTACGTCAGATCCATAGTTTACCGTAGATCGTTAGATCTGAATTATAGTCATCGCTATCTTCATAGCTTAACGCTAAGCGTGCGACATTCATTGACCCTCGACGGATTGCTCGTTAGGTCGCATTAACAGCCGTTTCTACTTTCCGTGTTTACCCTGAATGCCTTTATGTCCTTCACGTTTTGAAGGGATAACAACGGGCTTAATCCTGTTTTTATTTTATTTTTTTCCAAATAATTGAGAAAAGAGACGCCTTTTTAGGCGGCTCAACCGTGGCCGTTCCACATACAATGCTCTCTTGTTTTCGCCTTCTTATTCATTTGCGTTCTCTCCGTCTTCTCTCTGATGCAGATCGACCTTCAGACCCATCTTGTCCGCAACTCCGCGACCCTCAAGGTGAGACATTTTGGGATTGGACACACATATTGTTTTTTGAAATTCCAAAATAAAGTCGGACACAGCATGCTCGATGCGTTTAGACGCATTTCCCTCTATTATATGGTGAGACGCATTGAGCCGAGAGACAGCATGTTTTCGGCCATTTTGAAGTAATTTCTGCGGGTGATGCGGCCTTTCTTAGCGTGTGTGAATGGACCCGAAATAGTATGCAGAGCGGATTGTACCTGCACATACGCCTTGTTCTGAGAATGTTGCAATTTTCTCCTACGCTGATGTCGGAGCATGCACAGCGGACAGTACAGCAGGGGATGATGCTCATGTTGATTTGCGCAAGGGCTCGGACACAGCAGGCGGTGAAACCGCTCTGTTGTCGTGGAGACACGCACATGCCATGAGGGTTCTGATGCTGGCACGCTGTTGAACGGATGCTGCATTGTTCTGGTCTCGAGGACGCAGCAGGGCGCTTTCCGAGCCTTGCTGTTGTGAAAACAAGACATGCAGTGAGGGTTCTGATGCTGGAAGTGCTGCATGTAGTGTGCTCTTTTTATATCTATTCGTCACCTACAGGTGGAGCTCAACGCCTGTCTCTTCGGTTTCAGAAGCGCCCTTCCAATCCAACCTTTCTTAACTCCTCCTAATCTCTCTCATCTCTCTAATCTCTCTGCTCTCTCTGCTTTTCTCTAACACGTACAGGTCGAGAACGCAGGGTCAACGCCTGTCTCCTCGGTCACCCTCGCCCTGCTCGTCCCGCCGCCCGGCCGCCTCGCGTTCGCCACAGCCGTGCTTCTCCAGGGCAAGGCCAAGAGCCGCACCTTCCAGGAACTTCCCCTCACTTCCACCACCCCGGAATCCGCGGTCGAAAACGCGGTTTACTTCAAAGCGCAGCTGCCCGCGCCGCTAGAGCCCGGGAAAACCGCTCAGATCGAGTGCTACTTTGTGGTGATTAACGCTCTCACGCCCCACCCGGCGGAAATCACTCAGGCAGACCCGCAGCTGGTTCTTTTCCAGGACTCGCACTACTTCACCTCTCCGTACCCCGTCCGATCGCAGAGCACCGTTCTCCGCCTCCCCAGCCACCAGATCGAGTCGTTCACGCCGCTGGAACCTTCCAAGAAGGCGGACTCGGAGATTAAGCTGGGGCCGTATGAGGGGGTGGAGGCTGGGGCTGTGTCGGCGCTTTTGGTGCATTATGAGAACAACCGGCCTTTCCCGCTGTTTGAGCGCGCGGAGAGGGAGTACGAGATTTCGCACTGGGGGAATGTGTATGTGACGGAGGACTACCATCTCGTGCACTCGGGCGCCAAGCACACCGGCATGTTCTCCCGGTGAGTGTTTTTTGAGGGGGAATAGAGAGAAGGCAGGCAGGCAGAGAAAGATTATGGGGAGAGGGAGTATGAGATCTCGCAGTGGGGGGATGAGATCTCGCAGTGACGGAGCACTATCATCTGGTGCACAGTGCACTCAGGCGCCAAGCACACGGGCATGTTCTCCCGGTGAGAAGGGCAGAAGGGCAACGAAGGAGAGAGCCAATGGGGACAGGCAGAGAGGCAGAGGCAGAGAGGCAAAGAAGTAGAGAGGCAATTTGAATGAGGCAGAGGCTTACCAGCTCATGCAATTGGGCGCATGGACATGTTCTTCCCCGAGTAGTGACTTTTGAGTCGACTCAAAAGGCGAACGTATTCGGTTCATGCATGGAATGAGGCTTACCAGCTCATGCACTTGGGCGTATGGACATGTTCTTCCCCACCTGCATCCCCCTGTAGCCCCTCCTCCTCTCTGCTCATGTTCCCCAGTCTGGACTACCAGCACCGTCCCATGGCCATTGGCGTCTCGTCCCTGCGCGGGCTCATGGGAGTACTGCCGGAGAGAGACGTATTTGACTCATGTCTGCGCCTCCTCCTTCCTCTCCTCCCGTCCGCCCCTCATCCACCTTCCCGCATCCCAGTCTGGACTACCAGCATCGCCCCATGGCCATTGGCGTGTCGTCCCTGCGCGGACTCATGGCAGTACTGCCAGAGAGGGACAAACTGGACTTGAATAAATCTCTAATTCCTTTCCTTTCTTGCCAACCCCCTATTCCCCTCCCCACTCCTACTCCCCCCTCCGCTCTCCCCCCTCCCGCCCAGTCTGGACTACCAGCACCGCCCCATGGCGATCGGCGTCTCGTCTCTGCGCGGACTCATGGCAGTACTGCCGGAGAGGGCTAACACGGTGTATTACAGGGATGAGATTGGGAATATCTCTACCTCGCACCTCCGATACCCGCCCCGAAAGGTGCGCAGTGCGGTGCTGGTGGTTGCTGGTGAGTGCTGGTGGGTGCGGGTGGGTGTGAGTGGGGTGCTAGTGGGTGGTGGGGGGTTGATGGCAGTACTGCCGGAGAGGGCCCACACGGTGTATTACAGGGACGAGATTGGGAATATCTCCTCCTCGCACCTCCAATACCCGCCTCGCAAGGTGCGCAGTGCGGTGCTGGTGGGTGCTGGTGGGTGTGAGTGGGGTGCTAGTGGATGGTGGGGGACTCATGGCAGTGCTGCTGGAGAGGGTGCAGACGGTGTATTACAGGGATGAGATTGGGAATATCTCTACCTCGCACCTCCGATACCCGCCCCGAAAGGTGCGCAGTGCGGTGCTGGTGGGTGCTGGAAAGTGTTGGTGTGGTGCTGGTGGGTGCTGGTGGGTGTTTGTGGGGTGCTAGTGGGTGGGGGGAGGGGGGGGGGGGTTGTGATCGCAGTGCTGCCGGAGAGGGCCCACACGGTGTATTACAGGGACGAGATCGGGAATATCTCTACCTCTCACCTCCGATACCCGCCCCGAAAGGTGTGCAGTGCGGTGCTGGTGGGTGCCGATGGGGTGCTGGTGGGTGCTAGTGGGTTCTGGTGGGTGTGAGTGGGGTGCCAGTGGGTGCTGGGGGGCTCATGGCACTGCCGCCGGAGAGGGCCCACACGGTGTATTACAGGGACGAGATCGGGAATATCTCCTCCTCGCACCTCCGATACCCGCCCCGTAAGGTGTGCAGTGCGGTGCTGATGGGTGCTGGTAGGTGTTGGTGGGGTGCTGGTGGGTGCTGATGGGGTGCTGGTGGGTGCTGATGGGGTGCTGGTGGGTGCTGGTGGTTGGCATGTTCCAATTTTCTCGTCCCATGTTCACCCCACACATCCTCCTCTACCTGTACTCTCGCCCACTCTCAGACCTAACTCCATCCGCCCGTCCCTCTCCCGAACCTCCCTTACCGAACCTCAGGCCGAGCTGGAGATCGAGCCTCGTTACCCGCTCCTGGGAGGCTGGTCCGTGACGTTCCGAGTGGGGTACAGCGTGCCTCTGGGCGACCTGGTGTCCATCAGCACTGACGGCACCCGCATGCTCAACGCCACCCTCGGCAGCCCCTTTGCTGACGTGCCCGTCAAGCATCTGACTGTCAAGGTGAGCGCCATGGGGAGAAGGGCAAGGGAGGGGCAGCAGGGGAGGGGCAGCAGGGGAGGGGCAGCAGGGGAGGGGCAGCAGGGGAGGGGCAGCAGGGGAGGGACAGCAGGGGAGCAGGGGCAGCAGGGGAGGGAGTGTTGGGTGGGTGGGTGGTGGGAAGAGAGGAGGGGCGTTCCGAGTGGGGTACAGCGTGCCTCTGGGCGACCTTGTCTCCATCAGCTCTGACGGCACTCGCATGCTCAACGCCACCCTCGGCAGCCCCTTTGCTGACGTGCCCGTCAAGCACCTCACGGTCAAGGTGAGAGACTCTGTGAGAACAGAGCTTATTACAGAAGATAGATTGCACACGAGGGAGGCACTCGCATGCTCAACGCCACCCTCGGCAGCCCCTTTGCTGACGTGCCCATTAAGCACCTCACTGTTAAGGTGAGAGTCCGGGAGTTTCATGGGGAGAGGGGCACGGGAGCAGGGAGGGGCAAGGGAGCAGGGTGGTGTAGCAGGGGAGGGGAGCAGCAGCAGACGGGGTGTTGGGTGGGTGGGTGGTGGGAGGAGGGGCGTTCCGAGTGGGGTACAGCGTGCCTCTGGGCGACCTGGTCTCCATCAGCACTGACGGCACGCGCATGCTCAACGCCACCCTCGGCAGCCCCTTTGCTGACGTGCCCGTCAAGCACCTGACCGTAAAAGTGAGCAGGGGAGGGGAAGCAAGGGAGCAGGGGCAGCGGGGAGGGGGTGTTGGTTGGGTGGGTGGTGGGTGGCTGGTCCGTGACGTTCCGAGTGGGGTACAGCGTGCCTCTGGGCGACCTGGTCATCATCAGCACTGACGGCACTCGCGTTCTCAACGCCACCCTCGGCAGCCCCTTTGCTGACGTGCCCGTCAAGCATCTGACCGTCAAGGTGAGCGCCATGGGGAGAGGGGCAAGGGAGGGGCAGCAGGGGAGGGGCAGCAGGGGAGGAGGCCAGCAGGGGAAGAGGCAAGCAGGGGAGGGGGGCAGCAGGGGAGGGGGGTAGCAGGGGAGGGGGTGTTGGTTGGGTGGTGGGTGGGAGGAGAGGCGTTCCGAGTGGGGTACAGCGTGCCTGTGGGCGACCTGGTCTCCATCAGCACTGACGACTCATTCCCCTAAGCTCATGCATAGTACCCTCCGTCATCTCCCTTCCGTGTGTACTTCTCCCTCCTCCCTTCCTTTTAAAGAGCGGCTTCTCTGCAGACATGCCATGAGGCTCATGCCCTCTCGTAGAGAGGGTGTTTTTGAGACGTCTCAAAAACACCCTCTCTACACGTGGCTATTCTCTGCAGACATGCCATGAGGCTCATCATGCCCTCCCTTTCTCCCCTTTTCCATGTGCTCGTACTTCTTCCGCTTTTTTTAAACTCTCAAAATCTCCCCCTTTCCATGTGCTCGCACTTTTTCCGTTTTTTTTGGAATTTTCAGAATCTCCCCCTTTCCATGTGCTCGTACTTTTTCCGTTTTTTTTTTGAATTCTCAAAATCTCCCTCTTTCCATGTGCTCGTACTTCTTCCGTTTTTTTGGAATAATCTCCCCCTTTCCATGTGCTCGTACTTCTTCCGTTTTTTTGGAATAATCTCCCCCTTTCCATGTGCTCGTACTCTTCCGTCCCCCCTCCTTGTCTTCCCTCCCCCTCCCGTTCCTCCCGTTTTCAACCTGGTTCTTTTGTAATTCCAGGTGGTTCTCCCGGAGGGATCATATGGCATTTCTGCGGATGTGCCCTTCCCCGTGGGCAAGAGCACTGAGGTGAGTGCAGGGGGTGTGAGAAGGTAGAGGAAGCATGAGCATGGGGGCATGGAGGCGTGCGGGCATGGGAGTATGAGGGCAAGGGGGCCTGATAAGTGGTGCTGGGTTAAGTGTAATGACTCACTGATTCATTCTCATACCTTTTTTTTCCCACCCCTCCCCATACGTCTCCATCCCCCTCCATCCCCCTTTTCTGCATTTAGCCAAAGTATTCTTATCTGCATCCCTTCCCATCCCTTTTCATCCTTCCCATCCTTTTTCATCCCTTCCCATCCCTTCCTATCCCTTTTCATCCCTTTCCATCCCTTCCCATCCCTTCCCATCCCTTCCCATCCCTTTTCATCCCTTCCCATCCCTTTTCATCCCTTCCCATCCCTTCCCATCCCTTCCCATCCCTTCCCATCCCTTCCCATCCCTTCCCATCCCTTCCCATCCCTTCCCATCCCTTCCCATCCCTTCCCATCCCTTTTCATCCCTTTTCATCCCTTCCCATCCCTTCCCATCCTTTTTCATCCCTTCCCATCCCTTCCCATCCCTTCCCATCCCTTCCCATCCCTTCCCATCCCTTGACCCTGCAGACCAAGTACTCATACCTGGACACTGTGGGGCGCCCTGTGGTGGTGCTGGATAAGAGGGATGTGGTGCCAGAGCAGGGGATCATGCACTTCCAGGTGAGTTCAACCAGAATGATTATGTCACTGTATCTCCTACTGTCCAGGAGGAACGGTACCTTGCATGGTCGTGCTGGATAAGAGGGACGTGGTACCGGAGCAGGGGATCATGCACTTCCAGGTGGGCTCAGTCATGCTAGTTCTTGAATGCCATTTGGATAAGAGGGACGTGGTATCGGAGCAGGGAATCATGCACTTCCAGGTGGGTTTCATAAGTCAGACAATATGGTGACTTACAGTGTTCCTTGCATTTTTCCTCCTCTTTCTCCTCTTGATTGCATACACCCGCTTTCACCCCACCATCTCCATAATTCCCCCTTTCCCTATGACCTACCTTCTCCCCGTTCCCTTAACTTCCCTCCACTTCCCTTTCCTGCCCTCCCTTCTTTTCCCTGCCCTCCCCTTCCCTTCCCTGCTCTTCCGTGCTCTTCCGTGCCCTGCCCTTCCGATGCCACATCCCCTCCCCCCCCCTCTCCCCCCCCCATCAGGTGAAGTACAAGTTCTCAAAGATGGCTCTCCTGACCGAGCCGCTCCTCCTCATCCTCTTCTTCCCTGCCCTGGCCTTCCCTGCCCCTGCCCTGCCCTTCCCTTCCCTGCCCTGGCATGTCCTGTCCTGCCTGTCTGATTCCCCCATCAGGTGAAGTACAAGTTCTCAAAGGGCTCTCCTCACCGAGCCCCTCTTCCTTTCCCTTCCCCGCCCTGTCCTTCCCTGTCCTTCCCTGCCGTGTCCTGGCCCCACTCCTCTCCTCCCCCCATCAGGTGAAGTACAAGTTCTCGAAGGTCGCTCTCCTCACCGAGCCACTCCTCCTCATCCTCTTCTTCTTCCTCCTCTTCCTCCTCTTCATCGCCTACACCCACTCCGATCTCACCATCTCCAAAACCGCCCCTCTTTCCCACTCACCTTCCCTCTCCCTCTTCCCTTCCCCCCTGTTCCCTGCCCTTCCCTGCCCCTGCCCTGCCCCTTCCCTGCCCCTGCCCTGCCATCCCCTGTCGTGCCCCGCCCTGCCCTCTCTCCGCCCCATCAGGTGAAGTACAAGTTCTCAAAGGCCGCTCTCCTCACGGAGCCGCTGCTCCTCATCCTCTTCTTCTTCCTCCTCTTCCTCCTTTTCATCGCCTACACCCACTCCGACCTCACCATCTCCAAAACCGCTCCTGTCTCTTCCTGACCTGCTCTCTGCCGCTTTCCCTTCTCTGCCCTTCCCTGCCCTGCTCCTGCCCTTCCCTTCCCTGCCCTGCCCTGCCCTGCCCTTCCCTTCCCTACCCTGGCCTGTCCTGCTCTGCATGTCTGAATCTCCCCATCAGGTGAAGTACAAGTTCTCAAAGGTCGCTCTCCTCACGGAGCCGCTCCTCCTCATCCTCTTCTTCTTCCTCCTCTTCCTCCTCTTCATCGCATACACCCACTCCGATCTCACCATCTCCAAGACCGCCCCCGCCTACCTCGCCAAGCTTCACCACGAGGAGTTTCTCGATCTCATCCAACGGCTCTCGCGCCTCGTGGCCGATCGTGCGGCCCAGATCGAGTCTCTGGACGCGGGGTTGGTGAAGCTGGGGAGGAGCGGGGATGTGGCAGGGGCGAAGTCGAGCAGGAGGGCTGTTGAGACTGAGTTGAAGGAGAGTGGGAGGGAGATTGCTGCTGTGGTGGGGAAGATTGAGGCTCTTCCCAAGGTTCCTGCGGGTCCCCTGCGCACTGTAAGTCCCACTTCCCATCCTCTGAGCTGCATTTTGAGTAGACTGGAAGTAGAGGGGGGGGGGGGGGGGGGGGGGCGCGCCAAGGCGGGTAGGAGGGCTGTTGAGACCGAGCTTAAGGAGAGTGGGAGGGAGATTGCTGCTGTGGTGGGGAAGATTGAGGCTCTTTCCAAGGTCCCTGCTGGTCCCCTGCACACGGTAAGTCTCGTTCTCTTACCCTTGCTGAGCTAAAGGAGAGTGGGAGGGAGATCGCTTCTGTGGTGGGGAAGATTGAGGCTCTCTCCAAGGTCCCTGCTGGTCCCCTGCGCACTGTAAGTCTTCCTCCATCCCACTCCCCCTGAGCTGAATGTTGAGTCACTCCAATTGTGGCGGGGGCGAAGGCAGGTATGAGGGCTGTGGAGGGGGAGTTGAAGGAGAGTGGGAGGGAGATTGCTGCTGTGGTGGGGAAGATCGAGGCCCTTCCTAAGGTTCCTGCTGGTCCCCTGCGCGCTGTAAGTCCCCTTCTCTCACCCTGTTGAGTTGAAGGAGAGTGGGAGGGAGATTGCGTCTGGTGGGGAAGATCGAGGCCCTTCCTAAGGTTCCTGCTGGTCCCCTGCGCACTGTAAGTCTTCTTCCACCCCACTCCCCCTGAGCTGAATGTTGAGTCACTCAAAATGTGGCGGGGGCAAAGGCGGGTAGGAGGGCTGTGGAGGGGGAGTTGAAGGAGAGTGGGAGGGAGATTGCTGCTGTGGTGGGGAAGATCGAGGCTCTTCCTAAGGTTCCTGCTGGTCCGCTTCTGAGGGAAGGTGGGTAGGAGGGCTGTGGAGGGGGAGTTGAAGGAGAGTGGGAGGGAGATTGCTGCTGTGGTGGGGAAGATCGAGGCTCTTCCTAAGGTTCCTGCTGGTCCGCTTCTGAGGGAAGGTGGGTAGGAGGGCTGTGGAGGGGGAGTTGAAGGAGAGTGGGAGGGAGATTGCTTCTGTTGTGGGGAAGATTGAGGCTCTTTCCAAGGTCCCTGCTGGCCCCCTGCGCACCGTAAGGGCTTCTCTTCCACCCACTCCCTCCCCTCTTTCCATCTTCCAACTTTTGAGGGTTTCTGCTGGTCCCCTGCGCACCTTTTCCCCCCTCTCTCGCCCTCTCCCCCTCTTCTTTGTTGCAATTTCCCATCCCCCCACCTATGCCCTAAGCTCCAACACTCCTGCTTTTCGCAGGGAGGGAGATCGCTTCTGTAGTGGAAAAATATAATGTTTCTTCCACAGGCTCCTCTCTCTTTCCCTCACTCTTCCTCTATCCTCTCCTCTCCTCACTCCTCTCCCCTGTTCTACTCTTTGCCATCCCTTCCCCCAGGTGCAAGCGCTGGTAGCCAAGGAGAAGGAACGCGCAGAGGGGGGGGTGACGAAGCACACGGTGGCAGTGGAGGCGTACGAGAAGAAAACCCCTGCCAAGGAGATTGACGCAGACTCACTCACTTTTCCTCTCTCTCCCGCTCCCTCGCACTCCTTTCCTCCAGGTGCAAGCCTTGGTGGTGAAGGAGAAGGAACGTGCGGACAGGGCCGTGGCGAAGCACACGGTTGCCGTGGAGGCTTACGAGAAGAAGACTCCTGCCAAGGAGATTGACGCTAAGATTGGCCCGATGCAGCAGCGCTTGGCCGCTCTGAAAGCAGAGATCAAGGAATTGGTGATGGCTCTGGAGGAGTGAAGGGTGTGAGGAGAGGGAGATGGGTGGTGTGGGGTGGGGAGTGAATGGGAGGGGTATGGAGGAGGGAAGTTTGATGCAGCAGCGCCTGGCGGCTCTGAAAGCAGAGATCAATGAACTGGTGATGGCTCTGGAGGAGTGAAGGGTGTGAGGAGAGGGACCTTGGGAATCAGGTGGGAGGTTGAGAGGGAAATGGAAGGAAGGGGTGGTAGGGGGAGGCATGATGGAAAGAACGGCCCGATGCAGCAGCGCCTGGCGGCTCTGAAGGCAGAGATCAAGGAACTGGTGATGGCTCTGGAGGAGTGAAGGGTGTGAGGAGAGGGACCTAGAGGATTGGAGGGGTGAGGATAAGGGTGGGGGTGAGGGGGGCATGGGGAGTGATGGAGAGGAGAGGGGTATGGGGGGAAGGGGGTGGGTGGGGGAAAATCAGCCCCGTGCAGTGAAGAACTTGCAATTGGGAAGGGATGTGTCGAAGGCGAATGACTGGCATACGCATTTCCCTGTGGATCAAATTGATAAGAAATTTAGGTTGCTGTAGGAACTTGTGGGCTAGTTTCGGATTGAGGAAAGCCTTCCATTTGTGCCTCCGTTTCGTACGCGTGAGCAAAGTACCGGTATGCTGATAATAATTCTACGCACAAACTTTGCACGCTGGAAACTCAATACCGAGTTTGTCTGCGTGGGAGAACCGCACGCCCAGTCGCGTTGCGCACAGTATTCCAGAGACCCGGTATAATGTGGTGCTTTTCGGTTGACTCCGAATGTCTCGTGGTGCTGCAAGAGTCAGAGGTCCCCCTAGTCGGCGGCTTGCAAAACATGGGTTCAAGAGCTGCGGCTGGGTCATATTGGTCAACTTCTAGGAGCGTCTGATCTGGTTGCGCGGAGCAGATTCGATCGGGAGAATCTGATTGCGCAGATCGGATTGCGCGGAGCAAATCCAATCCGGGGACGCTGGTTGCGCGGATCGGGTCGGGGGAGCTGCTTGCGCCGCGAGCTTAAGTTCCGACAGGCGTTCGTCGCTTTCTCTGGTGTCGCCATGGCGTCTGTCGAGCCGCCTTCCGCAGCGGGAACTGCGCGCGCCACCGCAAATCACGGAGCCGCGGAAACGGCCTCGTCTAGCCAATATACGGAGTTTAAAGCCCAAACTTGGTACGACGTGCAGCGAAACGCGCCCGAGGGTAGTAATCTCCGCGGCAGCGCGGCCGCAGGCGTGGGCACAGGCGGGGCGGAAGGCGGAGCAGTGGCGGAGGGAATCTCCGCGGAGGCGGTGCTCCGCCAGGCGGAGCAGCAGGCGTTGGAGCGCAGGCGCGGCGCAAGGCTGCGCGCCGCTCCCCCGGTGTATTTCTTTCCGCGGAGATCGTGGGGTGTGACTATAGCGAGATACGGCGCGGTTGTGGCGGCGGGATTGGCGGCGGGAATGGCGCTAGAGACGTGGATCCGACAAAAAGTAGCAGGTATAAAGAGGAAAAACGAGAGAAGGAGGGGGGGTGGGGGTGGGGGGGGGAGGATATTGGGGCAAGGAGGGGGAGGGGGAGGGGGGGGGGAGTGAGATTGGCGGAGGGAATGGCGCTAGAGCGTGGATCCAACAAAAAGTGGCAGGTATGAGCTTGTAAGAGACATTGGGGGAGGGGGAATGAGTATAGGGGCGTAGGATACAGGGTATAGGGGTTCGTGGGTTTATAGGTGAATGGTTGTTCTTGGCGTGAAACGTTTCTTGCATCCGACTAAGTGCATGGTGTCGGGCTGTGTGGAAAAGGGAAAGGGGAAAGCGGGGATGGAGAGGCGGGAGGGGGAGTGGGGAAGGGGGGGGAAAGAAGTGGGAGAAGTGAGGAGGGAGGGGGAGAGGAGAGAAGGGAGAAGGCAAAATGGGAAAGCAGAAGGTTAATGAGAGTATGCTGCTCTGCACCCCTTTGTGCCGCACTTCACCACTTTGTGCTTCGCTGATCCCCTCTGATCATCTCTCTGTGTGCCCGCGTCAGAGCAAAATCAGGATCGATTACCCTTCTGTGCCCCTCTGTACTTCTCTGCACCCTCTACTTCTCTCCCGGTGTGCCTGGGTCTAGGGGATGCTGGTGCGACGCGAAGAGGAGGGTATCCGAGCAAATGCTCCATTCTGTCCCTAATGTACCGCTCTGCATTCCTCTGTTCTTTTCTCCATGTTTCTCTGTGTCTAGAGGATGGTGGCTATGTCATGGGAAAGAAAAGAGCTGCAAGGCATTAGTAATGCAAGCATGCCTTTGTACCGCTCTGCACGCCTCTGTTCCTCACCCCGTGTTCCTTCCTTTGTGTCCAGAGGATGGTGGCTATGTCATGGGAAAGAAGCAAGTTGCAAAACATTGGTAGTAAAGGCATGAGAAACCTCCCTCTGTGCCCCTTTGTACCGCTCTGCACCCCTCTGTTCCCTTTTCTGTGTCCAGAGGATGGTGGCTACGTCATGGGAAAGAAGGGAGCAGAGCATCAGTGATAAGGGCGTGCGTTCTTCCTACACGCATCATCAAATTCTGCGTTATAAGCACAGCATCAATAAGAGCAACACACGTGACATTGCAGCCCACTTCTGAATTGTTCTCTGCTGTTTTTTTACAACTTCAAGTTCACTTTTACCGGCACCGGCACGACGCCCGATTAGATGAGGAAAAAGGGCAAGTATGGTACGGTACGGTAGCTGGAAATTGCATACCTAATGTGCTGGATTATTCTGCAGCTATCTCGCCCTGCTCAACACACAATTATGTCGTCCAGTAGGCTCCTGCCCCTGTCCTAGCTGCTACAAAAACATTGCAGCACATAAACAAAATTTACGAGTACCGGTATGAGATCCGGAAGTGAAGCTGCAACAAATTGCACCCAGGCCTGCTGGAAACCCACCCCTATAGCGGCCCTCAATGATCCAAGCAAGTCAAAACAACTCCCCATCCCCTTGACATTGCTACATGCAGCTGTCCGTCGCCCGAACAAAACCCCGGTCCATATGTTTTCTCGCTAGTGAAGTTCCCCAAACCCCATAAGTTAGTCAAATGTATATGGTCGCTTTAGACTGGGCTATAGTTCCAAACATAATTCTACAAACGAAGCAATTGTGTTGTCTTTGTGGTAGGTGACTGATCGGTTACTTTCCTTGCCCGTTCTCCCCTGCCTTTTCATGCACCTGAAAAACTCGCATGAGCCCCCTGAAATTGCCGTGTGGGCCCAGAATAACCTGCGAGCAACAGCGCACTGCGAGTTGTGTACCCTCGTGCCGTGACTCGTGCCCCCTGCCTGACCCGTCCCCTGTACAGTGGTCTGGGTGAACTTCCCAGCTCTTTACCCCCGTAAAAGAAGTATATTCGTTGTGCCAACCAGCCTTCCTGCCAGCGACATTTTGATCGTCATAAAAATGGTTAATTTTTATTTTTAGTTCAGACGAATGGCTGGCTGTCGACCTGTTGGTGTGAAGAAAGAGATAAGCAGGCTCGTGACGTGACCTGTTGCTGTTGTCAACATGTGTGGTAAAGATGGCAGCTGGTGCTGGGTGGAGTTGTCCACAGTCCTCACGTGGCACGATCCGTTCCATGGAACACCAGTCTCCCACATGTACTGTAGCGCAGTCAACAATGCCTCCTGAACTCCCAAATTGTGCCCGAAAACAGAACACACTTCTCCGAGTTGCTTTCATGAAAACGTGACACTGTGCTGTGAGAGACAAGCGGGAACAAGGTCTCCCCATTATTCCGGGTTTGCGTAGCGCTGTGCGCAGAAACAGTTTCACTCGATGGTGGAAGAGCTGCGCTTTCCATGTTCACTGCACCCAGCTGGTGCAATCATACACTAGATTCGCTTTTCAGGCTTTGATCCTAATGGCTATTTTAGCACGAAATTGGATGGTAAAGCCATGACCATACATGCTTCATTAACTATCTTTATGTTGTTTTCTAGAAACGATTACTTTTGAAAATAATTTGGTGACTAGTATGAGTTAGTACGACTTTATTATATAAAAAAAAATAATTGAATAACTTTGCTAAAAATATAAGGGTAAATACAACGATATATTTATGGAACAACTTTATCAACAAATATTGATTGGTATACAGAAGAAGATATAGATAAAGCATTTATTTTCAACAAACTTCCGTTTTATTTGACAATGGATACTTGCATGAAAAACTAGTTTATTCTGAGTTGTACTTGTAATATCTCTAACTATGATCAATATCTATAATATTGATAAACAATTAGATTATACACAAAATTTTGAGTCTGCATATAATTAGAAAATAAGGTCCACAAATATTTGAGTCTGCATAAACAAATGTATATCGAATTGCAACTTGGAGAGAATCTGATTTTCGTATAAATGTATAAACTAAATAATGTTGTCGTACATAGAACTGGATTTTCTAAGATGAAATATAATTTATGAATCATATTGACCCAAAATATGCAGCCATAACTCGTATGAGACAGAGTTACACATACTTAACATGCTTATTGATGTTGCATCGTATTTCAAATTAAAATGAGACGAATAAATGATCCAAGAGGAAAATTCGTGTTAAAACCATACTTTTATCAGAATGTATATGAGGGTATGACATAATGACATGTTATGGACATAAAGTGCTCTTATCATGGTCATATACGGAAAGAATTTGTGCATTTGGATTGAAATTCGAGACTATAAGTTGAATGAGTTGGTTGTGTATGATACTCAGGAGTATGAATGAACTTTTCATCTTGTACACGTATTCGATTATCACCGTAAAACATTGTCACCATCTGTCCCGCCCAATCACTGTAGCTCGAACGCGACAACTCGCTAGCATTCAGGTGCGGTGAAACACTGTTTTTGCCTCGCAAATGTCAACCAGACAGGCACGTGTTTACTATGCATGCCACTTTCCCAGTTGTTGCCAGCCGGTCGAGGCCACTGCCAAACTGGACTGTTTGTCAAAGAATATTCGCTGCATCCAAGGGTTTTCATTTCATGCAATCGAAATTCGTGTGGGGGACCACAAGCTTCCGACAGAGTTGTTTGCGTGCTCGCGGTCGTTGAGTTCGTGGACACACAGCCTATCAGATCCGATCCTTTTGAGTTCGTGGACACACAGTGAAACAGAAGCCCCACAAAGTGCATCGTGAAACCCTTTACCGGCCAACCTGAAACTCTCCCTCCCCCCCACGCATCTCACAGTTGAGCAGAGCATCCTCTGCTCCAACTGCTGTTCTGTTGAACACTTCGTTGAACATCATTTCAAGCAGATTTCTAGCTTCACTCGTTGGCCCAGACGATTACTTCGCGTGAGTGCTGATATCGCTGATCGTTTCTGGATGTTTTCGGAATGCAGCGGTCCGAGGCAGACTTCGAAAGATATCAATCAGGATACGAAAAATCGCTTGAAGCTGAAAGTTTAGGATTTTGTTACAAAGCGCGTACCTGGTAGTCAGAATTCACAAAGCATTTTTGTTATGGCGGCTCAATCAGTACCTCACTGTCTGGAAATGATCCATTCTTTGCCGCGGTACGAAACTCCCAAGTTTTAAAAATAATTATCAGGCTGAGATTTCACTCTCCAAAAGTTTGAACTTACTTTTATGAATAAACCCTATACTATGAAACATCCTCTTCGTCCCTCAACTTTCCTTGATTCTTCGCGTAGTATGATGTGATGCCCAGATTTTCACGTGATCTGACAGGTTTTTATTTATTTTCGCTTTCCGTCCCCTATCCTGAAGGTTTTTCCCATTTCATGTATTGTTCACGTGATTCACTCTCCCATCCCCCAATCTCCCTCCCTCCCGCACTCTCCCTCTCCTCTCTGCTTCACGCCCTCTTACAAATAGCGTCCTCTCACTCTCCCTCTGCTTCACTCTCTCTTACAAATAGTAGCGTCCTCTCACTCTCCCTCTCCTGCTTTCACTCCCTCTTTCTAATAGCATCCTCGCACTCTCCTTCTCCTGCTTCACTCTAGCTTGCAAATAGCGTCCTCTCACCCTTTTTCCCTCACTCTGCTTCACTCTCGCGGCATCCAGCACGAACCCAGTAGTAGTAGGGGTTTCGTTTTGCTCTTGACGCAGGCGTTTCCTTATATAAAGCTGGCGTTAGAAAGGGAGGAAATGTCCTCTCGTTCTCCCTCTCCCACTTTCTCTCACAGAAAAGACTCGCCTCTTCAACTTCCTCTCCTCCCCATCCCCACCCCCTCCCCCTCTTCCCGGCTCCACTTTCCCCCCTTTTCCCCTCTCTCCCCCTCCATACCCTTTGACAAAACGTACGCATGACAAAATACAATCTGCAGGTCTTCTGTACTCGCTACAAGACGCTACTATCGCGCAGCTTCATTATACTGTGCAAGCTAGTTCTGCGCACACGCGGCCATAACTGTTTGGCCTGTAAATCTTCGTTACAACGTTACCGCCACCGACCCCGAATTTGACCTATAGTTTTTCCGGAATGGACCACTCAAAGGACGACCTACCAATCACAGCAAAGCGGCATTGGCCGGCAAGGTTTGGCCTAGACGATGAGGACAACGGGGGAGGGGAGTGGGACGACGGGAGGATGGAAGAGAAGAGAGGCGGCGAGGGGAGGGAAGGGGAAAAGGGGAAGGGAGGAAAGCCAGAGGCGGAGAATGCAAAGCAGGGGGGAAGTTTCCGCAGGGGGGAGGAAGGGGAAATGGGGAAGGGAAAGCAAGAGGCGCAGAGTGCAAAGCAGGAAGGGAGCAGCAGCAAGGTTGGGGGGAGATGTTTGGCGGGACTGTTGGAACCGCCGCAGGTGGAGCAGCCGCAGGAGGAAGAGCAGGAGAAGGAAGAGCAGGAGAAGGAACAGCAGCCGGAGGAACGGCATACGCAACAGCAGCTGGCAGCAACAGAAGCGTTAATAATGCCAACATCAGCTTGTAAGGGCCGTACTACTAGCAACACCAGAGGTTTCGACCACCCTGACGTTCCATACGCTTTAAGATCTGTCTCAGCAAACGAACAGAGCATGCTAGATGAGCAGCAGTGGTGGAAGGATATATTAGGAGGGGATGTTGCCTTGGGAGCTTCAGCTGGAAATCTAGGTGATGATTTGGTCGGCAATGTGGGTGGCGGCAATGCAGTTGCCAATTTGGGCGGCGATCTTATAGAGAGTTTGGGAAGAAGAAGCAATTTAGATAGCGCAATTATAAACAGACAAATCAGCAATGACTTTTCGCCTATGCCTGGTTTTAACGAAGAGGGATTGCTGCTGGACCAAGCTTTTCTGCCGCAGTTTCCTGTGCAGGATCAGCAGCAGCCGGTGCTGTTGTCGCAGGGTGTTTTTCAGGCGCCTCTGATACCTCAGGGTCCTTATCCCCAGCCGCAGCCGCAGCCGCAGCAGCAGGGGCAGCAACAACAGCAACAGCAGCAGCAGGAGCAAGGGCACGGTCTGCTGCCGCAGTTTCTTGTGCAGGATCAGCAGCAGCCGGTGCTGTTGTCGCAGGGTGTTTTTCAGGCGCCTCTGATACCTCAGGGTCCTTATCCCCAGCCGCAGCCGCAGCCGCAGCAGCAGCCGCAGCCGCAGCAGCAGGAGCAGCAGCAGCAGCAGGAGCAGCAGCAGCAGCAGCAGCAGCAGCAGCAGCAGCAGCAGCAGCAGCAGCAGCAGCAGCAGCAGCAGCAGCAGCAGCAGCAGCAGCAGCAGCAGCAGCAGCAGCAGCAGCAGCAGCAGCAGCAGCAGCAGCAGCAGCAGCAGCAGCAGCAGCAGCAACAACAGCAGCAGCAGGAGCAGCAGCAGCAGCAGCAGGAGCAGCAGAAGCAGCAGCAGCAGGAGCAGCAGCAACAGCAGCAGCAGGAGCAGCAGCAGGAGCAGCAGCAGGAGCAGCAACAGGCTTTTCTGTCACAGAATGTTTTTGAGGAGCCTCAACCCATGCAGGCTCCTTTTCCCCAACAGCAACAGCAGCAGCAGGAGCAGCAGCAACAGCAGCAGCAGGAGCAGCAACAGCAAAAGCAGCAGTATCACCAGCAGCAACAGCAGCAGAAGAAACCACAACCACAGCTGCAGCAGGGCCAGCAAGAGCGGCAGCAGGGGGGGCAGCAGGGGCAGGAGCAGCGGCAGCAGCACGAATGGGAGGCCATTGCCAAAAGCCTCATGGAGAGGGTAGGTGGGGCAGGGAGGGGAGGAGCAGAAGGAGGAGAAAATGGAGGGAAGAGTTTAAGTGACGGGCAGGGAACGTGCGGGAGAGGGGAGGAGAGGAGGGTGGTCCAGAGAAAAACAGAAAAGGGTTTTGGATTTTCGAGAGGAGCGAGTGAGGGAGGTACTGTGAGGAGAGAGAGTGAGGAGGAGGTTGAGATGGGAGTGAGTGAAGGAGGTGTGTTGTGGAGGGATAGTGTGAAATCATCTTTGCAGATTGGTGGTGTGCTCAGGTTCCGAGCTTCAAAAAGTGGAGGAGGAGGAGGAGTGTTGGGGAGGGAGAGTGTGGAAGCAGCTTTGCAGCTTGGTGGTGTGCTCAGGTTCCGAGCTTCGGAAAGTGGTGGAGGAGGAGCAGCAGCAGGAAGAGGAGGAGTAGGAGGTTCGGCAGCAGGAGTAGCAGCAGCAGGAGCAGTAGGAGGAGCAGCAGGAGAAGCAGCAGCAGGAGGAGTAGGAGGAGCAGCAGGAGAAGCAGCAGCAGGAGAAGCAGCAGTGGGAGTAGAAGGATATGAAAGTGGGGGGGAAACGGGGTGCTTGGGCCTAGGAGACATGGCCAAGGAGGGTGAGAGGGTGGTTGTTCACATGTCACAGAGGGGGAGGAGTCTAGAGGGTGAGAGGGTGGTTGACGAGCTAAATGCAGCAGCAGAGCAGATCAGGCAACACATGTCACATCTGCAGCCGTTGGATCAGCAGCCGTTGGATCAGCAGCCGTTGGATCAGCAGCGGCTGTATCATCAGCCGTTGGATCAGCAGCGGCTGTATCATCAGCCGTTGGATCAGCAGCTGACCCCAACCCACATGCAGTCGATCCCGTCCTCTGCTCCCTGTGCTGCGCCTTCAGCTGCCGCCCCTGCTGTTGCTTCCCATCCTTATGCTTGTGAGTCTTACACTGCTGCTCCTGCTGCCGCTGCTTTTGCTGCTGCGTCCCCTGCTGCTTCTGCTGCTGCGTCTTCTTATTCATGTGCCGCCTTTGCTGCTTCAGATGCTACTGGGTTTGAAACACTGGCAGAAGCAGCAGTAGAAGAAGGAAGGGGTGCAGCAGGAGAAGCAGCAGGAGCAGCAGTTGCGGGAACAGAAGGAGGAGCAGCAGGAGGAGAAACAGAAGGAGGAGCAGCAGGAGGAGCAGCTGGAAAAGCGGCAGGAGGAACAGCAGGAGGGGCGGCAGGTGTAGCGGCAGGAGGAGCGGCAGCAGGAGCAGCAGGAGGAGCGGCAGGAGAAGCAGCAGCAGGAGCAGCAGGAGCGGCAGGAGGAGCAGCAGCAGGAGCAGCAGGAGCGGCAGGAGGAGCAGGTGCGCTGCTTTCTCCTACTGCCCAACAATACCTGAGGCAAATTCAGCTCCTGCAGATGCAACAAGCAGGAGGAGCAGCAGGAGGAGCAGCAGGCGGAGGGAGCGCAGAGCAGGGGGCAGAGCAGGCAACAGAGGGTGCTCTGCTTTCTCCTTCTGCCCAACAGTACCTGAGGCAAATTCAGCTCCTGCAGATGCAAGAAGCAGGAGGAGCAGGAGGTGGGGTGGCAGGGCAGGTAGCAGAGGGTACCCTACTTTCTCCTACTGTCCAAGAATACCTGAGGCAAATTCAGCTCCTGCAGCTGCAACAGCAAATGCTGCTTCTGCAGCAGCAGCAACAGCAGCAGGAGCAGCAGCACTTGCAAGAACAGCGGAACCAGCAGCAACAGCAGCAACAGCACCAACAGCAGCAGATGCAACAACAGATGCTGCTTCTGTTGCAGCAACAGCAGCAGGAGAAGCAGCAGCAGCAGCAACAGCACCAACAGCAGCAGGTGCAACAACAAATGCTGCTTCTGTTGCAGCAGCAGCAGCAGCAGCAGCAGCAGCAGCAGCAGCAGCAGCAGAAGCAGCAGCAGCAGCAGCAGCAGCAGAAGGAGCAGCAGCAGCAACAACAACAGGAGGCATCAGCCACATCAACAGCCTTGGTCATAGCCACTAGACGTTCCACCCAGCCTTCTTACCTTTCTTCCTGGCAGCCACAACCACAACAACAGCAGCAGTGGCAGCAGCAGCAGCAGCAGCAGCAGCAGCAGCAGCAGCAGCAGCAGCAGCAGCAGCAGCAGCAGCAGCAGCAGCAGCAGCAGCAGGAGCAACAGGAACAGCAGCAGCAGCAGCATCAACATCAGGAGGAGCGTTCAGGCGCGTCAATAGCCCTTGTAACAACCACAGCCACCAGGAAACCCACCCAACCCTCCAACCTAGCCTCCCGCCTTGCTGCCCTTCTCAGCAATTTACAGTCACAATCCGAATCCCCCCTCGATCTAGTCACAAGCAAGCTCACCACTACCCCCATTCAACCACCATCCATAGCAGGGGAAATGGGGGGAACAGCATTAATCGCAGCATCCGGGGGGTCAGGGGGAGCAGCAGCAGGAAGAGGAAGGGTTGGGGAGGCTGGGCGGTTTTCCCTTACCCCAGGGTTTGAGAGGTATGGGAAGGCGTTTCCCTTTTCTGGGGATTCTTCATTTGTGGAGGCTGGGAGTGTCGTTGCTTCTGCTGCTGCTGCTGCCGCTGCTGCGGCGGCGGTGGCAGCTAGTGCTGGAAGCTTCCTGGAAGCATCGGAGCCGGCGGCGCTGCCGGCCCCCCGGGATTCGTCCAATAGGAAGCATTTTCTGGAATCTGCTGACGTGTTGGAAGTGACAAGAGAGCAGGGGAGTGTTCTTGTAACGATGGGAGGCTTAGGAGAACACAGAGTTACTGGAACTGAGGCAGTAGGGGTAGAGTTGGGGAGGCAAGGAAGAGGAGGAGGGGGGAGCAGAGCAGTAGGTGTGGAGTTTGGGAGACAAGGAAGAGGAGGAGGGGGGAGCAGAGCAGTCGGTGTGGAGTTTGGGAGACAAGGAAACGGCCAACCCTCTGCTGTTTCATCCCAACCAGCTTCCTCGTATGCTGCTTCGTCTTACGCTGCTCCGTCCCACATTCCCCTGCCCCCTTCACCTTCATCCGCCTTTGCTGCTTCGCCTGGCATGGCACAGAGAGGCAGGGCAAATGCTTCTCCTGCTGCTGCATCCCATGCGTCTCCCTCTTATGCTGCCCCATCCCAAGTTCCCCTGCCCCATTCACCTTCATCAGCCCTTGCTGCTGCTTCGCCTGGTGTGGAACAGAGTGGCACGGGGGACATTTCTCGGGCAGGTGCTTCTTGGGCAGATTTTTCTCGGGCAGATTTTTCTCGGGCAGCTTTTTCTCGGTCAGACTTTTCTCGGGCGGATTTTTCTCGGGAAGATGCTTCCGAGCCATGTCGGTTCGGGTTGCCTCGGCAAATGCCCCTGTCTGGGAGCGAGGCAGCGGCAGCAAGGAGCGAGGTAGCAGCAGGAAGGTTCCGGTCTCCAGAGGAGTTCATGAGGAGGCAACTCACTGCCATGGCTGAAGCGGTGGAGAGGGGAGACATGGTGAGTAGTTGAGAGGGGATTGTGAGTTCCAGGCAGGCAAGCAGGGGCAGAGGCATGCAGGGAGGAGTTCATGAGGAGGCAGCTCACAGCCATGGCTGAAGTGGTGGAGAGGGGAGACATGGTGAGTTGAAAGAAGAGAGGAGGCGTGTTGTTGAGAGTTAAAGGGAGGACATGGTGAGTTGCTTATGCTCATGCCAGCTTTACCATGGGCTATGGCAGTGTGCCTTGGGGAGAGGAGAGGCACGGTGGAGTTCATGAGGAGGCAGCTCACTGCCATGGCTGAAGCGGTGGAGAAGGGAGACATGGTGAGTTGCTTGTGCTTTACCAGGGGAGATGCTATGTGGGCAGTGTCTGGGAGCGAGGTAGTAGCAGCAGGAAGGTTCCGGTCTCCAGAGGAGTTTATGAGGAGGCAACTCACTGCCATGGCTGAGGCGGTGGAGAGGGGAGACATGGTGAGTTGCTTGTTTTTATGCCGGCCGTATCGTGACTGCTGGCAGACCAGTCAACCCATCCGTAGTAGCCACGTGTAGAAAGTGAATTTGTGAGACGTCTCAAAAAAGACATGATGAGTTGCTTGTGATTATGCCGGCCGTACCGTGACTGCTGGCAGGCCACTCAACCCATCCTCATCTCCCCATCTTCCCCTTCCCCCCCTCACCAGGTGCAGGTGCAGCAGGCATATCTGCAGCTGGCAAGACCCAAGGGAGTGGCTATGGAGAGAATAATTCACTACATGGTGGATGGGTTGTTCAAGAGAGTGCAAGGGACGGGTTACCAGCACTTCAGCACTCCCAACCCCTCTATCTCCCCCTCCACTCCTCCAGGCGCAGGTGCAGCTGAAGCCGCTTGCAAGACCCAAGGGAGTGGCTATGGAGAGAATAATTCATTACATGGTGGATGGGTTGTTCAAGAGAGTGCAAGGGACGGGTTACCAGCAATTCACCTCCCCTCCCCCCTTCCGCCCCTCCCCTCCCCTTTCCCCCATCCCCAGGCGCAGGTGCATCAGGCATATCTGCAGCTGAAGCCGCTTGCAAGACCCAAGGGTGTGGCGATGGAGAGAATAATTCACTATATGGTGGATGGGTTGTTTAAGAGAGTGCAAGGGACGGGTTACCAGCACTTCAGCACACCCGTTCGGAAAACTCCCAAGGTGCGTGAGTGTGGTGGGGTGTGAGATAGCATTGGGTGTGATTGTAACGAGTGATTTGCTATATGATAGAAGGGCTGTTCGAGAGAGTGCGAGGGACGGGGTACCAGCACTTCAGCACACCCGTTCGGAAAACTCCCAAGGTGCGTGAGTGTGGTGGGGTGTGAGATAGCATTGGGTGTGATTGTAACGAGTGATTTGCTATATGATAGAAGGGCTGTTCGAGAGAGTGCGAGGGACGGGGTACCAGCACTTCAGCACACCCGTTTGGAAAATCCCAAGGTGCGTGGTTATGTAGTGAGGTTGTGAAGTTAGTGAGTGGGGTTATAACGAGTGTGACTGTAGTGAGCTGGATGATGCCCGCTCGTGGTTCGCTACAGGCCCGCCCTACAGCAGTGTCCTAATGGCTCTTCCCTCCCTCTTCACCCCTCTCCACCGCTTGCCACCCCTCTCCACCCCTCGTCACCTCTCTCCATCCCTCTCCACCCATCCCTTTCCAGGAGCTGGAAGAAGCACGTGCCTGGTTCGCTACAAGCAAATCCTACCCCGCCTTTGGCAACATGGCAATAACGGGGATGTTCCTCCCTTCTTACTCCCCTCCCCCCTCCCCTTCCCCTCCTTCCATTCCCCCCTCAGGAGTTGGATGAAGCGCGAGCATGGTTTGCCACAAGCACGCCGTACCCCGCCTTTGGCAACATGGAAATAACGGGCATGTTCCTCCCTTCTTCTCATCGACTTCGGCGAACTCCTGCCCTTCCTCCTTACTCCTCTCCACCCCTCTCCACCCCTTTCCACGGCTTGCCACCCATCTTCACCTCTCTTCACTGCTCTCCACCCCTCTCTTTCCAGGAACTTGACGAGGCACGCGCATGGTTTGCTACAAGCACGCCGTACCCCGCCTTTGGCAACATGGAAATAACGGGCATGTTCCTCCATGCTGCCTCCTCCCTTCCTACTTCCCTTCCCCCTCCCCCATCTCCCACCTCAGGAGTTGGATGAAGCGCGGGCATGGTTCGCTACAAGCACCCCCTACCCCGCCTTTGGCAACATGGCAATAACGGGCATGTTCCTCGATGCTGTCTCCTCCGCCTCCCACGTCCACCTCATCGACTTCGGGGAACTCCTCCCCTTCCACCTGCCCACAATCATGGAACTTTTAGCTGCCCGCCCGGGCGGCCCGCCGCACCTCCGCGTCACGGGGTTGGACACGACGACTTTTGTCTGCCCGGGGCGGAAGGATTTTAAGAATCTTCGGGCGGTGGCGGAAGTGGGGAGGAGGTTGAGGGGGTTGGCTATGCGGCTGGGAGTGCCGTTCGAGTTTGAGTATATCGATATCAATGAGAATCAGCTGCACCTTCTGTACCAGGTGGGTTCTCCTGAGTGGCCGCAATACCCAAGTGACTCATAAGTCGACTCAAAAGTCACCTCCTTGAGTTATGTCAGCATCGACGAGACTCAAATGCAGCTTCTGTATCAGGTGGGTTTGCAACAGAGGTTTCAGCACTCGTTTGCCCCTCTCCCTTCTCCCTCGCTTCTCACTCCCTTCCTCTCTCCTCTAGCTCAAGAGGACCCGGAGTAAGACGCTATTGGTGTGCGCACCGCGCACATCTCAAGGCTCGAGCTTTCAGTGTTCTTCTTCCCGTTCCTCTCTCTCCCTCCTCTCGCCCTCCTCTCTTTCCCTCCCCTCTCCCTCTCTTCGCCCCTTTTGCTGGTCGCATCTTTCCCCCACCTCCCCCCTCCCCTTCCCTCTCTCCTGCACGTCACTTGAGCTCAGACTCCTCCTTTCTCCGTTTCCTTCCCTCCCCCTCCTCTCCTCTGCAGGTCGAGAGGCGATGGAGTGAGACACTGGTGGTGTGCGCACATCTCGAGCTCATGAACTTCTTTCCTCCGCTTCCTTATCATCTGAACTTCTCCCTTTCCCTTCAGGTGAAGAGGAGGTGGAGTGAGACACTCGTGGTGTGCGCACATCTCGAGCTCATGAACTTTCCAGACGATTCTGTTGTGGACCACGGGCCCAGAGACTGCATTCTCAGGGTGAGTAGCCCTTAGCCCTTATTAATCAGCACATGATGGGTAACTAGTCCTGGAAAATAGCATCCTAAGGAGTGTAGAGGCATTACATGAATTTTCCAGACAATTCTGTTGTGGACCACGGGCCCAGAGACTGCATTCTCAGGGTGAGTGGCCCTAATTAATCAGCCCTTAATGGGTAATTAGTCTTGGAACAGAGGAAGTGCATCTCGAGCTCATGAACTTTCCAGATGATTCTGTTGTGGATCACGGGCCCAGAGATTGCATTCTCAGGGTGAGTAGCCCTTCTTATTCTGCACATAATGGGTAAATAGTCCTGAGCATGCTAAGGAGTGTAGAGGTATCGCATCTCGAGTTCACGGAAATTCGATACTATTTCGTTATGGACTGCGGGCCCAGAGACTGCATTCTCAGGGTGAGTACCCTTGTTAATCAGCACATAATGGGTAACTAGTCTTGGAACAGAGGAAGTGCATCTCGAGCTCATTCAATTTTCAGACGATCCTGTTGTGGACCACGGGCCCAGAGACTGCATTCTCGGGGTAAATAACCCTTATCGTGAGCCTTCCAAGTGATGCCTTCTGTGAACCATGTGCTTATGTCCCAAATTCAATCCCCTTATTGCATCCCTATTTTTAAGGCGTCTCAAAAGCCATCCCCCTTATCATATCTCCCTTTGCCCTTCTTTTCCCTACCTCTTTCGTTGTTATCCCTATTTTTTTCCTTCATTCTCATCCCCTACTCCCCATCTCCTCCCTCCCCCAGTGGATCCACGACTTAAAGCCCGCGCTCGTCACGATTGTCGAGATGGATCTCGATTCCAACGCCCGCCCCTTCCTCTCGCGCTTCCAACACGTTCTCGACCACCACTTCTCCGTCTTCTCCTCCCACGACGCTCTAATCGGCGCCGCTGACAAACGCCTGCTTTCCATTTTCGAGGACCTTTATTTTGGCCGGGCGGTGGTGAATATAGTTTCTTGCGAAGGGGTAGAGAGGGTTCATCGGCCCGAGACTCTGGACCAATGGCGAGGGAGGATGCTCAGGCTCGGGTTTGCGCCGAAGCAGATCCCCGGAGCTGTTACCGAGGCTATGAATAGTATGCTGAAGAGGTTTCCTCTTGGCTTTGGGTTGTTGCTAGAGGACGGGGCTATTAGGTTGGCTTGGAAAGGAACTACCACTATTCTTGCTCTTGGTTGGGTATTGAATGTGCCACCTTGAAATATAGATTTTGTTTTCTTCGAGCAATACGGTATATGTTCTCGTCTATGTCAACTGAATAAGGACGTTGTGAGACATAGTGAGACATAAAGTCCTGGTAAGCAGAAAGCTGTAGTTAGTTTCACGTTTTGGAAACATAAATGCCAAAGTGTATTCACAGGACAAATTCAAATTGCCCTCACACCCTGGGAACCCTACTCGACCGTTCTAAAACGAAACCGAACCGTTCTGCCGCTCCAAACGGCACTCAAACCACAATTACCGGTAGGTGACTCCCTTCCCCAGGCGCAGGGAGGGTCAGAGTTGCGGTTCACATAGTGACTCCTAAGTGTGGGCTTCGTGTAGAAATAATCGGAGCTGCATCGTTGCCGATCAGGTTCCGATTCCATTACCCCGCGCATCCTAAATCAAGTCGTAATTACCTACTTCTTTAGTCCCTTGCGAACTCACCAGGAAGATTCGCGGTTCGTTTTCCTCCAAGATAGATACATTCGCTTGTTGCAATCGCACGGTTCCTTTTACTCATTTCTAGGGTTTGGTGGAGCCATCTGTTGCTCGCCGTGCGATTGTTGCATTCAGAGTCACGCTGCGCTGTTAGTTTGTGAGTTGCGCACCGTGCGTTAGTAGTTTGATTCATCGCGCGACGTTTAGGCGCCGCAAAAGTCAACGCGAGGCGGGACGTGTCAGGAGAGGACACGTGGGCTGCGAGGACAGGTCTACTTCATCTCAGTACAGGTCGACTCAAAATTCGACTCAAAATTCGCCTCAGAAGTCAACGCGCGGCGGGACGGGATGGAGCTGGAGGAAGCGGCGCGGGAGCGGAAAGAGCGGCTGCGTCGATCGTCACAACTGACGGCGAGAAAACGGCTAGCCTGCAAGCAGACGGCGACGATGGAAAGTACGACCATTCCCGGTGGGGGTTGGGGGGGGGGGAGGGGGGGGGAGAGGGGGGAAAGGGTGAGGCGGACGAAAGAGTGGGGAGGGCAGGGAAAGGGAGGGAAGGGCGAGGGGTTGTGGAAGGGGGACGGGAAGGGGGGTTGGGGAAGGAGGGGGATGGGAGGGATAGGCGTGAAATGGTCGGGGATTTGCCCTGCGAGTCAGAATGTCAAATGGTCAAGTCATGCCGCGCTCTGGCGTCAGAACGTCCCGTACTCACATGTGCGCTCCCCCATTCCCCGTACTCCTCCTTTTTCTTAGAGTCGTCGTGCGTTTTAGCACACGGGAATTCCTCTGTTCAATCCCCAAGCTCGTAGCAATGTCTCTCTCTGCCCCTTCCCAAAACCCCCCCCCCCCCTCCTCTGCTTGTATCACTTTTATTCGCAAATCTGTCATGACTCATGACTTTCTTGGTCACTGCCCAAGCTCGTAGCTCTGTGTGTCTCTCTCTCTCTACGCCTTTCTAAATCTCCGGTTGTTCTACAGGGAGAACGAGCCTGCACCCGAGGTTCGGTTCCGAAGCTATTTGCCTCGGGACGACCAGCTGATGGAGAGGAAGCTTCCTCCAGCGCAGCTCCCCAAGTTCCAGGAACCTACCGCCGCCCAGCCACTATTCTTGGACCCCAACGAGGTGAGTAGGAGTCATTCGCTTGGAGTCTTTTCTTGGCCAGTCTTCCCAAGTTCAAGGAACCTTCCGCCGCTCAGCCGCTCTTCTTGGATCCCAACGAGGTAAGTTGGAGTCATTTTTGGGAAACTTCAAGTCGTTGCTCGGACTCTTTTCTTGGCTGGAGTGTCTGGAGGTCGAGGGAGGTGAGTCGCTTGGCCAAGTTCAAGGTTTTTTTAGGCGCCTAAAAAATCCCCAAGTTCCAGGAACCTACCGCAGGGCAGCCACTCTTCTTGTACCCCAATGAGGTGAGTAAGTATCAGTTTAGGTTATAATAATAATACTACTACTAATAATAATAATAATATATATATATATATATGTTAATAGGGGCTGGTAATCTAAGGAGGTGATATTCAGGGCCAGCCCATGGCGATGAACAATGAGGGCCCACGTGCCAAGATGATGATGATGACGATGCACCAAGTATCTCATTCTGCTCCCCTCATCCTCCCTCCCTCCATCCTGCTGCTTCCCCCCACCAGGACCCAGTGACAGCCATCGCTCCCCGCAAGCCCAACTGGGACCTGCGGCGGGACGTGGCGAAGCGATATACCAAGTAGTTTGGTGCACTCATCCTGCTGCCCTCATTCTCCTCCTTCCCTCTGATGTTCCTCCCTCCCACCAGGACCCAGTCACGGCTATCGCTCCTCGCAAGCCCAACTGGGACCTGCGGTGATACGTGGCAAGGCGATAAGCCAAGTAGTTTGCTGCACTCATGCTGCTCGTTCTTCTCCCTCCCTCCTTGGTGTTCCTCCCTCCCACCAGGACCCAGTCACGGCTATCGCTCCTCGCAAGCCCAACTGGGACCTGCGGCGGGACGTGGCAAGGCGACATACCGGTACCAAGTATTTTGGTGCACTCATGCTGCTGCGCTCATTCTCCCTCCTTCCATCCTGCCGCACCCTAAACCCACCAGGACCCGGTAACTGCTATCGCTCCTCGCAAGCCCAACTGGGACCTGCGGCGGGACGTGGCAAAGCGACTATCGAAGCTGGATATACACACTCATCCCCCTGCCCTCATCCTCCCTCCCTCCATCCTGCTGCTTCCCCCCACCAGGACCCAGTGACAGCCATCGCTCACGGCAAGCCCAACTGGGACCTGCTGCGGGACGTGGTAAGGCGACATACCAAGTATTTTGGTGCACTCATGCTGCTGCCCTCATTCTCCCTCATTCTGCCGCACCCTCAACCCACCAGGACCCAGTGACAGCCATCGCTCCTCGCAAGCCCATCTGGGGCTTGGGGTGGGACGTGGCAAAGCGACATACCAAGTAGTTTGGTGCACTCATGCTGCTGCCCTCATTCTCCCTCCTTCCCTCTGATGTTGCTACCTCCCACCAGGACCCAGTCCTGCGGCGGGACGTGGCAAGGCGACATACCAAGTATTTTGGTGCACTCATGCTGCTGCCCTCATTCTCCCTCCTTCCATTCTGCCACACCCTAAACCCACCAGGACCTGGTAACAGCAATCGCTCCTTGCAAGCCCAACTGGGGCTTGGGGTGGGACGTGGCGAAGCAATATACCAAGTATTTTGGTGCACTCATCCTGCTGCCCGCATTCTCCCTCCCTCCATCCTGATGCTGCTTCCCCCCACCAGGACCCAGCGACAGCCATCGCTCACCGCAAGCCCAACTGGGACCTGCAGCGGGACGTGGCAAGGCGACATACCAAGTATTCTGGTGCACTCATGCTGCTGCCCTCATTCTCCCTCCTTCCATTCTGCCGCACCCTAAACCCACCAGGACCCGGTAACTGCTATCGCTCCTCGCAAGCCCAACCGGGACCTCCGGAGGGACGTGGCGAAGCGATTAGCCAAGCTGGAGAGACGCACACAGCGATCAATGGTCGAACTCATGAGTACGTGCTCCTCTGTTGGATCTTGTTGGGTTTCGTGTAATATTTTTTTGTTGCTGTATATGTTGGGGTTTTTCTACTTGTTTCTCTGCTCCCTGCTGCTTGTACTTCCTGTGTTCTCTTCTCCTACGTGTGTGTCTGCTCTGCATCTGCCCTGGTTTCTGCTTTTGTTACTGCCCTTTTTTTTCCTTGTCCTTTTTCCTTCGCTTTTCTCTGTTGGCTCCGCACTAATGCCGTGCTTTCACATACAGTGAATAGCATTGGGGTGACTAGTGCAGTGAGTTGAGTTTACCCAACAATGTTTTTTTCCCTGCACTTTCTGACTGCATTTACAACAGGGGAAGAAGAGGAGAGGAGGCAGTAGCAAGAAGGGAATTGGATAATACAGCATATAGTGTATTGTAAAACCCTAGTTATTTTTTCTTTCAATATTGGCTCATTATAGCCCTTAGCAGGTAAGCCCTGAATTTGCTACACTGCCATGCATTGCACTGAGCAACTCAGTACATGCCACACTGTGCCCATTCTCCCTATTTCCTCTATTCCAATCTTATGCCCCCTCCACTCCACTGTTGATTTGCATCAGAGGCTGTTGAGCCAATGTATTCCAGCAAAGGCTCTAGCTTGGCACTAGCTAGGCACTAGCTAGCTGCACGTTACAACACGCCACGATGCCTATTCCCATTCTCTTTCCAGTCACTCAGCGCTGCTTGAATCGCCTCAAGTTGCTGCTGCCACTTGGTTCCCTCGCCCTCCTTTTTTTCCGGCGCTTGGGTAAATGCTGCTGGAGCTATGCTAGCACCACCAGCACTAGCAGCAGGACCACCACCACCAGCAGCGATACTAGCAGCGTTGCCAATGGTTTGGGTGGAAGGGAAGAATCGACCCGGCGGTGCACCTAGGCTGTTGTGGTTCTTGTGGTGTGAGTCGGGCGGAGTGGAGTCGAGCAGGTCAATTCCAGCAATAGCATGCGTGTAGCGGGAGAACCCGGACAATATCCCCGTGCGAGGAGCAAACCTTCCACTGCCACCTGCTGCTTCCGCTGCATCTACTGCTGCGCCGTCTGCTGTCACTGCATCTTCTGCTATTGCTGTGCGAGCTCCTCCCACTGCTTTTGCTCCTGCTGCTACTGCTGCTGCAGCTGCTGTCACTGCTGCAGCTGCTGGTTTGCTCTGGACTTTTCGCGATGCTGTTTCAGCATCATCACCAGCAGCACCAGAAGCAGCAGCACCAGCAGCAGCGGCCTTGTCAGGCAAAGGCTGTTTTCGTCTGCGCAGATGACAGGTCATGTGGCCGCCCAGAGCCTGTGACGTGGCAAAATTGAGGCCACAGAACGAGCAGGCGTACCCCTCCGGCCGCACGTGGCGCGTCCCGATGGGCGGCAGGCTCATGATTGCCCTGCGGCGAATCTCAATCAAATCCGCATCCAGCGTATCAAGCCCATCAAATGTGGAGTTGAAAGAGTCGAACGAGTGGCGAAACTGAGGGTTGTTCCGAGCGGCCCTCTTATCAAAATCACCCGCCGGTTGGGATGCAGATTGCGGAAACCACCGCTTATCTGCGCTTGCAGTTGGACTTTCCATGCTTCTCCCCTCCAGCTGCTGCTGCTCCTCTGGATTCCTCCACTCACTGCCACTTGCCGTCTGCCGTATCCCCATTATTGAGTCGCCTCGTTTAGCTCCAGAAGTAACTCCCCAGCTCCTCATTTCCCCACCTCGTGGACTATGCAGTTCTTCTGGAGCCTGAGTGGAGCCGGAGGGTGTCCTTGTAAGTGCCATTTTTTGGAGAAGGGTATTTCGGAGATTACTCCTGTCGCTCAGCCGACTCCCGTCACTCCTGTTTGTAGCAAATGTCATTTCTGAATGCGTTTGCCCGTGGCTGGCAAATTGATAACCGCCATTGCTCAAACTGTGACTGTAGTCGATGGTGTGACACAAATGAGGGCGTTTGTTTCCAAAAAGGGGTTCTGAAAATTGCCGTCCCACATTTGCGATAGCCGCTCCACCAAAATTGTGCTTGCCAAGAACACTCCGTGGTTCCAAAAACGAATGCGACCCAGTAGCGCGGATTCCATGGTTCTCAGGAGGAGCGGAATGAAAAGTAGTTGAGCGCCGAGGAGTAGCGAACTGGTAACCGAGGGTTTCGCTGAAGTCAGCCGCGTTACAGTCACCGTGTTGCCACCCAGTTCCCAGATTTCCAACACCAGATCTTCCCGCCAAATCTCCACTCGGTTTGCTCACTTCGTAGCAATTATCTCTGCTACCCATTGTGGCACAGCTCCCCATCCCCCAGCTGTTCATCAGCAATTTCGGCGACTTGATTATTCCAGCAGAATCCGCCAGTCGCCTGTCGTGATCCGCCGAACCTTCCGCCGCAAAGGAGTTAGGTTTTCCGAACTGAGCTGTCGCTCGAGAATCGGATTTCCACGACATGGATGCGATTTCCTGGCGGCGCCCGATCGAAACGTCTGCGTTTCGAACATCACAGCTTCCGCCACTCAATCCGCCGCCGCGGCCGCTTACCCCGCTGTTCCCCGCCCACACTCCGCCATTCTCGAAAATCGCGAAGTCCTTCCAGCTTCGTTTCTTTTGCGACAGCGAAAGTCGCCGTTCCTCCACAGCCGTCGCGGCAGCTACAGCAGGCGAATCTGACGGCGATGTAGCCAAAACGACGCCACGCGGCTCGTTGAAACTGCCCGCAAAAGCCGCCTCCACCGCCAATGGGGACTCTGTCAATTCGCCAGGACGTCGCAGTCCCAGGTAAGCGGCAGCGTCAGCAGTAGAGGTAGCGGCGGCCGCATCCGCGCTAGGAGCGAACTCGTCCTCCTGCTGTGTCGGGGGTTCGTTCAGATCAAACCCCGACGCGATGCCGGTGTCGGTTCCGGCAGCCGGCGGAGTCACTACGCGCGCGCATTCCACTGACGCGCCAGAGCCGCTCGGCGAAGCAATTTCCGCGCAGTTCTTCGCAGCACCACCGGGCCCGTTCTTTGAATCCGTTTTTTCCGCGTAATCCCTCCAATCTCTTTCGAAATTCAGCTCGGCCTGAACAGCAAGCGGAGCCGGCTGCGCGGCGGCCCTCCGCCGCTCCTGCTCCACGAAACTCGTTTCTGCCCTACTCGGATTTCCGCCAGCGCCGACGCTTTTTTGTGGAAAGTTTTCGCCCATAAAGACCTCCATCATGGCTCTGCTTGTTCCGCCTGCGCCAGCTGCGCCGCTTGTTCCGCATGCTTCGCTTTCTCCGCCTGCTTCGGGTCCGACTTGAAGCTGTGTCAGACTTTCATAGCGGAGCTGCGCGAAGTTACGCCGCATGGCTTCGTTCAGCGGAAGCGTTACTACGGGGGAAGGTCGAGTGAAACAGTCCTCTGAAGTGAGGAGTTCAAGAGTCTTAGTCGTGTGTGTGAGAGTGAACTCCCCGCTTTCGAGGCGTAATCCATCGCCGCGGCCGTCTTCCGTCTGTGGTTTCATGTTCTCGCGACGCCAGCCGTTCCATCCTGACGTCTGCTCGTTCCCGAAGGCGTCGAACGGCGTGTTACGAAACGCCTCTATTTCGACACTCTCTCTCGCCTGCCATTGCGCAGTCATTTTCAAACTCACTTTCGTCGTCAGTTGTGGTAGTGTGCTTACAAATGTTCTGCAGAGCTTGCAAATGCAGCGATTATGAAGGCTCTAGGAGACCAATACGACTGGATAAGGTGTTGCAGGTTGTACAGAATTGAGTGTAAATTGTACGTAGGAATGGAACTTCAGTTGCTGCTCTTTTACACGTCCCATCCCATCTCTCATGAAAGCGATGTGTGGCAGAGATGGGATGAGCTGGGGGAACCCCTACATTCTACTGTACCGACAAAAGTTCATCGGTTACTGTAACAGGAAGTGAAAGGGGCACTCGTCAGCAAAATACACAATGGAAAACATTGTCTGCAAAACTCTTTATGGAAAATAGTCACCTTGTGAACCTTGTATATATTGTCATTAAGTTGCCCATCCATATTTACACAATCACACAGCATTTTGAGTGGCAAACCGTGGTTCCATCTGGTTCAGGGTGACCTCGTGTCGCTGTGTCCTTTGTCGTGTAGTCATCACCAACTGCACTCTGCAGCAACAAAGTGGGGAGCTAGCTGGGCGGTGCCCCCGTATTCCTCCCTACACCACAAGAATCACCACCTGGCCTGGCACGCTTGCAGATGGAGACATGAGCGTGACTTGGCCCGTTACAGTACAGTATCCAGATGTGGGATGCCAGCAGTGACCTGCTGCGCTGGAGTGGAGTCATCATGGTGGAACAGCTGGAGAATGTTTTGTTCAGCTAAAATCAATGCCCTCGTCAGTTACTGTACAATATACAGTAAACGTATGTCCTGTATTTTAACAGAAACATTATTTCCCAACCACGGATTTCCCCCCCCCTGCGCACACCACGACAGCCCTTCATTGCACTTGCATGAAATGCCAACTAGTCGCGTCTAGGGTACAGGACCTGTGTCTTTCTGGACAATGATTCACCCTTTCTACGTGTAGATAAGTTGTGTTTACGGACCTTATGCCCCATGATTTTTCAGGTGACATGGAATGGGAAAATGTGTACAGAGGATGGATCCATGATTCTCAACTGAATTGTGATTGCGTTCCAGTTGCTCAGCTGTCGTCCAGTCAGCATTTCGCAAATTTCCAGCGAGTTCACTGACCTGGCAAGCAAGTAATTGCACGCGTCTCATACACCAGCAACTTGACTCTGTTCACTTGACAATTGGTACATGTTTGGGCCAAGTCTCCCAGCACTTGACCCAAACCGGACTGACCTCATTGACGACTTCCCAGCCAGCCCACACTTCAGCAGAAGGTCAGCAAGACTACCCAACACTTCAGCGAGAGGAGGAATGCTTCAGCTAACGTAGACAAGGTCTCATGTTTGATTGGGAGCAGGGTACAAAACTCTTGTACAAGCAAATAATCGGAGGGGGTTGGAGTCAGGGTGACGGACGGTGTTGCTCCGATAAGCGGGTCAAACTAAAAAACAAATCCTTATACCCTAGTCGCACCCCCGAGAGGCGAGATCGTGACGTCATCCTTATCGCATCAAATCATTCACCTTGTCCAGCTCGTCCGCGTGCGATACGAATTAATGTGGTGGAGGAGACTGCCAAGAAGAATTCCCTCAAAATCCGGGATTCCCGTCCACATAAGCCACACAAATCGTTTGTCCAGGTTCATAAGCGGTGCGGGAGCAACCAACAGCGTGCGAGTCAAACCTCGGATATTCAGTGCTGCTTCACTTGTTATCCCAAACAAATACGGTGTTACACTAGCTGTCTTATCGTATGAATTACGGATAACAACAAAACCGCATTAGCATTTATGTAGACGTGCAGTCAGAAAATGAGTGAACGACACGAGGAGCACCCCCCCGTAACAAGCAAAGCATTTTGTGTGTAAAGCACCAAAGATGTCACTTCCAGGAAGGTATACCACATAAGCGGAACACCTAAAACAATACGGCATGAGGCAGCTGCTAACTCAATTGGATGAAATGTGATCAAACAAGAACTATCTTGCTTTCACTTGCCGGCCAAATAAAATTGGCGGTACTACTCTGCCTCTGCCTGCTTACCATTAGGCCGCACCAAGGTAAGACCATCCCCAGCCTCCCCCGCATCACCAGCAATGTCACCTGCTCCAAGCTTCTCATCGCCTTTCCGCTTCCCCAACGTTCCATTACTTGCAGCACCCCCTTGGGCCTTGATACCATCCTGCCCGACCTGCCCGACCTGCCCGACCTGCCCAACTTGCCCAGCCTGCCCAACCTGCCCGGCAAACCTTTGACGAGTATCATTCACCCCCTCTTCAGAATCAGAATCAGAATCCGAATCTGAATCTGAATCTGAACCAGAATCTGAGCCAGATCCACTGAGGGTCTCTCCATCGCTGGTGTAATGAAACACTGTATACTCCTTTTCTGTCCGCTCCTTCCGCTCCTTCACTTTTGATACCGATACATCCCCTGCTGCTTTTCCCTCTCCTGCCACCATCCCTAGCGTTGCAGGAGAACCTACCTCCTCAGCACTAGAAACAGCAATACTTGCAACTGGGGCTGTTGCGGCAGCGACAGATGGAGCAGCGGCAGCAACAGGGGGGGAAGCCACAGAAGCAGAGGAGGTAAGAAGAGCAACAGCCGAACCTCCACTCACCACAGCCCCATTCTGCTTCTCACTGCCAATACCACTGGTAATGCTGCCAGTGCTACTGGTGCTGCTGCCGCTACCACTGCTGCTGCTGCTGCTGCTGCTGCTGCTGCTGCTGCTGCTGCTGCCGATTGTCGATTCAGCTGCTGCTGCTGCTGCATCTACTGCTTCGGTTGCTGTAGGTTCCTCTGCTTCTGCTTCTTCTTTTGCTTCTACTTCTTTTACGGCCAGTGGTGCTGCCGCTTCTGCTGCGATTACTGAGTCTGTGAGTGCGGGTGTCACATCTGCTGCTGCTGCTGCTGCTGCTGCTGCTGCTGCTGCTGATGCTGCATTCGCGCCTGTTACTGCTGCCGTCATACCTCCACCTGCTTCTCCCTCACTCACAACCCCCTCAGCTTGTGTCTTCTTTGCAACGGCCTTAACTTCTGAAGTGTCCCCTCCTCCTGAACCCTCTTCTGATACTGCTCCTAGACCAGCAACCTCTGCATCCCTCTCCACCGTTTGAGACTCAGCTGCCTTCACATCTTCCCCACCTCGCCCCTCACCACTCTTCTCCAACCCACTCCCTTCCTCTCCACTCCCTCCAACCGCTCCTGCCTTCCTATCCATAGCTTCCAGAATCAACCTCTCATCCTCGTCTTCATCTGATTCTTCTTCCCCCCACTCCTCATCATCCCCATCCTCTCTCTCCCCCTCTGAAGCCTCGGAACTTAGTCCCTCCACCTTTCTTTCCTCCTCCTTATCCTTCCCCACCCCATCCTCCTTCCCAGAAACCTCAGCACCCCTGACTCCCTCCCCTTCCTCCCCCACCTCCTCCTTCCCCTTTTCTTCTAATATCCCTCCCAACACACTCCTAAACTGCCCTTCCACTTTTCTCACCTCCACCCCCTCCTCCCTCCTCCTCCTCCTCCCTCCATCCTCCTCCTCTCCCTCGCTCTCTGTGTCCCCCGAATGCCCTGCAAAGGCTTCAGGTAGTTCCCCAGGTGCCGCCTCTGTTTCAACCACCTGAACAGGTGTTCCGGCAGGGTAGGCGTCCAGGATAATATCGAGATCGGATCCTTGGATTTCTCCCTTCGCCATTAGCACCTGCAATACGACAATAGAAAGAGAGAAAGAGGGGAACTTGAAATTGTCAGTTTTTTTTTTTATCGGACAACCCTTTTTTTTTTAATCAGATACATATGAAAGAACGACGTTTTATATTCATTATAATTTATACATACATGTGTGTGCAGATTGAGTGTATTGACCCGTCAGTAACTCACGTTGACTGCCTTGACCAGGGCTGCCTTGTGATCCGCCAGCAGCTGCCACGTGGCAGCATACTTACATACATGTGAAGATGCGTTGACCGCATTGACCCGGACTGCATTGACTGCATTGACCCGGGCTGCTTGGTGATGTGAAGATGTATCGACTGCATTGACCAACCAACCAGTAACTCACGTTGACTGCCTTGACCAGGGCCGCCTTGTGATCCGCCAGCAGCTGCCACGTGGCAGCATGTGGGAGCATATCCACATACATGTGAAGATGCTTTGACTGCATTGACTACATTGACCCGCCAGTAACTCACGTTGACTGCCTTGACCAGGGCTGCCTTGTGATCCGCCAGCAGCTGCCACGTGGCAGCGTACGCTTCGTCCAGCAAGGCATGCGCCATGTCAGCCGCCACGTCATCAGCGTGATCGCTGATCTTCCCCCCCGTGAATCCGTAATCAGCGTAGAGACTTCCCTCGAAGCCTAGCGAGGGGCCGCTGGCAGTGCTGCGGCGCTTCCAGGCGGGCGGGATGCCTCTGGGGAGAACCTTCCCTGCCATGTGCCATCTGGGATGGGGAGAAGGGAGGGGGGGTGAAGGGGGTACAGGGCGCGGGGTTAGGAGCTGAAGCCTAGCGAGGGCCTGCTGGCAGTGCTGCGACGCTTCCAGGCGGGGGGGATGCCTCTAGGCAATACTTTCCCTGCCATGTGCCATCTGGGAGGGAGAGTGGGGGTGAAGGGGGCACAGGGCGCGGGGTTAGGGACCGAAGCCCAGCGAGGGGCCGCTGGCAGTGCTGCGGCGCTTCCAGGCTGGCGGGATGCCTCTAGGCAGCACCTTCCCTGCCATGTGCCATCTGTGTGTGTGGGGAAGGTGTGGGGGGAGGGAGGGAGTAGGGGATTGTTGAGGGCCATAGAGTGCAGGGTACAAGGGTCAAGATTTTGGTGTTCAGGGCATGGGGTTACGGGTTTGAGAGGTTGGACTTCCCCCCCGTGAACCCATAGTCGGCGTAGAGACTCCCCTCGAAGCCCAGCGCGGGGAGTGGAAGGTTCGGGGGAATGGGGGACAGGGGGGTAGAGGGTGTCATCAGCATGATCGCTGATCTTCCCCCCCAGTGAACCCATAGTCGGCGTAGAGACTCCCCTCAAAGCCCAGCGAGGGCCCGCTGGCAGTGCTGCGGCGCTTCCAGGCTGGCGGGATGCCCCGAGGGAGCACCTTCCCCGCCATGTGCCATCTGGGGTTGTGGGGGAGGCACAGGGTGCAGGGGGTTGGGGATTGAAGGGCTGACCTCCCCTCGAAGCCCAGCGAGGAGCCGCTGGCAGTGCTGCGGGCGGGATGCCCCGGGGGAGCACCTTCCCTGCCATGTGCCATCTGGGGGGACGGGGGGAAGGTAGAGTGGGGGTTCGGGGAGTAGGGTCAGCGGTTCAAGAGCTGGCAGTGCTGCGGCGCTTCCAGGCGGGCGGAATACCTCGAGGCAATACCTTCCCCGCGATGTGCCATCTGGGAGGGGGAGAGGGGAGGGGGGGTGAAGGGGGCACAGCACAGGGCGCGGGTTTAGGGGCCGAAGCCCAGCGAGGGGCCGCTGGCAGTGCTGCGACGCTTCCAGGCTGGCGGGATGCCCCGAGGGAGCACCTTCCCCGCCATGTGCCATCTGTGGTGCAAGCGAGGGACACAAAGGTCAAGTCTCAGTGGTTTGAGATATGAGTTCAGAGGTCGAAGCCCAGCGAGGGGCCGCTGGCAGTGCTGCGACGCTTCCAGGCGGGTGGAATGCCCCGAGGGAGCACCTTCCCTGCCATGTGCCATCTGAGAGAGGGAGAGGGGAGGGGGAATGAAGGGGCACAGAAAGAAGCTCATGCTTCCCGGATCGCTTTAGAGAACTCTCAAAAGCGATTCTTGAGAATTCTCAAAAGCCACAGCAGAGGGAAGCCCGTGCTGCCCTACTGCTGTGGCTTATAAGCCATGCTTATATGCGAATGGAATCAAACTTATAAGCCATCCACGAGACCACTGCCGCCCAAATACTCACATGGAGACAAACTTGTACGCCATCCAGGAAGCATCCGCCACGTGGCGCTGACTGTACGTGCTGCTGTCCCGCCCCCACACCACCTCCTCCGCCGCCCGGCCGCCCAGCATCACCTGCCACGCCACACAGAGAAAGAAGGCAATGATGGCGAAGCCGCACGAAGCAAAGGAGGTGAAATAGACTCATGCAGGTGAAGTTAATCCACTAAGGCCCTGAGGCTTCAAAAGAAGGTACATCATCACTTGAGTATTTAAAATCACTGAAGTACTTGCATTGCAACTGCTACAGCCATTGAATCGCTACAGTACCCGCAACTGCAAAAGCAGCACAACCATCGCTACAGTACCTGCAATCGGTGTAGCAGCGTTTGTCTCTTCTCAAAGAGGTACGCTTCATCATCAATGCGGTTGAATACGGTCCACGAGGGTGTCTGGTGGTACAGAAAGCATTTCAAAGAGGATTAAGAAACGGTTGAAAAGGGGTTCAGAGGGCGTTGAAAAAGGATTGAAAGAGAGATTTAGAGGGCTGAAAGAGGTGAGCGAGGGGGAGAGGCGAGCTAGGAGCGAGGGGTCAAGGGGGAGGCGAGCGAGGAGCGAGGGGTGCAGGGGAGTGAGGAGCGAGAGGATGGAGGCGAGGTCGATGAGCTAAAAGCTGCAACCTGGTTGTCCTCTTTTTGCAGTCAGTTAGACAGCTTCTTGGAGACTGGTTCGACCACGTTGATGCATGAATGTATAGCACAAGTGAAAGAAATGGTTAAGCGGAGTGCTGCTGATGTGAGACCTCACCTCTCCTCGTGTCCACCTCAAGCCCACCCTAAACCCCTAAACCCTGGAATGAGACCTCACCTCTCCTCGAGGAACGATTGAAAGGCGTTGAGGCGGCTCCACCTGAGCGTCGTCACACTCAATCAGCAGCAGCGCCGTCAGTCAGCGCCCTAGACCCTAAATCCGAAGCCCGTTAAACCCTAAACCCTACCACTCTCACCTCGCCCCGGGGCACGATGGAGAGTCGCTGTGGCGGCTCCACCTGAGCGTCGTCATACTCAATCAGCAGCAGCGCCGTCAGTCAGCGCCTTCAACCCTAAACCCCCTGGGCTCTCACCTCGCCTCGGGGCACGATCGAAAGCCGTTGTGGTGGCTCCACCTGCGCGTCGTCATACTCAATCAGCAGCAGCGCCGTCAACGCCAGCCCCGCCTCGTGCACCGCCATTCTCCGCACCAGCAGCGGGTGTTTCCCCTGCTCCGCCCCCCATCGCTCCCGGGGCGTGCCGAGGGTGAGGCGGTCCGCTGCCGTGTTGAGATCCTCGTCCTCTATCTCCCCCGCCCCCCTCCTCACCGCCACCAGCGCCGCCTCCTGCAGCAGATTCGCCAGCTGCGCACCACTCCACCCTGGGGTTTGGGGGTTTAAGGAGGGGTTGTGAGGGGTTTAAGGGAGTTTAGAGTGCTGTTTTCCCCAGCAGCAGCAGCAGCAGCACCAGCATCGGGTGCTTGCCCTGCTCTGCCCCCCATCGCTCCCGGGGCGTGCCGAGGGTGAGGCGGTCCGCTGCCGTGTTGAGATCCTCGTCCTCTATCTCCCCCGCCCCCCTCCTCACCGCCACCAGCGCCGCCTCCTGCAGCAGATTCGCCAACTGCGCGCCGCTCCACCCTGGGGTTTGGGGGTTTAAGGAGGGGTTGTGAGGGGTTTGAGGGGGTTTAGAGTGCTGTTTTCCCCAGCAGCAGCAGCACCAGCAGCGGGTGCTTGCCCTGCTCTGCCCCCCATCGCTCCCGGGGCGTGCCGAGGGTGAGGCGGTCCGCTGCCGTGTTGAGATCCTCGTCCTCTATCTCCCCCGCCCCCCTCCTCACCGCCACCAGCGCCGCCTCCTGCAGCAGATTCGCCAGCTGTGCCCCGCTCCACCCTGGGGTTTGGGGGTTTAAGGAGGGGTTGTGAGGGGTTTAAGGGAGTTTAGAGTGCTGTTTTCCCCAGCAGCAGCAGCAGCAGCAGCGGGTGCTTGCCCTGCTGTGCCCCCCATCGCTCCCGGGGCGTGCCGAGGGTGAGGCGGTCCGCTGCCGTGTTGAGATCCTCGTCCTCTATCTCCCCCGCCCCCCTCCTCACCGCCACCAGCGCCGCCTCCTGCAGCAGATTCGCCAGCTGCGCACCACTCCACCCTGGAACCAGGGAGATACGGAGGGATTAAGAGGGGTTTGAGGGAGTCTAGAGGGCATCAGAATGCTGTTTTCCCCAGCAGTAGCAGCAGTAGCACCAGCACCAGCAGCGGGTGCTTGCCCTGCTCTGCCCCCCATCGCTCCTGGGGCGTGCCGAGGGTGAGGCGGTCCGCTGCCGTGTTGAGATCCTCGTCCTCTATCTCCCCCGCCCCCCTCCTCACCGCCACCAGCGCCGCCTCCTGCAGCAGATTCGCCAGCTGGGCACCACTCCACCCTGGAAAGGGGTTCAGGGGTTAAGAGGGGTTTAGGGAGGTTTAGGGGGCATTGGAATGCTGTTTTCCCCAGCAGCAGCAGCAGCAGCAGCGGGTGCTTGCCCTGCTGTGCCCCCCATCGCTCCCGCGGCGTGCCGAGGGTGAGGCGGTCCGCTGCCGTGTTGAGATCCTCGTCCTCTATCTCCCCCGCCCCCCTCCTCACCGCCACCAGCGCCGCCTCCTGCAGCAGATTCGCCAGCTGCGCACCACTCCACCCTGGAAAGAGAAAAACGTTGAGGGGTTAAAAGGGGTTCGCGGGGGTTCAGAGAGTGTCGGACTGTTGCTTTCCCCACCAGTGCCGCCTCATGCAGCAGATTCGCCAGCTGCACCCCATTCCATCCTGGAGAAGAGACGGATATGGAGGGGTTTGAAGGAGTTAGAGGGTTGAGGAGGGGTTGCGAGAGGGTTGCCTCCTGCAGCAGATTCGCCAGCTGCGCGCCGCTCCACCTTGGAGAGACATGCAGGCTCAGAATCTGTGAGTTAAACATCTGATTTGAGCAACTTAGATTCTCTTCTTAAGATTTGGGAGGGTTTACCCGCAAGGTTGCCTGCAATGGTGTCAAGGTCAACATGGGGGCTCATCTTGGTTCACATGGGTTCAATTGTGTGCTGAAAGCTAGTTGCTAGCTTACTTGCGATAACATTACCTGCGATGGCATTACCTGCGATGGCATTACCTGCGAGGTTGCTTGCAATTGTGTCGAGGTCCACATGGGGGCTCATCTTGACCTTCTTGGGGTTCTTAGGGGTTTATAATTCCGATTTTTAGGGTTTGAGGTACATGCGAGATTACCTGCGAGGTTGCTTGCAATGGTGTCGAGGTCCACGTGGGGGCTCATCTTGACCTTCTTGAAGTTCAGAGATCAAAATGGACAGCGGAAGGCTAATGATTACATGGGTTTACCTTTTTGTAACATGGGATTACCTGCGAGGTTGGATGCAATGGTGTCGAGGTCCACGTGCGGGCTCATCTTGACCTTCTTGAAGTTCAGAGATCAAAATGGACAGAGGAAGGCTCATGATTACATGCGTTTACCTTTTTGTAACATGGGATTACCTGCGAGGTTGGATGCAATGGTGTCGAGGTCCACGTGCGGGCTCATCTTGACCTTCTTACGGTTGAGATGGGTTTAATTGCGTGCTGAAAGCTGGTTGCGGGCTAACCTGCGATGGCATTACCTGCGAGGTTGCTTGCAATGGTGTCGAGGTCCACGTGAGGGCTCATCTTGACCTTCTTGGCATGCACCCGCAGCACCTCCGCCCTGCCCTTGGAGCCTGGAGGCACGATGGTGATCTGAAGCAGAGAGGCAAGGGGGGAACGGACGGGAGAAACAGGTGGAAGGAGATGGGGGAAATGGTTGCCGAGCTGTATGATAGCAGTCATCTTGACCTTCTTGGCATGCACCCTCAGCACCTCCGCCCTGCCCTTGGACCCCGGGGGCACGATGGTGATCTGATGGGGCAGTGGAAGAGTAGGAGCGGGACAGCAAGCATGGCAACACAGGAGAGCGTGAAGGAGAGACAGGTGATTTGCCGGAACAGCAGAGGGGGAATGCGAGGGAGGGACAGGTGTGAAGGCAGCATCGAGCAAGCCCATGCGGTTGGAAGCCCTGATGAGCACCACCCCCTGGCCTCCTACCCCTTCCCCCTCTTCCTTAACCTTGGCCTGTGTTGAACCTGGTCCCTACCTTCCTATCAAACCGGCCCGATCGCAGCAGGGCGGCATCCAGCATGTCCATGCGGTTGGTGGCGCCGATGAACACCACCCCCTGGCCTCCCCCTTCCTCTCTGCACTCCTACTGCTATCACTACCTACCACTGGCTCCCACCTTCCTATCAAATCGCCCTGGTCGCAGCAGGGCAGCATCGAGCATGTCCATGCGGTTGGTGGCGCCGATGAACACCACCCCCTGGCCTCTCCCTCTCTGCACCCCCACTAGTAGTACTACCACACACATTCCCATATAAACACATTGTAGCTGCTTCTCACCTTTCTGTCAAATCGCCCTGGCCTGAGCAGCGCAGCATCGAGCATGTCCATACGGTTGGTGGCTCCGATGAACACCACCCCCTGGCTGGTCCCTCCCTGCACCCCCACTGCTGCTGCTGCTGCTGCTGCTGCTACTAGCCTCATATTCCCCTTGATGATATAGCGTGACTGGCGCTCACCTATCTATCAAATCGCCCCGGTCGCAGCAGGGCGGCATCCAGCATGTCCATGCGGTTGGTGGCGCCGATGAACACCACCCCCTGGCCGGCAATCACTCACTGCCCCTGGGCCTGCCCTTGCGCCCACCAACCACAAACTCTCTTCCTACCCTTTCTCCAGGCGCCTACCTTTCTGTCGAACCGCCCTGGTCGCAGCAGGGCAGCATCCAGCATGTCCATGCGGTTGGTGGCGCCGATGAACACCACCCCCTGGCCGGTGTCAAAGCCATCAAGCTCGATGAGCAGCTGGTTGAGGGTCGTCTCTCTCTCCGTCACCCCCGCATCCGCGCCTTCATCACCCCCTGCTGACGACCGGCTGGGGAAGAGCAGCAGAGGGAGAGAGAAAGAGGGCGAGGGGAAAGGAGATGAGCAGCTGGTTGAGGGTCGTCTCTCTCTCCGTCACCCCCGCATCCGCCCCCTCGTCCCCTCCTGCAGAGGACCGGCTGGAGGAAGAACGAACAAGACAGGGACACGAGGAGTAGAGGGGACAGGAGGGTAAGCATTGGAACACCACTCCCGCATCCGCGCCCTCATCCCCCCCTGCAGAGGACCGCCTGGAGGAAGAGAGAACAGGACAGGGGCGCAAGGGGTAGAGGGGACAGGAGTGTAAGCAGCAGAACACCACCCCCTGGCCGGTGTCGAAACCATCCAGCTCGATGAGCAGCTGGTTGAGAGTCGTTTCACTCTCCGTCACTCCCGCGTCCGCGCCTTCATCCCCCCCTGCGGAGGACCGTCTGGGAAAGGGGGAAGAGGAGGAGAGGGAACAGGAGAGGGGGTGAGGGAAAGCGAACGTCAGCAGCAGAACAACACCACCCCCTGGCCGGTGTCGAAGTCATCCAGCTCGATGAGCAGCTGGTTGAGGGTCGTTTCTCTCTCCGTGACCCCCGCATCCGCCCCCTCGTCCCCTCCAGCAGAGGAGCGGCTGGGAGGAGGGAATGGGACAGGGACACAAGGGGTAGAGGGAAAGGGAAGACGGGGAGAAGAGGAAAGGGAGAGGGGGACAGGAGTGTAAGCATTGAAACACCACCCCCTGGCCGGTGTCGAAGCCGTCCAGCTCGATGAGTCGTCTCACGCTCCATCACCCCCGCATCCGCGCCCTCGTCCCCCCCTGCTGACGACCGGCTGGGAGGAGGAGAGCAGTGGAGGAGAGGACGAGGGCGGGGGAGAAGGAGAGGGAAACTGGAGAGAGGGAAAGGGAGGGAGGGAGGGGAAGGGAATAGCAGAGCAGCTGGGGTTCGGAAGAGGAGAGAGAGGGGGGGTTCGGAAAGGGAGGGACTTACGCGGCACCAAGAGCGTCAATCTCGTCAATGAAGACCACCGCGGGCTTGTTGACCTTTGAGGCGCACACGAGCAGCCTCAAACGAATGGGGCGCCTCCAACGAAGGAGACGTTTTAAAGAAAGAGACGACTTACGCGGCACCAAGAGCGTCGATTTCATCAATGAAGACGACCGCGGGCTTGTTGACCTTGGCTCGCTTGAACAGATCCCGCACACGAGCTGCCCCCACTCCCACCAGCACTTCTGCAAACTCGGAGCCCGCCATCTGGTAGAATGGCACCCCTGCCTCGCCTGCTATCGCTTTTGCCAGAAGTGTCTGGTTGGTGGGAAGGGGGAGCACAAGGGAAGGGAATAAGAGCTGCCCCCACTCCCACCAGCACCTCAGCAAACTCAGAGCCCGCCATCTGGTAGAATGGCACCCCTGCCTCGCCTGCTATGGCCTTGGCCAGTAAGGTCTGGTTGGCGAAAGGGGGGAGAGAGGGGGAGGAGCACAAGGGAAGGGAATAAGAGCAGCCCCCACCCCCACCAGCACTTCAGCAAACTCGGAGCCCGCCATCTGGTAGAATGGCACCCCCGCCTCGCCTGCTATCGCTTTTGACAGCAGCGTCTGGTTGGGGGAAGGAAGAGAAAGAGGAGGGCAAGCGGAGAGACGGGGATGAGAGGGAGGGGAGACGGAAACTCGGAGCCCGCCAAGGGTAGAACGGCACCCGCCTCGCCTGCTATGGCCTTGGCTAGTAAGGTCTGGTGGAGGGAGGGGGAGAGGACCGTATGGTGGAGAGAGGATCGTATGGAGTGAGAGCAGCCCAGCCCCCACTCCCACGAGCACTTCAGCAAACTCGGAGCCCGCCATCTGGTAGAACGGCACCCCCGCCTCGCCTGCTATGGCCTTGGCTAGCAGCGTCTGGTGGAGGGACGGGGAGAGGATTGTATGGAATAAGAGCAGCCCCCACCCCCACCAGCACTTCAGCAAACTCGGAGCCCGCCATCTGGTAGAATGGCACTCCAGCCTCGCCTGCTATCGCTTTAGCTAGCAGTGTCTGAGCGGGCGGATGGAGAGGACCGCATGGGGGAGAGAGGATCGTATGGGAGGGAGAGAGAATTGTATGGAGTGAGAGCCGCCCCCACTCCCACCATCACTTCGGCGAACTCGGAGCCCGCCATCTGGAAGAATGGCACTCCCGCCTCGCCTGCTATGGCTTTAGCCAGTAAGGTCTGATGGAGGGGGGGAGAGGCAAGAAAGCAAAGGAGGGGAGAGGCGAACTCTGAGCCCGCCATCTGGTAGAACGGCACTCCTGCCTCGCCTGCTATGGCCTTAGCTAGCAGCGTCTGGTTGGGGAAGAAGGGGGGAGGAGAAAGAGGTTCTCACCTTGCCACAGCCAGGCGGCCCTTCCAGCAGCACGCCGTGCGGGGGCTTGGTTCCCACGAGGTTGAACCTTATGGGGTGTGTGTGAGCTGGGTGTTAGTAAGCATGCGAGCACTCACCGCACCAACCACCTTGCCTTGCCATCCCAGCAGCAGAGCAAGCTAAGTCTCACCTTGCCACAGCCAGGAGGCCCTTCCAGCAGCACGCCGTGCGGGGGCTTGGTTCCCATGAGGTTGAAGCGCTGGGGGTCTTTGAGATACTCCACGAGCTGAGGGGAGATGGAAAGAGGGGGAGAGGGGAGGAAGGGGGGGGAATGGGAGGGTGGGGAGGGAGGGGGGAAGGGAAAGAGGCAAGGGGCTTGGTTCCCATGAGGTTGAACCGCTGGGGGTCCTTCAGATATTCCACAAGCTGTGGGGAGATGTACAGTTGGGGGAGAGCGGAGAGAAGGGGGGAAGGGGTGGGTCGGGAGGGCGGGGGGAAGGGAGAGGGACAGGGGGCTTGGTTCCCATGAGATTGAACCGCTGGGGGTCCTTCAGATATTCCACGAGCTGAGAGGAGGAAGAAAGGCAGAGGATACAGAGGGGGCAGGAAACGCGGAGCAAGGGGTTGGTTGGACCGGTTGGTTCCCATGAGGTTGAAGCGCTGGGGGTCCTTCACATATTCCACAAGCTGAGGGGAGATGCGCAGATAGGCTGGTTGAGGCCAAGAGGGATCCACGGTTCAATGCCGGCTCATCTCGGCTCGGCTGGGGATGAGTTGGAAGCACTTGATAAGCACATATATCATATATGTATATATATATATATGCGTATATGTACGTATGTATGTAATTATATGCATATATATACGGTGTAGACATATTTGAGATGCCACTCACCTCCTGTAACTCCTGCACGGTCTCATCGATGCCTGCCACATCCTCAAACTTCACTCCCGTGGAGCCCTGATGAGAGGGAAGGAGATGAATGAGGAGAAAGAGTCTTAGTGCAACTGAAATAGCTCCTGTAGCTCCTGCACTCGAAAATGCCTGCCACGTCCTCAAACTTTCACTCCAGTGGACCCCTGATGAGTGGAGGGGGGAGAAAGGAAGAGAGGCCCGAGGAGGAGAGGAGGGACATGAGAGAGAAGTTGATTGGCGGGGGAGAAGGAAGATGGGAGAGCAGAGACAATAGGAGAGATGATTGGCCAGATGAATGAGAAGCAGAGGATTTGAATCTCCAGAGAAAGGTTTACAACAGCAACGGAGGAGCACGTGAGCAGACGGGAGACAACTTTTGAAATTTCTTGAAAATTACAAGGAAAGCATGTGAACACAGGACACCATCAAATCAAATCATCACAGTAGAGCGGGGAGGGGAGAGCAGAACAGCAGAAGGTAAGGAAGCCAACAGCACCGCACGTCACGGCATGGCACGGCACGATATAGCCCGGCACAGCACAGCACGGCATGGCACGGCATAGCACGGCACGGCACGGAGAGTCACGACACGGCATGGCATAGCATGGCACGACACGGCATGGCATAGCATGACACGACACGGCATAGCATGGCATGGCATGGCATGGCAGCCCAGCCCAACCCGGCCTAGCCCAACGCAGCCCAGCCCAGCCCAACCCAGCCCAACACAGCACAGCCCATCCCAGCACAGCCCAAGCCAGCCCACCCCAGCCCACCCCAGCCCGCCGCAGCCGCGGCGGAGCACAACACGGCACCACACGGCACCGCACAGCACTGCACCGCACAGCACAGCACCGCACTGCACCGAAGCAACAACTCACCTCCACTCGAGCCTGAGGCTTCGACTGGCCGAACTCAATGGCTTGCCAAATGTCCTGCCAAAAAAAAAAAAATGGCACACAAGGTACAAGGTTTAGGGTCCAAATTCAGGGTTCAGGGTGTAGGGTTTTGGATCAAAATGCAAGGTTTAGGTTTGCAGTTCTGCTTTTTCTAATTAAAAACAACGGATAACTGGCATGACTTGACAGTTACACCATGAAAGGCACCATACCCCGCCACCCAGCCTCCCACAGCACCACAACCACCATCATTCCCACTGCTCTTTCCACCTTCCAAGCCCCTCCTATCACAGCTTTCCCTCCCTTCCCAACCCACCCTCTCGTTCATCACTTCACTTCGTGTAGTCCCTAGTGCGTCTGTTGAGAGTAAACAGCACCACAACCACCATCATTCCCACTGCTCTTTCCACCTTCCAAGCCCCTCCTATCACAGCTTTCCCTTCCTTCCCAACCCACCCTCTCGTTCATCACTTCACTTCGTGTAGTCCCTAGTGCGTCTGTTGAGAGTAAACAGCACCACAACCACCATCATTCCCACTGCTCTTTCCACCTTCCAAGCCCCTGCTATCACAGCTTTCCCTCCCTCTCTCCCCCTCTTTTCCATCACTTATCCACTTGGTGTTGTAGTCCCTTGTGCGTCTGTTGAGAGTGAACTTCGCGCCAGCTGCCATGAACAGCACCACAAACACCACCATCCCCACCGCTCTCTCCCTGCTCCCCTCCCTGCAACCCCGATACCCCCTCCCTCCGGGTCACTTACCCACTTGGTGTAGTCCCTTGTGCGTCTGTTGAGAGTGAACTTGGCCCCAGCTGCCATGAACAGCACCACAAACACCATCATTCCCACCCCACTGCCTTGGCCGAACTCTTCAACTTCCTCTTCCCCTTCTCCCCACCATTCCCCCTTCCCCAGGCTCTTACCCTCCCCCTCTCCCCCCCTCCCCCAGTCACTTACACATTTGGTGTAGTCCCTAGTGCGTCTGTTGAGAGTGAATTTCGCCCCAGCTGCCATAAACAGCACCACAAACACCATCATCCCCACCGCTCTCTCTCCCTGCTCCCCTCCCTGCAACCCCGCAGCAACCTCCCTCCCGGGTCACTTACCCACTTAGTGTAATCCATTGTGCGTCTGTTGAGAGTGAATTTCGCCCAGCTGCCATAAACAGCACCACAAACACCATCATCCTTACTGCTCTCTCCCCATTCACTTCCCTGATACCACACCTTTCCCCCTCCCCCAACCCGCCCCCCCAGTCACTTACCCATTTGGTGTAGTCCCTAGTGCGTCTGTTGAGCGTGAATTTAGCTCCTGCTGCCATGAACAGCACCACAAACACCATCATCCCCACCGCTTTCGCCGAACTCTTCAGCTTCCCGATAAAAATATCCCGCGCCAGGTCAACTGCCACGTCAGTAATGGCATCTCCTGACGCAGTGGCAGCAGCGCCAGTCACCCCGCTCGCTATCCCCCCGCTCCCAAACATCGCCGCCAGCTGTAACTGCAGGAATCCAAACAGGCTGCTGCTGCCCGGAGCGAATAGACTGGCCCACGTGGCAGTAAGCACAGCGGCTATCTGCTTCACTACAGCCGCTACAACCCAGGCTACAGGCGTCAGCAGGGGTTTCGCCAGGGGCCACAAAACGGATCGGACTATAAAGAGTACGGCGGAGGAGGCTAGGAGAAGGGCGGCGGTGGAAGAAGCGATGAGGGCTGAGAGGAAGGATTGGAGGATGGCTGATAGGATGGAACATTCCAGGAAGATTCGTCCGGAGATGGTGGAGGCTGCTGGGAGGGGCTTAGCTGATGGGACCTCGACAAATGTCTGATGGGAGCGAAGGGGAAGAGAAGTGGGGTTGGGGGGGAGAGGAGTTTTAAGTAAGAAAGAATTTTGAAAAGCAGCTTGGCTGATGGCACCTCGACAAAGGACTGATGGGAGAGACGGGGAAGAAAATGAGGAGATAAGGAGGAGAGAAGAGGAAAACAGGAGGAGAAACATGATGAAGAGGGAAGAGGAAGAGGGAAAGGAAGCGAGAAGGGGATGGGTTGGCATGCCTAGCTAGCATGCTGCAACAGTAGCAGTCACCCATACGGGTTAATATGCCTCGAATGCTGTACCATGTACCCAACCCGCATATCACGAGCAATCACACAGCCAATCTGGATCAGCTTCGTTTCAAGGTATGCATTAATGGGGTACACATTAGGAGGCCTTACCTCGTATACTGTTCCTTCTCCCTAACCTTACAAGCCGCCAGCACTGATGGCAGTAACTGCATAACCGTTCACGCAGTCACCTTGTGCGACTCACCCTAAGATCACTCTAAGATTCACTATAACGAGTACATGTGAGAGCTCTTACCGAGTACACCGTCTCCACCTCCTTCTGCGGACCCTTATAGGCCGCCAGCACTGCCGGCACGGACCGCGAGTCCACCTTGAGCCGCCTGCAGGGTGGCAAGGAGGGGAGGTGGGTTGGGGGGGTGGGGAAGGGAAAGAGGAGAAGGGAGAAAGACGGTGCAACTGAAGCAGGCATTAGGGCGACAATAGAATGCTGCCAGCACTGCCGGCACAGACCGCGAGTCCACCTTGAGCCGCCTGCAGGGTGGCAAAGAGGACGAGAAGGAGCAAGGAGAGGGAGAAGGGCAGGGCGGCATCATGAGGTGGGTGAAATGGAAATTTGAATTGACTCAATGATCAGTTACAGCCGCCAGCAGCACTGAGTGCGAGTCCAACTAGAACCTCCTGCAAGGGCCGGATCCCCCGGGACCTGCTTCAGCTGCACCAGCACGTCCCAGTACCCGAACCTTCAAATGCTCGCGTCCCAGCACATTCCCAGTCAACTGCACTGCACGCTCAGCCCACCCACGCACTCACCAGGTGTTAGTTTGGAGTGCCGAATCCCCCGGGACCTCCTTCAGCTGCACCAGCACGTCCCAGTAGTCGAAACTCTACTATCCCAGTACTTCCCTAGCCAACTGCACGCCCAGCCCACCCACGCACTCACCAGGTATTGGTCTGCAAGGCCGACTCCCCCGGCACCTCCTTCAGCTGCAGCAGCACGTCCCAGTACTCGAACCTCTTCACTACTCGCTTAAGTTGAGTGAACGCTCACCCCAACCTCACTCACCACGTGTTGGTCTGTAAGGAAGGCTCCCCCGGTACCTCCTTCAGCTGCACCAGCACGTCCCAGTACTGGACCCTCCCATCGCGCCTCTTCAGCCCTCTAAACATCACCAGTGTGCCACCTGCTTATTCTCCTCATTTTCCTCATTTTACACTCACCACGTGTTGGTTTGGAGGGCCAGCTCCCCCGAGACTTCCTTCTGCTGCACCAGCACGTCCCAGTACTCGAACCTCTACTATCTCAGTACTTCCCATTACTTCCCTAGCCAACTGCACGCCCAGCCCACCCACGCACTCACCAGGTGTTGGTCTGCAAGGCCGAATCCCCCGGCACCTCCTTCAGCTGCACCAGCACGTCCCAGTACTCAAACCTCCCATCTCGCCTCTTCAGCCCGCGTGACGTCACCAGCTTCACCTGCTTCTTCTCCGCAAAACCCAGAAACTCCGCCGCGCTCATGGGCGGAGCGTCCGCCAGCGCGCGCTCAAACGCGGTGGTTTCCACCACACGCGGGGCGAACGCCTCCTCCGGAACCACCAACTCCCCCTTAAACTCGCGCAGGAGATCTTTCAGGTATACGGGATTGGCTGGCTGAGTAGCATCAGCGGACGAGGCAGCACCTGAGCCTGAGGACAGTCCCTGTTGAGACTGTTTCCCTTCCTTTCCTTCCCTTCCCTCTGCTGCCAACCCCTCGTCTTCACTCCCTTCCTCTATAATCACCTCCTTATCCACCCCTCCTAGAACCTCCGCCAGCTTTCCCAAGGCCGCCTCACGGGCGCTTTCAACTCCTTGCTCTAGAGCGTTAAAGGCTCGGATCGGCGCAGGAACGGCCCGAGCCTCCGCCTCCTTGAGCGACATCAGCTGCCCGTTCACCCGAACCTGCGGTTCCACCCGGTTCGGCACTCGCTCTAGTAACTCAGTGATCGGATCCCAGTCCTTATCCACGTCAGCAGCTGCTGATGCTGACGTGCCCTGCGACCGTTTCTTCGCCGCTTTCGCCTTCTTCGCCCCCCCTGCTGCTTTCCCTGGAGGGCCTGATGCTGAGCTGGCAGCTTTCGATTTGCTGCTACCAGCCGCCCCTCCTGCCTTCCACTGTGACGTGGACGAACCAGACGAGTCTCCCCCTCCCCCAGATGCACCTGCACCAGAAACCGCCGCAACTACACCCAAGGAACCAGCTCTTCTAAACCCTCTACCCCTTCCAACACCCGCTCCTACTCCTGCTGCACCTGTGCCCTGAAATCCTCCTGCCAATCCTGTGCCTGGATGTAACCCCATCCCTCTCCCTAGCTCTATCCTTCCTGGGACCCTTAGACCCTGCCATCCCCACGGGTGGAGGGAGGAGGTGCGAAGGACACTGGCAGGCGGAGCAATGGGAGACGCGGCGGTAGAAAGGGTAGAGAGAGAGGGAGAGGACGCCCCACCGCGACCCATAGACTGGAAAAGGGCAAGGGTAAGGTAGGTGGGAGAAAAGCGGGAGAGTTAGGGACGAGGAGTAAATAAAAGACAAGTTGGGAATGAATCGACGAGAGTGCAGTGACATGGACATACGAACATAATGACTTGCTCATTCCGACTTGCCCATCCCCCTTCCTCTCTATGATTGGCACGACGTAGTGACAGGCATAAAGTGGAAAGCAGTCGACATCTAGCGGATACGAGCGGAATAGATTACAAAATAACACTCTTAAAACATAATCCCTCTTAGAACAACGCTTCTGATGCTGAAACTTGAGTCGGTTCAAATGACGTCAGGACACACCTGGTGCATGGCGAGTGGCTGCCGGCTTGTACGCTGCTGAGTTTGAACGTGTACACGAGCACAGGGAACGCGTCCAGGGACGACGCATCCTGTACCGGGTACACGAACGAACAGAAGAACAGGATTTTTTTTTGTGAACGCCAGTACCGCATCGTGCGCACATGATCGCAACACGGCGCACTCGCACTTAGAGACTCAGGCATGCTTGACTGACAAGAAAAGTGTCTGACGGTCCTGATAAAACGACGAATCCTAAACGGCCTGATCGTGCTTGAAATATGATAGTCGAAGCCACGAATTCCGTACATAGAATATTTAAGGAATTTGACCTTACAGATTCACACACACTGGGTGAGGCGATCGGCTAAGGGGGTGGGCATACCGCACGGAGGCCGGGGAAGGGATGATAGCGAACCCTGCATGGTGATTTCTGCGGTATCAGGTAACGCGAAGTTTCCGCAACGAGGGTTCGAAACACCAGGAAACCCTAGCTGGTCATTCAGCACCAATGTCAACTATGAAGACTGGTTCCGAAACGAACTGCGCAAAATCGACGTTTAGGTAAGTGTCTCTAAAAGGTGACCGCGAGCTCTTAGAGCGGAAACTATCACTGGGGACTAAAAGGCTCGGACAACCAGATTGGGATCAGGGAACCATAGCATCGACGGATTGGTGGATCAGTTGGTGCATCCAACGGTCGAGATCAGACCAGCATTCGCAACCGCGGATACTGCGCGGAGCAGCTTGGCCACACGAGCTTTCAAAGGTACTAACGAGCACGATGCGAGCTCCTAAAGAACATATGTCTGATCAGGTCGATGGGTGCACGCATACAGCAGTCTGAGCCCCCTCTGCTGACGAAAATCAGACTAACCCGTCAAGGACACACGTCCCTTCCCTGAAACGACATCGTATGCACGCTCGACAACGAGGTAACGGGAACGGTGTCAGGAAGAGGATAAGGACGCCGTAGCAGGACTAGCAAGCTGGGCGAAAGGAGGTGCTAAGATAGCGGAGCTATTGTTTTGAAGTTCCCAGGGAATCTCGGCTGGTGTGACTGTAGCGAGACCTGCTTCCTACAAGAACAGTCAACACGGCACATTTCGAAAGTGATCTGCCACATCCGCCACCCCCGTTCCACCCCCAAACTCCGTCCACACCTCGAAGTTGTCATGGAATCCCGATCGTCCGTTGGAGTTATCATCGCGATTAGAGCAGTCAGCCACACACAATCCCAACCGACCACTGTCCTCACCCCCTCTTGTGGCCGCCACGTCATGCTGGCGAACCCAGTGATCAGGCGGAAGCCTCTATTGGCTGATTTCCGTTCTGGCTGGGGCCGAATTTCCGCCTTGTCATTCCGTTGAAAGACTCGATATGCTAAAAAAGTAGTCTGTTGGAAATACACGCGATGATTAACCCCAAGCTAAGCAGATCCAATACAAAATTGTATGAAAGACATACGGATGTACCCTCGACGACGAAAAGGCATTTACCGAATACGAAGCACCCTGTAAAGCAGACAGAGCACTTGACCATGCGGACCCGGTTCGGTTCGAACCAGTGGTCGTGAAGTGGTGGGGAGGGGAATGCGGCAAGTGATCTCTCCGGTTCGGGTGGTACTGTACTATAATTGGCCCTGGTGGAAGGTATGGCTGGGTGGTGGTTGGTGGGGATGAATGCGCAGAGGCAAGGGATCTTTGGTTCGGGATTCGGGAGGCGAAGGTGTGGTGAGGCTGTGTGAATCATGAGTGACGTATGTTCTAAACCCTCTCTAACCGTTCTGTAGTGAAAACAAATCGCTCTGAATTTGAGCAAGACTAGCAAAACCCAAATGATGAACACAGAGCGAGTAGGTTAGGTTTGGTGAACATACCGGGCTTGGCTATTGGTGGAAAACTCTCTGGTTCGTGTTCGTTCGGGCTCCTTTCTCACCTCGGATCATCAGTTCCGAGCGTACACTTTTGGGACTCAGAAGTTCGAACCTCATATTTTTTCCTGAACCCTCCCCCGAAGCTGGGAATCTCGAGCCTTCACTTCGGTTCTCCTGAGACCGGAATGTGCCAAAGGGATGGGGATGCCATACAACCAGTCGTCGTAACCCCAACCCGCAAAAGACCTATTGGGAAAACATTTCATGCATTTGAAGGGTTTGTATCCGGGCGAACGGTCGTGATATTTATGCCATTGAGAACTCGCAAAATTTTTAACACACAAGGTTCCAGAAGGAGAACAGTTAAATGCAGTCAGACTCGTTCTCACACCTCTTAGCTAAAATACAGCAGTGAAAGGAGCGTCATACACAGCGATTTGTGAGGTGTGCTCAGCACAAGCACACACCATGGTGCACCCTAAACCCAGCTTTAGGAGTGAACTACGTACGTATCAGGAGTGCGAGGCACTTCCTATCATCTCCCCCCTTCCCCTCCCTTTCTGTCCCAACCCAACTATTCCCGTTCGTTCTGCCACTTCACTTCCGCCATCACCGCCTTTCCTCCGTTCGAGTTCTCAAGTCAGCAGCACCCTAATTAGTACTGTAGCAGTGCCGTTTTGTCGCTTACGCTAAATTCACATGGTTGGCGAGGCGACTTGTTAGATGCCGCTCATTCACATCCCACACCGTACAGCTGGAGTCCACTGTTCTGGAAACCCAGAAGTCTTCCTAACACTGTCCTTTCACCACGTCACTCCATTCCAGCTGGCGGCAGCAGCCTTCTCGCTTCGTTGCGTACTGATAACGTTAGAATCGCACTGTGGTTACTTGTGGGTGAAACGACAGGAACGAGTCATGCCAAAGGAACGACTGTGGGGAGGAAGAGGAGGGGTTTTCTTCGCGAAACATGGTGCCGCTAAGTGGGAGAACTGTTACGAGCTCTGCCCATCTCAACGTGCGGTCCCAGTCCCTCTTTTCCACTCTGCAGTGTGGAACTCCGATGGGAGAGTTCGAAGGGGATGCGAGTTTGCAAGTCTAAGGGGAGTTTAAACTGACCGTCGACAAACGTCGAGGGGATGTTGTTCGTTGATCAGAATCAAAGGTGTGGAGGGAACGGAAGAAACGGGCGGATGAGATCTTCCTCGCTAGAAACCCAGTGGATGGAGTGGGCCGAATGCAAGTCCACCTCATTCTCGAAGCTGCATCACATTTTACGGTTGGAACGGAACGTTAACGTTAACGACGTAGTGCAGTTCTGCTCGCTTCCGTCCAATTCCACGTACATGCTACAGTGGTTAGTAAGGGGAGGCAAGTCGGCCACCCTCCTGTCAGATGGACGGCGGACGTCAAAACGGGCCGTTTGCGAGATCATCGCACAACTGCTTGCAGCTGCGGACACGTATTCCCGCCCACCCACACCAGAGCCGCCGCCATGGCTCGGCGGCACAGCGTCCCCCCGACAGGCTGGCGTGTTGTCTGTTCTCGAATTCGGAAATCAGGCACGCTAGAAGAATAACGCGTCTTTTCTAAATGAACAGTGGGAGGAAACCACTGTGGGCCGAGTGTACAGTGCTGCAGTCATGCTGCTCTGGTCTGGAGTCTGCACCGTCGCAGCACTTCTATTCCTTCCGCTTCCGCCATGATCCGACGTGATGAGGAGGTAGTAGCAGCTACGATTACGTTGCGAGTCTTGCGATTAGCAGCCACCAATGATTTCCCTCAGCGACTCTCGTTTCTGATCACTGTTCCGCGCTGCCGCTGTAGAGCCGGGCCCAGTAAAGCGCAGAGATCTCTGGCTGAATCTGCCCCCCTCGCCCGTGTTTCCCGCTAAATAATGGCGGCAGAGACGACAGAAACGCCTCGGCGGCGGCTCTTCAACAGCTCCGCAAATGTCGGCGCCGATGGCGGCGTCGGTAGCGCCCGGGGCGCCGCTAACCCTGTCCCCGCGCACGCCGCGAGTTCCCGGTGTATAAAGGACCTCGAATCGCGGCGGAAGCGCGGGTCGTGGACGGCGGAGGAAGACGCGGAGCTGCGCGCTTACGTGGCAAAGTACGGCGTGGGGAATTGGAAGCACGTGGCGGAGGCGACGCCGGCTTTGAATCGCGACGCGCAGAGCTGCCGTTTGCGGTGGTCCAGCCACCTGGACCCTAAGGTACGCGTCGCTGCGCTTCGGCTGGGGGGTGGGGAGGGGGTCGGGAGTGGGGGCGGTGCGGGGGAGATGGGGGGGGGGGATGGGGGTGGGGCGGAGGGGGGTGGGGCGGAGCTGCAGAGACTGCGGTGGTCCCGAGGGAATATTTTTAGAGGGCGAAAAAGGGGGGGGGGGAGAGGTAGAGGTCTGTGCGGAGGTGGGCGGGGGATCGGGGGAAATGGAAATGAGTCGTCGGAATGCGAAGGGAATGCGACGCTTCCCGTTTCCGAACCCGCCGCGCTTCTCTTGAAATGCAGGCATCCAGTGGGGGGGCGTCAACCCCCCTCTCTCCCTCTCCCCCTCGCCCCCTCTCCCCCTCGCCCCCTCTCCCCCTCTCCCCCTCTCCCCCTCTCCCCCTCCTCCCCCCCCGCCTCCCCCCCTCTCCCCCTCTTTCCCTCTCCCCCTCCCCCCCTCCCCCTCTCCCCCTCTCCCCCTCTTTCCCTCTCCCCCTCTTTCCCTCTCCCCCTCTCCCCCTCTCCCCCTCCCCTCCTCCCCCTCTCCCCCTCGCCCCCTCTCTCCCTCTCCCCCTCTCCCCCTCTCTCCCTCTCCCCCTCTCTCCCTCTCTCCCTCTCCCCCTCTCCCGCAATGCAGGTCAATCGTGCGCCATTTATCTCTGCTCAGCCTTTTTCGCCCCTCTCCCCTCCGCTCTCAGTCCACACCCCCTCCCCTGCTACTTCCCCCCGTCCCTCCTCCCCTTCCCCTTCCCCTTCCCCTTCCCCTCCCCCCTCCCCCCTCCCCTCCCCCGTCCCCACCAATGCAGGTCGCGCTCGCGCCATTCAAAGAAGAAGGCGCGCTGCTCCTTGCGAGCGTGGCGTGGGCCTCCCAGGCGAAACCAAGTGGGCGTCCTTTGATTCCACTTAGCAATCGCTCTTCCCCCCCCCCCCCTCCCCTCCCCCCCTCCTCCGCCCCCCAATGCAGGTCAGCCGTGCGCCATTCACGCCAGAAGAAGACGCACTTTTGATGGACAGCGTTGCATGGGGCTCCCACGGCGAAACCAAGTGGGCCGCAATCGCCTCGGCGAAATTCCCCTCGCGAACTGGTTACCAGATTCAGAGCCGCTGGCACAGCCTCGTGAACAAGCAACGCCGCTGGATCGACCCACTCGCTACCACCCCGAAAGAACTTCTGAGGCGCCTCAAAATTCCATTCGCTACCACCCCGAAAGCAAGGCCAGCGGGAAACACTACTATCACCACTGCTACTGTCAACCCGCCTGTTGCTGCGCGGGAGCGGTCGGCAGGAAACACCGCAGATACTATTGTGACAGGCACGGGCAGGAGGGAACTTTCCTCCTGCCTTGAAGGCAAGGGGGGGAAGGAGCTTCCCTCCCCGCTTGTAGGCGATCTCGAACGATTATCCGATTCGACAAGCGGGCGGAGAAGTGGGAGCGGAAGCAAGAGAATAATCGAGCTCGGTGGGGAGGTTGTCGTGGGTACTGCTACTGTCCCGGTGGTGTCTGTGAATACCCCAGGTGTTGCCTCAGGTGGTGCCTCCGGTGTCGCATCAGGTGTTTTCCCAGGTGGTTCCCCAGGTGTTGCTACTCCATCAGCCGGTGCAGCCTCGGCTGATTCCTCAGCCGTTACTGCATTCATCCTGACCCTCCAATCCGCAATCAACGGCCTCCCTCAGTCCCCAAGCTCAGACACCCAACCAGACTTACCCACCCCTGCACGTTCTTGCCTTGCTGCTGCTCCTGCTGCTACTCCCTCGTCCGTTGCTGCATTCATCCAAGCCCTCCAATCCGCAATCAACGGCTGTCCTCGACCCACCAGTTCTACCTCCACCCTTCAAAACCCCTCCCCCCATTATCGGACTTCAATCACTTACCCAATTTCCACCGCCACGCGTCAGACGTCAACTATCCCGAGGAGTTATCAAGGAAATTTCTCAGCACAACGGTTAACCTTTGAGGCGCTTCGTAAGCGTCCCTCCAATCTTCCAGAATTACCCCCCCGTCCGCATTCCGCACGTAACATATCAACGCATCTGGACCCTACCGTACCAACCACCACCGCGCTGTTACCACCCAGCACCACTCTGCATCGTCCCAACACTGCGCCAGCATCAGCAACATCAGCATTGGAGCTTCCTCTCTTCCCAGTTTCTTCCAGCAGGAAAAGCGACTTCAAATCACCGGCTTCTGGCCTTAGTCTAGCCCTTTCCCTCCAGCCCCCAACTCATGCTTCCAACGCACGTGCCTCTACTGCTGCTGTTCCTGCTGCTGCGGCTGCTGCTGCAGCTTCTGATGCTGACGCCACTACCACTACCCCTGCTGCTGCTGCTGCTGATGATGATGCCACTGCTGCTTCTGAAAAGCCAGGAGTATCAGTGAGTTATGAGCCGAACATAAATACTTCTGAGACTTCTCAAAAGGCATCAGTGAGTTATGAGCCGAACAAAAGTATGCTGGGAGGGGTGAATGCTACTCCATCAAGGGACGGCATGGGGCCGGTTTAGCCGACGAGTGTGAAGAGGAGGCATATGGATGTGACAGCAGGTTTGCAAAGCGAGTGAGGACAGAAGCAGAGAGCATGAGCACCTTTAAGACGCCTCAAGTATCGTCTCAAGAGGTGCTGCAAGGCATGCTGAAAAGCGAGGTGGCTCTTGAGTCGACTCAAAGGACAGCAGCAGAGAGCGTGACGGCCTTTAAGACGCCTCAAGTATCGTCTCAAGAGGTGCTGCACGGCATGCTGAAAATCTTGGCTCAGCAAGGTTTGGTACAAGACAGCGGGATTGCCAAGCGAGTGAGGACAGAAGCAGAGAGCGTGACGGCCTTTAAGACGCCTCAAGTATCGTCTCAAGAGGTGCTGCACGGTATGCTGAAAAGGGAGGGGACAAATGGATGGGCCATGCCTGGCATTCCGCGCTCAAGTAGCGGGGGCAGCAGCACGTGCAGCAATGCAGTAGCATGTGGGGGTGAGGATAAGGAATGGAATGGAATGCAGATGCAGGGTGGTGAGGTGGGGGCTTTGCTGGACGAGCGGAGGAGGCAGCAGCAAGCTCAGGAGGTTCAGTGGGAGAGAGAAAAGAAGTTGCTGCTTTGTGTGCGGGAGGGGAGAGGAGAGGGGAGAGAGGAGGGGGGAAAGGAGAAGAGGTTGCAGAGAGAGCATCAGCTGCAGCAGCAGGAGCAGCAGCAGGAGCAGCAGCAGGAGCATCATCAACAAGAGCAGCAACAGCGGCAGCAGCAGCAGCTGTACCAGCAATTGGCTCTGCACTTGCTTGCGGCGGCACTGCTGAAGCATGGATGATGCATGGGGCTAGGTGTTGCAGTACCAGCACCGTCAACGGCAGCAGGAGCAGCAGCAGCAGCAGCAGCAGCAGCAGCAGCAGCAGCAGCAGCAGCAGCAGCAGCAGCAGCAGCAGCAGGAGCATCATCAACAAGAGCAGCAACAGCGGCAGCAGCAGCTGCTGTACCAGCAATTGGCTCTGCACTTGGTTGCGGCGGCGCTGCTGAAACATGGATGATGCATGGGGCTAGGTGTTGCAGTACCAGCACCGTCAACGGCAGCAGGAGCAGCAGCAGCAGCAGCAGCAGCAGCAGCAGCAGCTGTACCAGCAGTTGGCTCTGCACTGCAGTACGTGCTTGCAGGGCTGCTGCTGAGACATGGATGAGATGTGAGGCTGGGTTGCTGAAGGTCTCAGAGCAAACAGTTGGCAGCAGTATCAGGAACAGCAGTAGCAGCAGTCGCAGCAGTAGCTGTCTGTACTAGGACTTGGCTCTGCAGCACGTGCTTGCGGCGGTGCTGGTGAAGCATGGCTAAATGTTTCAGAGAAAACGGATGGCACGTGTGGCAGGAGCAGCAGCAGCAGCATCAGGGTCGAGATTAGCACGGACGAAGCACGGTCTAAGCATGGAAGAAGCACGGACTAAGCAAGGACTAAGCACGGACGAAGCATGACGCACAATTAAAGTGCTGCTGCCTGGACGGTGGAGCTGTGTGCAGCTGATTTTGCATGCACCCTTCTTTCCTTGACAGAACAGTTTACGGGCGTGGCCACAGGTTTGGTTGACAATAATGTTGTGTACATACATACCATCCTAAGATGGCATGCTGGAGTATACGTCGATAGAGTAGAATCTGCTAGGAGTTAGTGGTATCTGTAGATTGTGTAACCAGACCTTGGTATGGTATGTGAAGTTGCTTGATTTGAGTTGCTATATCAATTTCAAATCATGTGCCATGAATGGCTCAAGAAAGGGCATAAAGCTTCCCATTGTGTGTCATTTGTCAATGTTGACATTAGCTTCACGTGCATGACATTCAAGCATTTTAGTTTCCACACCATGACTGAACCATTTCGAATTATCCTGTTTCACTTGTTGCTTTTGTAGGGGCCGCGCGAACGCGAGCCCCCTCTGCCACAAATTATGACGTGCATCACCGGGAGTTCCGGCGTGCTAGGGACAGGGCCGGCCGAAGTGCAATGGCGGGCCCGCCCCTAGGCCATCGGCCTTTTTGATCACCGATTGACCCCGCCCAGGTAAGTATGTCTTCTTCGTCTCGAACTTCGGTTTATGAAGCAACAAATGGATATTGTACTTCTGTACGCTGTGGCCTTTCTGTACCACGTGGCATTCTGAAATGGTTGGGTTGGGCAAATGAGAAGTTGGTGTGTGCAGGGGCGTCAGAACTTGTGATCCAGGAGACGCGGTTTCGACCCCTGCAATAGCCAGGGTTCCGTACTTCCAACTGCGTACTCCACCGAACAACCTAGTTCACCGTGCCTTCCCTCTCTCATTCCGTGCTGAAGCGGAATGCATTTCTCGCGAGTCCTTCTAACGCGGACAAATCTTTTAAGGATTCCCGTCGCTCTGGCCAACAGAGGCCACAACTGTTGCTCTAACACCGTAACCACCCGAACTCTTGTCAGAGACTGTTGTGCGAAAACGATCTTACAACAGCAGCAGCAGCTTTCGCGCGCGCTTCGCGTTGCTACTCCTTCGCTTTCCCCCTTCGCGCTGCACGCGCGGAGCATTTTCAGCTTCCCTGCTGAATCGCGGACAGCGGTGAGACTGGCGGAAACGGCGGCAGGGGCGGGAATGGCGGAACCGACGGCGGAATGGGTGAGGATGGCGGAAGCGGCGGAGACGGGAATGGCGGAAGCGACGGCGGAAGGGGTGAGAATGGCGGACGCGGCCGAGACGGGAATGGCGGAAGCGACGGCGACGGGGGCAGCAGCTCCTTCCGCGGGGGTCACCACGATTGGTCCAGCAGAGGCATCGTCAGCCGTCGATTTCCTGATGATGATCCAGCCGCTAAAGGTCCGACGATCCGACGGTCCACATGTCTGATTCACCTAATCAGCGTATCACGCTGTGTTTGAGATATAAGAATCTCAGATACACTTTGGAGAGGACGATTCCTTGTATCGGTTTTCAGACTTCTCAATAGCGAGACAAGCACGAGAACGAGCGCGCAACCCCTCGCTCCGTGCCCCCGGAGTGGGCGATTGCGGGAAAGATTAAGCGCGTGGTGGCTACTTTTGAGGCGCCTCAAAAGTAGACTTCGTGCTCCGGAGAGGGCGATTGCGGGAAAGATTAAGCGCGTGGTGGGATGAGAAAGATTTCGGAGGCACCTTATTTTCTGAGTCGATAGGCAACCACACGCACCGCACGGCTGTGACGGCGCTGGGACGACTTCTGCGGCGCCTAAAAAAAACCGCATGGCTGTATTGCCGCTGGTTTTGGGCGGTGCTGCCATGGTGCTGGTGGTGCTGGCGGTGCCGCTGGTGGCAATTCCGCTGTTGCAATTGCGTTAAGACTCAAATGAATCCCCCTTCCCCACCCCTCACCCGCATGCACCGCATGACTGCGATGGCCTGGTGGTGCTGGCGCCGCTGGTGGCAATTCCGCTGCTGGTGCTGGTGGTGCTGCCATGCTGCTGGTGGTGCTGCCATGCTGCTGGTGGTGCTGGCGCCGCTGGCAGCAATCCCGCTGTCGCAATTGCGTTAAAGTCTCAAATGAAACCACATCCCCACCCCTCACCCGCATGCACCGCATGGCTGCGATGGCCTGGTGGTTCTGGTGGTGCTGGTGGTGCTGCTGGTGGTGCTGGTGGTGCTGGTGGTGCTGGTGGTGCTGGCGCCGCTGGTGGCAATTCCGCTGTCGCAATTGCGTTAAAGTCTCAAATGAAACCCCCATCCCCACCCCTCACCCGCATGCACCGCATGGCTGCGATGGCCTGGTGGTGCTGGCGCCGCTGGTGGCAATTCCGCTGCTGGTGCTGGTGGTGCTGCCATGCTGCTGGTGGTGCTGGCGCCGCTGGCAGCAATTCCGCTGTCGCAATTGCGTTAAAGTCTCAAATGAAACCACATCCCCACCCCTCACCCACTTCCTTGGCCTTCTCCCCACCCCCTTCCGTCCCTATCCCCCTTGAAACCCTGTACCCTAAACCCTCAGACTCTGAAGCGCACAGGGTGGGTGAAGCGGGGAGTGCAGGGGCCAGAGTCGATCGGCGACCACATGCACCGCATGGCTCTGATGGCGTTCGTGCTGGCTGGAGTGGAGGGCATTGACAGAGACAGGTGAGTGTATGGGGAGCAGTGATAACACAGATAGGCCAGGGGCCAGAGTCAATAGGCGGCCACATGCACCGCATGGCTCTGATGGCGTTCGTGTTGAGTGGAGTGGAGGGGATTGACAGAGAGAGGTGAGTGTATGGGGAGCAGTGATAACACAGATAGGCCAGGGGCCAGAGTCAATAGGCGGCCACATGCACCGCATGGCTCTCATGGCGTTCGTGCTGGGTGGAGTGGAGGGGGTTGACAGAGACAGGTGGGTGGGAGGGGGTGTGGGTGCATGGTGCATGCATGGAGAGTGCAGGGGCCAGAGTCGATCGGCGACCACATGCACCGCATGGCTGTGATGGCGCTGGTGGTGTGGAAGGGATCGATAGGGAGAGGTGGGTGCGGGGGTATGGGTGCTGGGTGCACGGGGGGGAGTGCAGGGGCCCGAGTCGATCGGCGACCACATGCACCGCATGGCTGTGATGGCGTTCGTGTTGAGTGTTGTTGAGAGGGTTGACCGGGAGAGGTGAGGAAGAGGGGAGAGGTGGGTTGAGTGAGGGGAAGGAATGTGAGATGGATGGGAGAGGGTTCGATGGGAAGGGAACTGGCGGGTATAAGGGATATTAGTCAATTGGAGACGATATTTTTTATAATGATGGCCTTTGTGTGTGTGTGTGTGTGTGTGTGTGTGTGTGTGTGTGTGTGTGCGTGCGCGTGTACGTGTGTGTGTGCGTGTGTGTCTGTGTGTGTGTGTGCATGTGTATGTGTGTGTGTGTGTCTGTGTGTGTGCGTGTGCGTGTGTGCGCGTGTGTGTCTGTGTGCCACGTGTACATACACTTCATGTGTGTGTGCGTGTGTCTGTGTGTGCGCGTGTGTGTCTGTGTGCCACGTGTACATACACTTCATGTGTGTGCGCGTGTGTGTCTGTGTGCCACGTGTACATACACTTCATGTGTGTCCCACAGATGCATCAAGATGACAATTGTGCATGACGTGGCAGAAGGTACACACTCAACCCCTCTCAACCGCACTCCACCTGCCCTCAACCGCTCTCTACCTGCCCTCAACCCCTCTCCACCTACCCTCAACCCCTCTCCACCTGCTCTCAACCCCTCTCCACCTGCCCTGGACCCCAATTCTCAATAGCAGCTGGTATTTATATTATAACCCCTTTGAAAGCATCTCCGATGTAGCTGGATAAGGGCTGGGCTTGCCTCTGACACACTCCGATATTTAGGGATTTTCTTAGGGACTCGCTTCCACTTCCCCAACACTTCCCCTCCTTCCCCCCTCCCCTTCCACCACACCCCCTCTCCTCCCCTCTCTCGCCCTCTCATATCCAGAAAACAACCCCCCCCCCGCCCCCTTCCCCCGCTCCTCCCCACATTCTCCCTTGCAGCAATAGCAGGTGACAGTCGTGCGGAGTGGGCAAGGACAGGAGGAGAGGCACAAGGACCCTATTCACTCCCCCAACTGCCCTCTCCCCTTCTCCCCTTCTCCCCTTCCTCCTCCCGTGCAGCAATAGCTGGTGACATGACATCACACCGTCGTGTGGAGTGAGCAAGGAGGAGAAGCACCAACCAAAGGCCCTGTTTTCTCTGCTCTCTTCCTCCCCCCTCCCCCCTCCCCCTCTCTCCCTTGCAGCAATAGCGGGTGACATCACACCGTCGGGTGGAGTGGGCAAGGACAGGAGGAGAAGCGTCAACGGACCTATTCACTCCCCCAACTCCCCTTCCCCTCCCCCTCCTCCCCCCTCCCCTTCTCCCGTGCAGCAATAGCGGGTGACATCACACCATCATGTGGAGTGGGCAAGGAGGAGAAGCACCAAATGGAGAGGGACGCTCTGGGGCAGATGTGTGACGCTCTGGGCCCCAACCGCAAGGCTGCAGGTGACTGTCAAGAGGGGCATTTGCAGGGCATATGTTGGTGTGAGAGGATAGGAGAGAAGCACCAAATGGAGAGCGGCGCTCTGATGCAGATGTGTGACGCTCTGGGCCCCAACCACAAGGCAGCAGGTGAGGGATGGGAGGAGCATTTCCATCTGTGTCATGTGGAGTGAGCAAGGAGGAGAAGCACCAAATGGAGAGGGACGGTCTTGAGAAGATGTGTGACGCCCTGGGCCCCAACCACACGGCAGCAGGTGGGTGAGTGAGATGAGAGAGAGCAGAAGAGAGTTCATGTCTGTACCTTTATCTGGACAAGGAGGAGAAGCACCAAATGGAGAGGGAGGCCCTGGGGCACATGTGTGCCGCCCTGGGCCCAAACCGCAAGGCCGCAGTGGGTATTTTGAGGGGCAGGTGTGGGAGAGAAAGAGCAGAAGTTGGTTCACATGTGTATCTTTATCACGGGCATCGCATGGAGAGAGGGAGGCTCTTGAGAAGATGTGTGCTGCCCTGGGCCCAAACTGCAAGGCAGCAGGTGGGTATTTCGAGGGGCAGGTGTGGGAGAGAAAGAGCAGAAGTTGGTTCACATGTGTATCTTTATCACGGGCATCGCATGGAGAGAGGGAGGCTCTTGAGAAGATGTGTGCTGCCCTGGGCCCAAACTGCAAGGCAGCAGGTGGGTATTTCGAGGGGCAGGTGTGGGAGAGAAAGAGCAGAAGTTGGTTCACATGTGTATCTTTATCACGGGCATCGCATGGAGAGAGGGAGGCTCTTGAGAAGATGTGTGCTGCCCTGGGCCCAAACTGCAAGGCAGCAGGTGGGTATTTCGAGGGGCAGGTGTGGGAGAGAAAGAGCAGAAGCTGTCATGTGTATCTTTATCATGGGTATCACCTGGAGAGAGGGACGCTCTGGGGCAGATGCCGCCCTGGGCCCAGACCGCAAGGCAGTAGGTGGGTAATTCGAGGGGCAGGTGTGGGAGAGAAAGAGCAGAAGTTGGTTCACATGTGTATCTTTATCACGGGCATCGCATGGAGAGAGGGACGCTCTGGGGCACATGTGTGCTTCCCTGGGACCAAACCGCAAGGCAGCAGGTGAGCGTTTCAAGATGCAGATGAGGGTTAAGAGGGGCAGCAGTGGTGCTGGGATGATGAGTGGTGCTGGGAAGCGCAGCAGCCGAGATGTCCCCCTTTCCTTCCCCACCAGCTGAGATCTCCCCACCCCCCCCCCCCCCGGTAGCCGCCCCCACCAGATGAGATTCCTAAACCCAACCGCCCCCACCAGTTGAGTGGTGCTGGGAAGCGCAGCAGCCGAGATGCCCCCCCCCTCCCCTCCCGCCCCTCCACCAGCCGAGATCCGTCCCCCCCTTCTCCCCCTCCCGCCCCTCCTCCAGCCCCTCCACCAGCCGAGATCCCTCCCCCCTTCTCCCCCCTTCTCCCCCTCCCGCCCCTCCTCCAGCCGAGATCCCTCCCCCCCCCTCCTCTCCCGCCCCTCCTCCAGCCGAGATCCCTCCCCCCTTCTCCCCCCTTACCAGCTGAGCTATCTCTGTGGGAGGAGTATGAAGCGAGCGAGACAAGAAATACCTTCCCACTCCTGCTCCTTCCCACTCGCGCCCTTCCCACTCCTGCCCCTTCCCACTCCTGCCCCTTCCCACTCCTGCCCCTTCCCACTCCTGCCCCTTCCCACTCCTGCCCCTTCCCACTCCTGCTCCTTCCCACTCGCGCCCTTCCCACTCCTGCCCCTTCCCACTCCTGCCCCTTCCCACTCCTGCCCCTTCCCACTCCTGCCCCTTCCCACTCGCGCCCTTCCACTTCTTCCCCTTCCTTCCCCTCGCTTTATGGGAGGAGTATGAAGCGAACAAGACAAACGAGGCCCGACTGTCTCCCATCTCCCTTCCCCTCCCACCCGCTCGGCCCCCCTCCTGCCCGCTCCTGCCCCCCCTCCACACCAGCTGAGATGCTCGCTTTATGGGAGGAGTATGAAGCGAACGAGACAAACGAGGCTCGACTGGTGAAGGACTTTGATAAGGTGAAATACACGCAAACACATAAATGCACACACGATATATGTATACACACACATTCATGCACACACGCATGCACGCACGCATGCACACATGCACGCACGCATGCACACATGCACGCACGCATGCACACATGCACGCACGCCCCCCCCACCTCCCCACCCCCCAACACACACACACACAGAGACACACGCACGCGCGCGCCCGCACACACACACACACACATTCTTGTCCTGTGTTACATATGTTTTGTGAAAAAATTGGAAGCGACATGACATAAGAACAGATATACATCCCTCCATCTCTCCCCCATTTTTATGCTTCTTTGCCTTTTACAACTTACCCATCCTCACACGTGGAATGCTGTTTCATTCCTTACCAGCTGGAGATGATTTTGCAAGCACATGAGTACGAGCAAGGTGAGCTATAAAGGAGTGGGTTACAACGAGTATAACTTCCTGTCTCTTGAGGTGTCCCGAAAGTTCCCACTCTTTCTTCTCTGGTCCTTCACACCCAACCGTTCTGTCACGTTCTTTCTCCTTCACAACCCCTCTGTCATCTGCTTTCCTGTGCTGTTGTTGTCTCTTGAGGTGTCCCAAAAGTTCCCACTCTTTCTTCTCTCGCCCTTCACACCCAACCTTTCTGTCACGTTCTTTCTCCTTCACAACCCCTCTGTCATCTGCTTTCCTGTGCTGTTGTTGTCTCTTGAGGTGTCCCAAAAGTTCCCACTCTTTCTTCTCTCGCCCTTCACACCCAACCTTTCTGTCACGTTCTTTCTCCTTCACAACCCCTCTGTCATCTGCTTTCCTGTGCTGTTGTTGTCTCTTGAGGTGTCCCAAAAGTTCCCACTCTTTCTTCTCTCGCCCTTCACACCCAACCTTTCTGTCACGTTCTTTCTCCTTCACAACCCCTCTGTCATCTGCTTTCCTGTGCTGTTGTTGTCTCTTGAGGTGTCCCAAAAGTTCCCACTCTTTCTTCTCTCGCCCTTCACACCCAACCTTTCTGTCACGTTCTTTCTCCTTCACAACCCCTCTGTCATCTGCTTTCCTGTGCTGTTGTTGTCTCTTGAGGTGTCCCAAAAGTTCCCACTCTTTCTTCTCTCGCCCTTCACACCCAACCTTTCTGTCACGTTCTTTCTCCTTCACAACCCCTCTCTCATCTCCTTTCCTTCCTGTGCTGTTGTTGTCTCTTGGGGTGTCCCGGAAGTTCCCACGCTTCTCACACTCAACCTTTCTTTCATGATATTTCTCGCACATCACATTCCTTGCTCCTTCGCAACCCATCTGTCATCTCCCCATATATCCCTTTTCTTTCCCCTTCGATTTATGTCGTGTACACTCCTATCACTTTTCTTTCCCCTTAAAGTTATGTCAACGTATATCACTTTTCTTTCCCCTTACGTCGTCTATGTCATGTTCACTCCTATCACTTCTCTTTCCTGTACGCCCTTACGTCAAATACACTCATTATCACTTCTCTTTCCTGTACGCCCTTACGTCAAATACACTCATTATCACTTCTCTTTCCTGTACGCCCTTACGTCAAATACACTCATTATCACTTCTCTTTCCCCTGCACTCCTGCATCCTGTGCTTCCCGTGCTGCTGCGCAGCCCAAGGCATGGAGCTTCAAGAATTCTTCGACTCAACAAAAGGTACATTGATTGGTTTGCATAGATGCTCAGAGTGCAAATGCGAGTGGAGGTGGAGGGGAGGGGGGGGGGGAAGGGAGGGGGACGGGTTGTCATGTGCTTCCCGTGCTGCTGCATACGGATCGTCATGTGCTTCCCGTGCTGCTGCATAGCCCAAGGCATGGACCCTTCAAGAATTCTTCGACTCAACAAAAGGTACTGATCAGCTCGCGTAGAAGCTCAGTGTGCAGATTGGAGTGGGGGGGAAGGATGGGAGAGAACGGGTTGTCATGTGCTTCCCGTGCTGCTGCATAGCCCAAGGCATGGACCCTTCAAGAATTCTTCGACTCAACTAAAGGTACATTGATTTGAGTGAACACAGACTAGTTCAGTCTGGACTCCTACCATTCCTATTTTGTTCTTTGAGGCGCCTCAAAATACACCTTCTTCGACTCAACAAAAGGTACATTGATTTGAGTGAACACATACAAGTTCAGTCTAAATTCCTTTCCTACCATTCCTATTTTGTTCTTGTTTTCCGGGAGGCGTTTTGAGACGTCTCAAAACACTTCTTCATACACGTGACTCAACAAAAGGTACATTGATTTGAGTGAACACATACAGGTCCAGTCTGGATTCCTACCATTCTTATTTTGTTCTTTGAGGCGCCTCAAAATACACCTTCTTCGACTCAACTAAAGGTACATTGATTTGAGTGAACACATACAAGTTCAGTCTGGACTGGATTCCTACCATTCTTAATTTGTTCTTTGAGGCGCCTCAAAATACACCTTCTTTGACTCAACTAAAGGTACATTGATTTGAGTGAACACATACAAGTTCAGTCTGGACTGGATTCCTACCATTCTTAATTTGTTCTTTGAGGCGCCTCAAAATACACCTTCTTCGACTCAACTAAAGGTACATTGATTTGAGTGAACACATACAAGTTCAGTCTGGACTGGATTCCTACCATTCTTATATTGTTCTTGTTTTCCGGTAGGTTGGGTTTTGAGGCGCCTCAAAACTTGAGTGAACACATACAAGTTCAGTCTGAATTGGATTCTTACCATTCTTATTTTGTTCTTGTTTTCCAGGAGGTTGGGTTTTGAGGCGCCTAGAAAAACTTGAGTGAACACATACAAGTTCAGTCTGAACTGGATCCCTACCAGTCTTTTTTTGTTCTTGTTTTCCGGGAGGTTGGCGGGTGGCGGGGAAAGGGGGGGAGGGGGGTTGGAGGGTTTATGGGGGAGGAGAGGGGAAGGGCTGGGAAGGGGAGAGGCGGGAATGGGGGTTGGGAGAAGGGTGAGAAGGGTGTGAGGGGGAGAAGGGTGAGGGGGAAGTGGGTGGTAAGGAGGAGGGGGTTTGGTGGGGGCAAGGTGATGTACTCCCCACCACTAGTATGAAGAAGTGTTTTGAGACGTCTCAAAACACTGTTAATTTCTTGCAAATCACCTTGTGTGCAGATCGGGGGCAAGGTGATGTACTCCCCTTGCCTTGCCCCGACACTATTAATTGATTTCTTGGGAATGATATTAGAGTTGACGTTTGAGTTGACTCGAAAATTGACGTTTGCAACACTGTTAATTGATTTCTTGGAAATGATCTTCTTGTGTGTGCAGATCGGTGGCAAACAGACGTGGGGAGATTGGTGGCTGCTGATATAGTGGCCAGGCGAAGCAAGGGGAAGGGGAAGTGAGGGGAGGGGGAATTAAGGGGAGGGGAGGTGAGGGGAGGGGAATTAAGGGAAGAGGAAGTGAGGGGAGGGATGTAAAAGGGGAGTAAGGGGAGGTTTTGTGCGAATGACATTATTGTGTGTGCAGATCGGTGGCAAACGGACGTGGGGAGGTTAGTGGCTGCTGATATGTAGTGGGAAATTATCATCAGCGACCCAATCGTCGTCAAGTCTTTTTCCCGATCATTGGCTTGTTTCTCGTTCGCGGCGCGATCATGGTGGTCCTAATCGCAGCCACTTCCATCCTAATAGCTAACCATTCCAATTCCTTCCAACCCTGTGACTTCCGTCCGGATAACATGGCCGCTGCATCCAACGGTGTCGATAACCTTTCGCAGATTCTCCCCGCAAACAGACAACCCCGTTCGGTCACGAGCATCGCAAACGCGCATAGGATCCGCGAATCATGCGCGTAGCAGCGCCTCGTGGAGTGCAGCGCTTTCCACGAACGGGGAGGGGGCGGAGTAGGCGAAAGCTGCGGTTCAAAGAAGCGCGGGAGGGGGAAGGGGAGAGCTAGAGTCTGTGCAGCGCTTTCCACGAACGGGGAGGAGAAAGGGGAGAGCGGAGAAAGGGGCGGAGGGGGCGGAGTGGGCGAAAGCGGCGGTTCGAAGAAGCGGCCGCAGAGGGGGAAGGGGAGAGCTAGAGTCTGTGCAGCGCTTTCCACGAACGGGGAGGAGAAAGGGGAGAGCGGAGAAAGGGGCGGAGGGGGCGGAGTGGGCGAAAGCGGCGGTTCGAAGAAGCGGCCCCGGAGGGGGAAGGGGAGAGCTAGAGTCTGTCGCTAGTACTGAAGAGGAGAAGGGAAGGGGAAGTACTAGTACCGTAATACTACTGATGTCGATTGGACGATGGGCCGGAAGCTTCCACGAAAGGGGTCAAACGAGCTGACAGATTCGCTGCTCCTGACCGCGTGGCTGGCGACTGTAGCTCCCGCTACAGCCGACCGTCCCTCGATCTTATCTGATCCTCTCCTCCTCTCCTGCTGCGCACACTCCTTCAGCAACCTCTTTTCTCTCTCCCACTGCACCTCGTGCGCCTGCTGCTGCCGCTGCCGCTGTTGCTGCTCCTGCCGCTGCTGCTGCCGCTGCTTCTGCCGCTGCTGCAGCTGCTGCTGCTTCTCCTGCTGCTGCTGTTGCTGCTACTGTTGCTGCTGGTGCCGACTGTGCTGTACCAGCAAAACAAACTGGCTTTCCTGCTGCGCACAGAGCAGCAACGTCTTCTCTCTCTCCCACTGCACCTCTTGCGCTTGCTGCTGCCTCCTCCGCCTTTCCAGAAGCACCCCCACGTCTCCCTGCATCTGCATCTGCAACGCATTCGAAACGCCAGAATCAGTGGCTAAGCACCTACACAGCTGCTCCCACTGCTCCAACTGCTCCCACTGCCCGTCTGCCTGTCTGCCCCTCTCTCGATCGACCTGCAACAACATTGCATCAGCCCCTACCAGCTGCCCCGCCTCACCGTCAACCCCACATGCTACTGCATTGCTGCACGTGCTGCTGCCGCCGCTACTTGATCGAGGGATACCAAGGAAGGTAGGGAAGGTAGGGAAGGTAGGGACGGTAGGGACGGTAGGGACGGTAGGGACGGTAGGGACGGTAGGGACGGTAGGGATACCAAGGAAGGTAGGGACGGTAGGGACGGTAGGGACGGTAGGGACGGTAGGGACGGTAGGGATGCCAAGGAAGGTAGGGACGGTAGGGATGGTGGCGATGGTAGGGATTGTAGGGATGGAAGGGATGGCACATCCATATGCCGCCTCGTTGTGTTCGTGTATACCAGACCCTTGCTGTGGCATGCCTTGTGTCATGCACTGTGTCATGCCCTGCGTCATGCCTTGTGTCATGTTTTTCAGCATGCTTTGCAGCACGTCTTGAGAAGACTTTCGAGGCGTCCTAAAAGTTTTCGATTCCTCTGCTTCTGTCCGGACTCGCTTGGCATACCGGCCGGAGGAATATCCGTATGCCGCCTCGCTGTGATTGGCTATACCAGCCCCAGGCTGTGCCATGCCTTGTGCCCTGTCGCGTGCCACGTCAGCAGCAGTGGGCTCAGCGGTGTCAACTTCAGCAGCCTCAGGCTCAAAAGCCTCGTTATAAGCACGCTTCATTATCCACCCGTTGCAGCTGTCGGATCGAACCAGCATGTCAGCCCCTGTAAGTGTTGGCGGAGCAGCATCCACCCCTCCCGGCGTATTTCTTATGCCCCACCGACCTCCAAACCCAAGATTCACCGACGCCCCTGGATTATCAGCAGCAGCAGTGGCGTCAGCAGCGGCAGCAGGAGCAGACTTTTGAGGCACCTCAAATATTATGCCCGGCCGACTTCCAGGCCCAAGATTCACCGACGCACCTGGATTATCAGCAGCAGCAGTGGCGTTAGCAGCGGCAGCAGGAGCAACAAAGGCATGTGTGTTGGAAACATGTGAAGGGGGCTGCAGGGAAAGGGCTAGGCTAAGGCCAGAGGCTTGCGAGTCGGAATCACTCTTGCTGCTGGACGATTGAGGGGTAACTGGGAAGAGAGGAAGCTCTAATGCTGCTGCTGGTGATGCTGGTGCAGTGCTGGGTCGAGGCAGGGCGGTGTTGAGTGGTAACAGAGCGGTGGTGGGTGGTAGCAGAGCGGTGTTGGGTCGTTTTAGCTCGGTGCTGCAATCCAGGCTTGAGTGCAGCAGTTGCCCCAAGCCACATCTAGGAACGGTTGAATTCGGTTGGGTGGTTATTTGAAGGGTCGTGGAATGGCGGGAGAGTGTATCCATATGGGTGGTGGGATATTGAAGGGTGGGTGCTGAACTCGAAATTTGATCACGGCCGTTGATTGCAGATTGAAGGGCCTGGTTGAACGCAGCAGTGGTTGAGGGAGTAGCAGCGGCAGGGGCAGCAGCAGCGGCAGCAACGGAAGCATGTGCAGGGGTGGATGGTTTTAAATATTTGCCTGAGCTTGCGGATTGAGGGAGGCCGTTGATTGCGCATTGGAGGGCTAGGATGAACGCAGCAACGGCTGAGGGATCAGAAGAGTCTGCAGCGGCAATTGAAGCAGCAGCACTTGGAGCAACACACGGCAAAACACCTGAGGAAAGACCATGAAAATCACCTGAGGCAACACCTGAGAAAGCCCCTGAGGTAGCACCTGAGGCTGTAGTGCCTGGGGTAACGGGACATGTGGCATGCACCGTAATTCCACCTGTCACTATGGCCAAAGCATCTGAAGCGGCGGTTTTTCTCGCCGACTGCCCCCGGGCGGCAGCGGGCGGCGGGGCGACAGTAACAAGGCTAGTGTTTCCCGACGACCCTCCCGGCCGGGCGGCTGCGGGTGGAGCATCTGTGGCGGTCGTAGTGTTTCCTCCCGCCGACGACCTTCCTCCTCCGGGGGAGGAGCTAGCACGGGAAGCATTGATCCACCTTCGTTGCTTGTTGACAAGGCTGTGCCAGCGGCTCTGAATCTGGTAACCAGTTCGGGAAGGGAATTTCGCCGAGGCGATCCCAGCCCACTTGGTTTCGCCGTGGGAGCCCCACGCGATGCTTGCTAGCAATCGGGCGTCTTCCTCCGGCGTGAATGGGGCGCGGTTGACCTGCATTGGGGGGGAAGGGAAGATGGATGGCAGAGGTAAGTAAGCGGAAAATAGACGTGGGAGCCCCATGCGATGCTTGCTAGCAGCCGGGCGTCTTCCTCTGGGGTAAATGGCGCGCGGTTGACCTGTGTTGAACGAAGGAAAGGGTGTGAAAGAGGGGGGGATTTATTTAAGACGAGGGGAGCCACATGCGACACTTGCTAGCAGCCGGGCGTCTTCCTCTGGGGTGAACGGCGCGCGGTTGACCTGCATTGGGGGGGTGGGAGGAGGGGAAGGGGGGATGGGAGAAGGGAGGGGAGAGGGGAAGGGGATGGGAGAGTGGAGAGGAGGTTGCAGGGGAGGGGGAGTGGAGTGAGCGGGGAGGGGATGTGGGGTAGAGGGGATGTGGGGGGGAGGGAGTGAAGGCTGAGCTGAGATAAATGGCGCACGATTGACCTGCATTGCGGGAGAGGGGGAGAGGGGGAGTGCGGGAGAGGGGGAGAGGGGGGGTGACGTCCGCTGAATGTTTGCATTTCAAGAGAAGCGCGGCAGGGCCGGAAGCGGAACTAAAAAACGGACTAAAAAGCGCGATTCACCGCAAATGCAGGCTGCATTGCAAAACGGAAGAGGCATCCCTCCCCACCCACCTTCGCATGGAATCACCGCGGCTTTACCTTCCTTCTCTCGCCCCGCTCCCTCGGGAACGTGGGGGGAGGGGACATTGCCCCGCAAATGTCTCCCGCCCCTCTCCCCCCCCCTTTCAGCCGCTTCCCCTTTCCCGCACCTCCAACCCTCCCCAGTCCCCCTTCCCCTTCCCCCTCCCGTTCCCTCCCTTCCGCCCCCCCCCAATCCCCCTCCCCATTTCCTTGGCGTTCGCGGCAGCGACGCGACGGCGCGTACCTTAGGGTCTAGGTAGCTGGACCACCGCAGACGGCAGCTCTGCGCGTCGCGTTTCAGCGCCGTCGCATCCGCCACGTGCTTCCAATATCCGGCGCCAAATTTTGCCACGTAAGCGCTCAGCTCCGCGTCCTCCGCCGCCGTCCACGCCCCGCGTTTCCTCCCCGATTCGATGGTTTCTTTCAATCCGCCGGAAGTCGCGGCGCGGGCGGGGACAGGGTCAGCGGCGCCCCCAGCGGTGCTACCGACGCGGCCATCCGCGCCGCCTTTTGCGGGGCTGCTGAAGAGCCGCCGCCGAGGCGTTTCTGTCGTCTCTGCCGCCATCATTCAAGCGGAAACCACGGGCGAGGGGGGCGGATTCAGCCTGACAGCTCCGCTCGGCGTGTATGTAGCAGCTCGTGAAGAAACAACCGTGACACTCACTAACGCAACGCGAGGGGTGTGATGAAACGTAGTCGCAGCTGCTGCCACTAAACATCGAACCATTCGATGATAAAGTGGCGGAACGCGGAGGCGGAAGGAAGAGAAAGGGCGGAGCGCGATGCACCATAGCCAACGCACGCGCAATGCATGCAAACCACCATCCATCCCGCCTGGCCAATGCATGCACATCCGCCCTCAGTTCTGCCCCACTGTTCATCATCACACAAGACGCGTTCAGTTTCTTGGGTGCCTTGCGAATTCCGTACAGTTAAACATGCCAGCCTGTCGAAAGGGAAGCACTGCCAATGCCGAGCCGAGGCATGGCGGCACTGTTCTTGTCTGGATGGGTGGGAATGTACACGTCGCAGCTGCAACCGGGTGGCACCTTTTTTTCGTCAGCTAACAGTCCAACCAGAGCACTGTATCTCCGCAGATTGAGGTGGAGGGTTTCGGTCGGCCCACCCCTCCACTGGGCTTCTAGAGAAAATACCTCACGTGTCAGCCGTTTCATCCGTTCCCCTACGTTTCCTTCCCTGCCCGACCCGGATGTTCAGATTCGACAAATCTCTTGACATGATCGCCTTGACGTTTGTGGACGACGGTCACTTCGGGCACGCAATGAAACTCTACCACCCTCATCGCAGGCTGGAAACCGGCGGGACTGCATTGCATACGCTTTGCAGGCGGCGCCGCCAGTTTCGATAATTAGGGCAGCTGAAAAATATGGCCATGTAGTAAACACTAGTTTAACTCTACCGTACTCTCCCCACAGGCCGTCCTACGCATGACTGGATTCGTGTCGCTTCATCCCACAAGCACCAACAATACTGTACTGTACATCTAATAGGATCCATATGTTCGACTGCTGCTGTTCTAACGTCTTTAGAACGCAACGATGCGACGAATGGCTCTGCTGCCGCCAGCTGGAATGGCTGAATTGGGTGTCGTGATTTGCTGAAATGAAATGGTAAGGTGTTCTCAACAGTAGGGCTTCCAGCTGGCAGCGAAATGTATTTGAAGGGTGTGTAGCAAGTTGCCTACGACCACAATGTTGGTTCGGGTTCCCAAAAGTTTATTCCAATCTTCAGTACAAGCGGTTGAGAACGATCATGTGCAATCCATCCTTTTGTTACGTCGCCACTCAGAACCGCTAGTCACCAGTCTGAACATTTAAGCATGACTTCTGGGAACCGTTCTAGGCGACAAATTGAACCAGCAACTAATTTTTTGTGCTGCTGACTTGGGTGACTTCTACTCACGGAACGGAAGGGAGCAACGATGGCGGAAGCGACGGCAGTGGATGAAAGACGCGAGCTGCAGGGGAGGGGAGGGGATTGGTGGGTGGGTTGCTGCTGAAAGGGATGCACTGTCTGTGGGACAATCAAGTGTTTCATTTTCAATTCCCTGAACAGAGAAAAAGTTCAGTTCTTTCTGAAGCTGGTGGGCATGTGCTGTGGAGGCTGAAGGGTCCGTCACTCGTTCACTGCTGCTGTGTTTTAACCAAGAGAGGTTCGACTGCGGTTCTGGCAGGAAACTTTGCTGTTCAAATCTTGGCAAAGTTCCTCCAAAATTGCATGATTATCACCGCCGACAGTGGTCGCTCTCCATGACAGCACGAAAACTTTCACAGAAGTGTCTTTTGCGGTTAGGGTTACCACCACTCTCTTGATCTGGAACTTGCAAACCAGGCCAGGCCAACCATGGTTGGCCTTGTTCCGTAGAAGACTCGAACAGAGGCTGGTGTATTCGAGCCAGGGATTACACCGAGACTAGCCTCCCCCAACCACATCTGTCACGCTTGGATTTGAGCGAGTTGCTTGACCGTGTCGCAGAAGCATTCAATTTGATTCAGAGCGTTTCACTCTCATTTCAGAGCGGTTGGAGAGGGTTTTCTTGCCACTAACCTCCCGAGTCACGAACCAGAAATTTATTGCCTCGTTCCCTTCATCCCTCAACCACGAAGCAGCTTTGCCATACCTGACCTGTCAAAAGCGCGGCAATACCTCTCGAAGCAATGAAACCCGCGTTATGGCCAAATGTACTTGTCTTCGTTACTGGATTCTTCGTCTCACGACGAAGTTTTGTGAATGTGTATAATTCATAACGAAATGATTTGCAAAAATCTCACTCTTATCGTCCTTGAGTTTTCCTGCCACTTTTCGTTATTTGCTCGCTTCTCGTTCGCGGTTCGATCATGGTAGTCCTAACCGCAGCCACGCTCATCCCATCCCCGTTAGTAGCTACGCATTCCAGCTCCTTTCCATTATGTGATTTCCGGATAACATGGCCGCCGCATTCAACGGCGTCGACAACCCTTCGCAGATTGCGCCCGCAATCAGCCAATCCCGTTCGGTCACGAACACCGCAGACGCGCGTACAATTCGCAAATCCCGCGCAAAGTCCTTACCGGTGCGCAACATGTTCCGCAGACGGCGGGGAGAAAGGAGCGGAGGCGGCAAAAGCGGCGGCACTAAGAAGCGGGGGAGGGAAGGGGAAGGGTAGGGGGAGAACGAGAGCCTTCCGCGAGTAGTCATACTAGTAATACTACAGAGGTCGATTGGACCATGGGACGGAAGCTTCCGCGAAAGGGGTCGAACGAGCTGACCGATTCGCTGCTCCTGACCGCGTGGCTGGCGACTATAGCTCCCGCTACAACCGACCGGCCTTCTATCTTATCCGATCCTTCGTTACTGTCACCCCACGCTACAGTCAACTACTTCGCGTTCGGATCGAATCTCAACCTGGATCTGCTACAGCGGCGGTCAACGGGAGTCAACGCACCTGTAGCCGAGATTCTGGGCTCGGCTGTAGCAAAGGATCCGGTTGTAGCAGAGCCGGCGGTGGTATACCACCATCGCCTGGCGTTCAACATCCGCGTGCTGCCGCCGTTTGAACCGGCTGTAGCGGCAATTGAGCCTGTCGCAAGGTCAAGACCGGCTGTAGCGGCAAATAGGCGGGATAGAGTCGCGGGGATCAGACCAGCTGTAACGGGAAGTGAAACGGCTGTAGCGCAAAACAGGGCGGCTGTAGCTGAGGCCGGTTCTGCTGTAGCGCGAAACGGGGCGGCTGTAGCGGGAATGGGCAGCGAGGGAAGTCCGAGTGTGCATGGGCTGGTGGTCCAGATGCGACGAATCGACTACGAACGGCTCATGTGGTGAGTGTCTAGTCTCCTCCTTCCACTTCCTCTTTCTCTCCCTCCCCCTCTCCTTCTCCCTCTTCCTCTCCTCCCCCTCGCGTGTGCATGGGCTGGTGGTGCAGATGCGACGAATCGACTACGAACGGCTTATGTGGTGAGTTGACGTGTCGTTTACTCCCTCTTCCTCTTCCCCACCCTCTTCCTCTTCCCCACCCTCTTCCTCTTCCCCACCCTCTTCCTCTTCCCCACCATCTTCCTATTCCGTGAGTTGACGTGTGGTGAGTTGACGTGTGGTGAGTTGACGTGTGGTGAGTTGACGCATGCGGTCTCTTTACAAGCTCTTGTTTCTGACTCCCTATCTCCTTTCCTTCCTGTCAGGTCAAAAGTAAATTCTCGGTCGGAACTTGCGCATGCAAGCTCACAGTCAGACACACACCCACTCCCCTTCCACGGATTTCCGTCCCTCACTCCCTCTCTTACGCCTGATTTCCCCCCTTCCTGTCAGGTCAGAAGGCATTTCTCGCAACGAGCAGCGACCCTATATAGAGCACCTCGTTACAGCACACACTTACTCCGGCAGCAATGTACAGGTAATTGTACAATGGCCTTGATCACTGGCACCGCTGAATTTAAACTTCAAATATTTATTTTCTACTTTTTTTCTCCCCTGAATAAAGGAAAGGGTCAAAATAATCTTGTTTCGATTTCCATGCAATCTAGGCATGTTAGGGCAAGGAAAAACGCAAAATGGTTTAGTTTCTCACTCTCCTTTTCGAACCCAAGCCCTTATTTTTCGTACCAACCCCAACAGCCCCTCGTTCCTCCCCCCTCACAAGGAGCCGCCCCCCTCTGCTTGCTACCGTGGGTTGTTTCTCTAAGGAGCAACCTTCTCCCCCTTCCCCGCTCTCTCCCTTCGCCCCGACACCCCAATACCAGGCCCTTACCCTCCGAGCCAACCCCAAGAGCCCGTCGTTCCTCCCCCCTCGCAAGGAGCTGCCCCCCTCTGCTCGCTACCGCGGGTTGCTGCTTAAAGGAGCAAGGAAGGTGTCCTAATCTCTCCCAACCGCCCCCCACCCCCCCAAAACCCCTCTTTGCACCAGGCATTAACCCTACGCACCAACCCCAAGAGCCCCTCGTTCCTCCCCCCTCACAAGGAGCTGACCCGCTCTGCTCGCTACCGCGGGTTGCTGCTTAAAGGCGCAACCTTCCTCCCCTTCCCCGCTCTCTCTCCCTTCGCCCCGACGCCCCAATACCAGGCCCTAACCCTCAGAGCCAATCCCAAGAGCCCTTCGTTCCTCCCGCCTCGCAAGGAGCTGCCCCCCTCTGCTCGCTACCGCGGGTTGTTGCTTAAAGGCGCGAGGAAAGCTGGCCTGCGGCAAGAGTATGTGGAGGAAATGAGGAGAATCATGGATGGGAAGAGTCTGGATGGGTGGTGGCACTGGTGGTGATAAGGTGTTGGTAATCACATGGTAACGTATCAAGCAGAGTGGGGTTGGGTTGCGGCGAGAGTATGTGGAGGAGATGAGGAGAATCATGGATGGGAAAACTTTGGATGGGTGGTGGCACTGGTGGTGATGCTGGTGGTGATGGTGGTAGTGATATGGTCACCAGAAGCTTATTCCCGTCTCCCTACCACGGAGCAAGGAGAGCGGGGTTGAGGCGAGAATATGTGGAGGAAATGAGGAGAATCATGGATGGGAATTCCCTGGATGGGTGGTGGCAGTGGTGGTGATGGGGTGGTGCTGCTGATGCTGCTGCTAGTGACAGT